CGAGCTCAAGTTCAGCGAGGAAAAACTTTGGCTCGTTCCATATCCGGCGGCAGCGTGTCCGGAGCCGAACGGAGCGCCGAACCGAACAGCACCGCCAACGCGACCCGAACGCGACCCGAACGCCACCCGAACGCGACCCGAACGGGGACGACCGCTCCAATCCCGATATCAATCACACTCCAAACTAATCGGGACCGCTCACGCGCACTGCCAGTGCTGCCAGCTCGGCCGCCGGCAGGGACACGTCGCCTGCACTGCTTAGCGCGGGTTGAGAACTAAAACACGGTCATAGCAGTGTTTTTTTTATTGTTTTTATTTATTTTATTTTTTTGTTTGGATGAATGGCCTCCTCCCAGTGTGGTATCGCTCGCTTAGCCGCACAAAGCCATTTCCCGCGCAGCACTCCGAATACACGCACTTCATCTCCAAGTCAAATGGGACGCCGCCGAAATATCTATTTGCCATTCGCGCGCGAGAGTAAACATGGTTTGGAAATGAACGGCCACCCTTCCAGTGGGCCAGCGGGCCAGAGCGGGCCGCCAGCGTCAACAGTTGGACACTTGTGGAGTGCAATTAAAAGAGTCATCCGTCTTCGTCACTCACCTCCCCCATTTGCTTACGTGTTGCGCGTCTGTCTGTCTGTCTGTCTGTCACTCTTCTTGGTCCACACGTCCGCTTCGGGCAACTCACACTAATTTGGCTTCCTTCTGCGTCACCGAACGCACTAGAGGCTGTCTTCTCGCACCATACTGCATCCGCGTTCACACACACACACACACACACACACACACAAACTCACGCGCACTCTCACTCTCACAGACACGCACATAAATCTGTGTTTGTGGTGACACACATTACGTTAGCCCCCCCCCCTTCTTTCCCTCTGAACTTTTCCCTCTCTGCCACCACCACACTCCATCCTGTCTCTTTCAGCCCACTGCAACCTGCCTCCCTCCCTCTTTCTTTAATCCGATTTGTTCATAACACTTGCAGGAACACACAGTCTGCGTGTCTGTCTGTCTGTCTGTACGGTCGGCCTGTCTGTCTGCTTCCCGTTTCCGCTGTGGCTCGATCGGCAATGTGGTCGGCGAATCGCGCTGCACACTGCCAGACAGACGAGCCCCTTCCCAGTCCTCTCGACCAAAATGGCGGAAAATCGTGAGGGGACATGTGTGCTCTCGGGAAATGCCCGCGGGGCTAATAGGGGTCATGCTTTATTAAAAATAATAAGCTTTACCTAAGACTTTCTCGTGGGTCACTTTTTCCTTCGTATGTGGACTCCTTTTAGAAGAAGCACTCCGAAAGGCCGAGGGTGTGTGTATGTGTGTTTGTCGGTCTGTTGTGTGTGTGTGAGCCTCTGTCCGTGCATTGTGTGTGTAAAAGTGTGTTTGTGCGCGCGCGTGTGTGTGTGAGTGGAATATCCCGTGGCATGAAAGACTTGTTGACAAACCGGTGGAGGCCTTTCAAGGGGTGGAAGTAGGACGGGCGGGCGATGCAGCGACGATGTGGGCTCACACTCCTTGCAGAGGCGTTCGCCTTGTAACGCGCCCTAAAAGCGTACCCTGTTCCTCTTCCAAAGAATATAATTTCAGAAGAAAAAATGAAATTAAAGGGCTTAAAACCTTTGGAAGCCTTTGAGTGCTCGCCGAGCGGCACCAAGGCCCTGGGGGCTCCGGCCGGGCGACTCGGAGAGTCGTTCTGTCTCTGTCGCGCTGGAGGCTCTCTTCGGAGGGGTGCGAGAGAGACAGGCCACTCCTCTGAATCGCTCCCAGGCTTCAGCTCCAGGAGTTCGGGGAGGCGTGAGGAAGGCGTACATTGCGGTGGGCTGCGTGGCTGACTGCGCCTGAGCCGGTGTCTCCGTGCCACCCCTCCGCGCTCCCGCCCTACGCCAACGCCAGCCCGCCCTCGGCCCGCCCTCGGCCCGCCCACCACCTGTCACCTCTCAAACCATATTTGTGCTCTCCAGGTGGGGCCCGGGCTGCCTGGGCTGGGCTGGCTCAGCGCAGTCTTTCAGGGCGGACGCGCAAAAGCCCTTGCAGGCATTACATCAATCTCTCGTTCCACGAGACGCGCCCGCCGGTGTCTTTTTCGCTCAATCCCGCCACGCTCACCCTTCCCACGCTCACTGCTCCCACGCTCACTCTTCCCACGCTCACTGCTCCCACGCTCACCCTTCCCACGCTCACTGCTCCCACGCTCACCCTTCCCACGCTCACTGCTCCCACGCTCACTCTTCCCACGCTCACTCTTCCCACGCTCACTCTTCCCACGCTCACTCTTCCCACGCTCACTCTTCCCACGCTCACTCTTCCCACGCTCACCCTTCCCACGCTCACCCTTCCCACGCTCACTCTTCCCACGCTCACCCTTCCCACGCTCACTCTTCCCACGCTCACTCTTCCCACGCCCACCCTTCCCACGCTCACCCTTGCTCCGCTCGCCCTTGCCCGCTGCCGCCCCTGGCTGGCGTGGCGGCGTCTTGGAGTCTTGTCGCGCCGACCCATGCATACCAAGCAGCCGAGGCAGGCAGGCAGGCAGCCCAGGTGCGCGGCGTCCGTCCCGGCGACTCGGATCACTGTTCCGCCGAGTTTGCCTCGTCTTTTGTTCGACCACAAAGTACAAACGCGAGTTTCGTTTTCTTATTCGCCGTCATTCCCAGAGTCGCTTCTCTCTCGCACTCCGGGGCCGTCCCGTGTAGGTGCGAGAGAGACGGAGCGAAAACTAACCGCGAGCCAAGGGCAGGGACAGCGGGCAGCCGCGCTAGTCGCCCGGAAACGGCAGATAGTCGTCTGGCCTTTGTTTTGGAATGGGCGGTGGCGTCCCCGGGGCGGGGCGGGGCGGGGCGGGAAGGTCGCACTGCCTCGGCCCTGTAAGGGACCTATTTCTCCAAAACCATAAACAGATTCAGGCCTCGCTGGCGCACACACGCGCACGCACGCAGACACACACACACTCACACACAGGGACACCAGCGGAATGCCAAATTTCCGGTTGTAAAACCGACCGCGGCGCTGTGCCGTTGGTTCCGTTCCGCCCGGCTCCGGCCCCGCCGTGCTGCCGTGTTGACGCCGACGGTGTGATGGTGGTGGATGGTGCTGGATGGTGCTGGATGGTGCGATCCCGAGCGCGACTCGCCCCCGGCCCGGTGCCCCCGGCGGTGCGGCACCTGGGATGCCTGGCCGCCTTGGCTGCCGAAAAGGCGGTGGGGAATATGTCCCCCCCCCCCCCGGCCCATTCCCCTCCCCTCCCCGCCGAGCCGAGCCCCGAGCCCGCGGGCAGCGCGCCGCCGGCGTCGCTCCTTGCGTCACTTCGTCTTGCGTCACCCCCCTCTCTCTCCCTGTCTCTGTGTTTCGGGACGCCGGGATTCCGGATTGCGGGTCGCATGACGGCCGGCTCCTGCCTGGATTTGCTTTCGTTTATCTTTCGGTCACGTCTCACCGTTGGCCGCCTGGCTTCGGCCCGGCGGGCGCGCTCCCTTGCGGCCGCCGGACGTGCCGTCCCCGTGGCCGCGCGGTCAGCGTGCCCGATCCGGGAGTCCAAATCCCGGGTTCAACCCCCACCGCCGCCGTCCTCTTCTCATCGGCGTGGCCGTGTCGTTTCGTCCTTCCTTTAAACTGCGGGCACAATGCGGGGGCGAGCGGCTCATTAAAAACAGTCACGCAGGCCGTTTTGACTTTTCACCGTGGGCAGGGAGGGGGATTCGAGCGGCATGTTTGAAATGGCGTTTGAAATGCGCGACGGTGGCGTGGCACCACGTGGGACCAGCCTTGGACCCCTCGGGCGTGTCTGTCTGTCTGTCTGTCCGTCCGTGAATCCGCCCGCGGCGCTGGCGAGGTAAACTCATCGGAATCCAGAGTAAATTTGAGAGGAACTCACCGAAATGGCCGGCGTTGTTTGACGTCGAGGTGGTCGAGGTGCGGCGGGCGGGGTGGGGCTGGGCAGGGCGCGGGCCTCGGCCGGCTCGTTCGGCTTCGAGGCTCGGCAGCGCGGCAGCCACGCGACGGCGCACCTATTCGCTGAACATTATCAAACGGAGGACAGCCTGAAAAAAAAAAAGAGGTTTGTATTTTCTTTTGTCTGCGACGGATAAAGCAAACGGCAAATTAATCCGTTCCCCGGCACGGCGCGGCACCCCCTCCCCCTCCCCTCCGCTTGTGCGCGCTGCCCGGAGTGCCCCGGGCGGCCCCAGGCCAGTGGGGCACCGCCTCCGACCACCTCGCGCGGTGCACCAAACGGGGGCTCGCCTTTTGCCCCGTCTTTTTGCGCCATTTACATGAATGTTGTTTGTCGGGCGGGAAAAAACGGTCTTCAGTTGAAAAAAAAGAAATGGGGCGCAATCATTCTTTGTTTTTGGAAGGGGGCCGGTTCAGAGGGGGGGGGCAGTCAAAATCCCGGACGCGTTTTGAGCTTCAGAGTCGTTAAATGGGACTCGAACCGAACGTGTGACCCCACCAATGGACTGCTCTCCGAACGAGGAATCCATTGGTGGGGTCACACGTTCGGTTCGAGTCCCATTTAGCGACTCTGGAGCTCAAAACGCGTCTAGAGTTTTGGCCGCCTCCACCGGTCCTCTGGCAAATCCACTGTGTTATTCACCGAGGTTCCTCGAGTTGATTTGAGGGGCATCATCCCCGCGCCGCCAATTACGCTTCGAGTGGTCTCTCGCTCTCGCCTCGCCCTCGCCTCGTCTCGAGAGCGGCGCGCTGAGGGGCCAGAAGGGGGCGCGCCCTCCGCCCAACCTTGCACACGTGAGCGGGTTGTGTTGGCAAGTCTTGTCTCGAGCGATTTACCTTTGACTGGTGAGGTGCCTCTCCGCCGCACACACGCATACACGCACCAACTCACCCGCTCACACACACATACACACACGCACTCGCGGTGACATGACATTCCGTTAAGCAAATCAGTCCCGGGCCGGATTAGGGTGTGCCGGATCACACGCGCCCAGTTTGTTTTTGTTTTCCTTGCTGATGTTGTTGTTTGTTTACGTTTTGTTGCAGACGAGCCCGGGTCGGTCTCGGCCGCGCTGGACGAGTACACTGACAACGAGCTGGCGCGCTACGTGAACCCCGTGAAGTGAGTCACTCTGGCGGTCCGCCTTTTCCGGCCACTTTTTTCACGCAGCGCGCATGGCTGTCTCAGGCGGGGCGTCAAGCGGCAACGTAACTCATGATATTAACTTTAATTAACCGTAAATATTTCAGTGTGGTTAGCCTTCCCCGAGCAAGGGTTGAAACTAACGCCACGAGAAAACAAATCCATCAATGAGTTGAAGGAGAGAAATGTGGTTAATTTGGTTAATGTGTATTGGTTACGCGAAAGTCTTGACGGCCTGATCTCAGAGCGCTCAGAGCATGCGTATCGGTTGGCATGCAGCTACGAGCATCGCGGCACGTGACGAGGACACTGTGAGACAGAGACGTCTACCTTGCACGAGACACCCGTCTGTTTGACTTGGCTTGACTGCACCACGGCCCCTCCTCCAGCGGTCAACCAAGTCAGCATCCTACCGGTGGCCCACTTCACCGACATTACTCTAAGAAAGCCCATCTCAGCCCACCTACCAGGGTAAAAAGATTATTGCCAAGGGTGAAGTTGGCAACCCTTTTACTGGCACATTGTGCGAATAATTTTTTCCCGCTTGTGGCGGCATTGCAGCAAGCGCCGAGCTGGTCATTGGTTTCAATTCCATTTCGACCCCCCCCCCTCCTCCGCCAATCAACTAATGCAACTCTTTGAGGCGCAACCCGCAGTGATCGTCTCCCGGTCTTTCGGTTCGAATCCCTGCCGTTCTCCGCGCGGCCTCCGGTCCGTTGCCATGGATACAGGTGCAACAAGGTCGAGGGCCTCGCCCGCCTGGCCCGCCTGGCCCAGCACACTGTCTCTGTCTCTCTCGCACCTGTGTGGGGCCGTCCATGAGTGCGAGAGGGACAGAGCGACGAAAACGACTCTCGGAGTCAGGCTACAGGACCCTCCGGACAGCGGGCCACTCCACGCAGGGGGACGCGCGCCCCGCAATCCAAGTCAAACACAACTCCATCAGACGGCCGCCCCCCCCCCCCCCCCCCCGCCCGGCTCCTCCAAGAGTGCAGAGCCGTGCCGCTCTCGTGCCCACGCCCCTCCGTTACGCCATCACGAAACAAAAAAAAATACGACCATCCTTCGTTTGCTTTCTAAAAGTGTATAGTCCCGCTCCCTTTTCGCATTAAATTAGGTCGTTACGAGTTTTCTGGGAAGTCGGAATCCGGCGGCGTGTGGCGCCTCGAGCCCCACGAGGGCGCTCCACGGCCTCCGACACGATTGTCACATCACAGGGCAAAAGGATGCGCCCGTGTCGAAAGGGTATTGCCAACCTGTGACTGCAGAAGCAACCTCTCGACAGCAAGGCCCAGTGGCATTGCCGGGTGGTAGTCGGCGAAGCCTCGCCACGCGGGCGTATATCGAGGGAATGTTTGCCTAGTGGGCAACACAGTCCTCGACGCGGTGTCGACGCCAGCAGGGAGCTGGTGCCCTGCGGCTCGCGTTATTGCATCCTCTCTCTCTCTCTCTCTCTCTCTCTCTCTCTCTCTCTCTCTCTCTCTCTCTCTCTCTCTCTCTCTCTCTCTCTCTCTCTCTCTCTCTCTCGCACCCAGGCCCAACATGCGCGACATGCACGCCCTCCACCCCGGCAACACCTGGAGCGCCCCCCCCCCTCCACTTCATCCCCGCAGTCTATCCGTCTTAGCCGGCATGAGTAAAGCCAACTATACACAACATGCTCCACCTCGAGCGAGGTTAGGCGGCTTAGCCACACGGAGCGCGTGGGCGGGGCGGGGCGGGGCGGGGCGGGGCGGGGCGTGCCCAGGCGTGCCTGGAATACAGAGTAGCCTTGTCAATTTTTGCCGCCCATTATTCCTGGCTAAGACGCGAAGGCTGCGAGTAACAACTCCTTTCAGGCTTCCCGACGCCCTGACCTTGGACCTTGGACCCCGGACCTTGGACCTTGGACCGGAAAATGAAGTCCCCACTATTTTGACGGGTTGTTCGCAGTCAAATTTCCGACGCGGCCCCGACCGCCAGCTCACGACGACGATGACAGAAAACGTACCCGACAGAGATGCCGTGCGATTCGCATACACTTTGATTTCATACTTTTGTTTTTTTGATTCAGCTAGCCTGCGGCTTTTGGAATGAAATCGCTACAGCAGTATAACTGTCAGCAGACGGTCTTCTTTGATCTATATCTTCAGGCGCGCGTGCGTGCGGCGCGGCGGCAACTGCGACCACCGGCCCAACGACTGCTGCTACAACTCGAGCTGCCGCTGCAACCTGTGGGGCGCCAACTGCCGCTGCCAGCGCATGGGGCTCTTCCAGAAGTGGGGATAGACCGGCGGGGCCCCGCCACCACCACGACGACGGACTCCTCGGCTTCGACTACAGCCCGGCGCGGTCGGCACGCCGGTCGGCACGGCGGTCGACACGAAGGCGCTGACGTGACCGGGCAGGCAAACGGTACCACGGCATCTTGGAAGGCATAGCGGACGACGCGGAGACGCGAGGGGGGTGTGACTGCAGGTACCTGTGCGACGGGGGCCGGGCAGCGCCGCCGTTCAGTAAATTTCACTCGTTCGGTTCAAATTTTTAACGAAATGACGCAAACGAAGCAGCCTTTTCCTGATTTTCCACGTTAATTTCCATTCACCAGCGCGTCAAGAGTATAAGGACGATACCGGGTTCATTTCCATTCACTTTCTTTTGAAATAGCACGACTCTTCTCTCGATTTTGGATGAGTTCGCTGCGGCCCGGCCCGGCCCCCGCCATACACAGAGTAGTGCACTGAGACCATACCGTCACAAGGGAAAGAAACCGAAACCAAACCATTTTTGCGCGACTTCTCGGAAACAAAAAAAAAAGCCGCTTGCACGCGGCACGGAAAAAAAAAATTTCAAACTGGTTCTTGTCAAACAGATATGGTGTTCGTCTGGGTTCCACGGATGGAGGAGTTTTTTTCTTTTCGTTTTTTCTGTATCGCGGGGCGCTGCTTAGGGCGATCTAGTGTTTTCTCTCTTGCTTCGATGGCTTGACACGCTTACCACGCCTCCGGCCGCGACCACGACCTTCCTAGGGATTCCATCCAGCCACATCCCTATCAAGGTCGCGCGTATGCGGACCGGCCTAGCCAGCCAGCGCAAAATCCCTACTATACTAATTACTTACTATATTATACGTATATTTTAACCTATATGTGTATCTGTAGCTGTGCATATAATAATAATAAAGATATTTTGATGATGTCAAATGTATTTGTTTTTCGTTTTCTCTTTCTTTTTAAGTATCTAAGGATGAAAAACACACATGGTGTTGTTTATAAATTGATGTGGATGGAACATTGTTCCTGCCCTGTACTGGGATACTTTATGGAAAACAATACAAAAGCGAGTGGTGGGCCTGAAGTGCGTTTCATTCTCTAACTCCCTTCCCCCACCACCCCACCGCCAGACATTTCGGAAGTCGGGCCAGCAGACAGCCAGTTCAGCCAGGAGGCTCGGCTGCGCTTTCGTCGCTCTGTCTCTCTCGCACCCGTGGGGCGTCCCGTGGGGGAGCGAGAGAGACAGAGCGACGAGAGCACTCCCGATGAGCCGCGGACCGCGAACACGCCACTCGGATTTCCAAACCAGAGAGACAGAAAGAGCAAAGAACAAACGAGGCCTGGGGGCGGAACGAACGGGCGCGGCGGCCGGAACCAGTGGGCCGCTTGAAAGTCAAAGGGGTGCGGCGCCTTGCCTTGGCGCCTCACAGTGGGCCAGAAGACCGGCGCAGGCGGTCAAAATCCCGGACGCGTTTTGAGCTCCAGAGTCGCTAAATGGGGCTCGAACCGAACGTGTGACCCCACCAATGGATTGCTCTCCGAACGAGGAATCCATTGGTGGGGTCACACGCTCTGTTCGAGTCCTGTTTAGCGACTCTGGAGCTCGAAACTCGTCTAGAGTTTCGGCCGCCTCCACCGGTCTTCTGGCCCACTGTGCGCCTTGCCTTACCAGCGCTTTCATTCAGACCGCCGTCCGCGACCTCTTTCCATTTTACTTAATATTTGGCGGCTCCTTTTTTCCCTTTTGCGCCTCCCCGCTCTCCTCGCGGCGCCGCCAAACTTGCGCGCCAAGTCCTCCTCCCTGCGCGGCCCCTGCCAGGCGGTGCCAGACGGTGCGAGCACCGCACGCGTTCCGCCCCACTGCACCTAGAGTGTCAATCAGACGCGGCGCCACACTGCTTTCCTCGCCCTGTCTCTCTCGCACCCGTTCCAGACACCCCGCGAGAGAGACAGAGCGACGCCGTCCCTCAGCAGCCCTCAGCCTGCAGGCTCTCGCGGGCCATGCAGCGCGTGTTAACGCGCGGTGAACCAGGACTTCTCTTCCTCCTTCTCTCTGTTTTCTTTCTCTTTTTTGTGTGGGCGGATCATTGTACTCCAGCCGTCACGCTGGCGCCACTGTATGACTGTTCCACGTTTCGCCGCACTAAAGAACGGCCCGTGATAAAAGGCCTAAGCCACAGCGTGGCGGGGCGGGGCGGGGCGGGGCGGGGCGGGGCGGGGCGGCCCGCGGACAAAGGCAGGCCGATTGTCGTTGCCGCCACCGAATTTCGACTCCGCGGGCCTCGCCCTGCCTCGCCCTGCCTCGCCCTGCCTCGCCCTGCCTCGCCCGCGCAGTCCTATTCCTTTCCTTTCCTCGAGGCTTTTGGCCCTTAAAGGCTGATCAGTCCTGCAATCCTCGCCGAGTCGAGTCGGCTTTGCCATGGCTCCGCTTCGGTTCGGTGCCGTTTGACGTCAAGGAGGCCCGGGGGAGAGAGGGGCGGCGCACAGTGGGCCAGAAGACCGGTCATCATCATCGTCATCGGCGCTGTTAGGCCTCAGCAGACCTCTAGCGTTCGAGTAAGCAGCTACTGGAAGCGAAGGACTCAGACTGCAAACCTCAAAAATGCAGGCAGAGTCCCGCCCGCAGCAACCACCCTCTACTTGGGGGGTATGAGGACAACCTCCACAGACCGTGGAGGCAGGACTCATCCCAAATTGATGAAAGTGAGGTTCGTTGCCCTTTGACCCTTGGAAAGTGGGAAGGCAGCTGGAGCAGCAGGGTAGTGTGGCTCACCAACTAGGCGTCGTCGTGCTCCTCCTGTTGTCGCAGCCGTTCCGCCCGCCTCGCCTGCGCAGCGGCGCGGCGTTCTTCATATGGGTCGGGTTGGTGAAGCAATTGAAGCGTGCGCCGGGCCCACTCGGACCTGTCGCGGGCGGCTTCCCTCCAGTCAGCAGCTCCGAGTGACTCCGCGTCGCGTTGAATTTGCTCCTGCAGGCGGAAGGGTGGGCGACCGCGGGGAAGCTTCGCAGGGGGCGGCTTGTCGAGGGCGGCGCGCGTTATGGCAGGGGCGGATCCTCGCGCGGCGTGGCTGGCGTACTGGAGGCGGGTGCGGCGGGCCACGTTGAGAATCGGAGGCACGCCGGTGAGTTCCCGCACCTCCCTGTTGCTCCTCCACACCGGACGGCCAAGAGTAGGATGCTGGACGGCCCCCGCGTTCCGACGCAGGACGCCGTTTTCGGCCACGGCGATGCAGCGCTCACGGTCGGCCTTCATCGTCCAGGCTTCGCAGCCGTAGAGGATGGAGGGCCTGATGATGGACGTGTAGAGGCGATTTTTGCTGTGCATGGAGAGGCGACGACTCTTGAGAAGCGGCAGCAGGGAAAACTTGGAGCGCATGCCAGCAGTCACTCTGGCTCGAATCTCAGCGTCCAGGTCGTTACTCTGCGTCACCACGCATCCAAGGTACTTGAAAGAGGCGACGCGGCGGAAGGAGAGGTCCCCGACGCGGATGGAGTTGCCGTGCTCGGGGCGGTCGGGGGCTGCAGACACCACCATGTACTCCGTCTTCGGGGAGAGACGCAGGCCATAGCGCGCCGACCGATCCCGTACCCGAACCGCCAGGTCGGCGAGGGCCTCCTTGGAGTCCGCGAGCAGCACCAAATCGTCCGCGAACGCCAAAAGAAGCGGCTCCTGCAGGTCAGTAGGGTCCGCAGACAGACGGCGTGCCAGTTCCCCAATGGCCGCCTCCAGAGCCAGGTTGAAGAGGAGGGGCGACAAGGGGTCGCCCTGCTTGACCCCAGTCACCACCTCGAAGAACGCCGACAGGATGCCACGGACCCGCACCGCGCAAGTGGACCCATCCTGAGTGAGCTTTACTAAGTCGATGAGCTTCTCCGGGACACCCTGGGCCCGCATCGCGGCGTAGAGGGCGGGGCGGTGCACGCAGTCATAGGCCTTTTGGAAGTCCACGAAGAGCAGATAGGTGTCCTGTCGCGCCTCCATCCGATGCTGCAGAATACAGCGCAGGGCGACTACCTGGTCGATGGTCGAGCGACCCGGCATGAAGCCGCATTGGTATTGGCCCACGATGCGCATGGCATGCGGCGCGAGGCACCGCAGCAGCCACGTGGCGAAGATCTTGTAGGCGACACACTGGAGGGCGATGCCACGGTAGTTAGTGCAAAGTGAGAGGTCACCCTTTTTGGGCAACGGTATGATGACAGACTGCCGCCACTCGGCAGGCATGGACCCGGACTCCACGATGCGCACGATGAGGCGCTGCATCGCCTCGGCGACGCACTCCCCTCCGGCGTGAAACAGCGGTGCACTAAGAGCGTCCACCCCCGGCGCAGATCGCTTTTTCATGCAGTCAATGACCTGCTGCACCTCCTCCAGGGTGGGTGGGGTCAGAGGGTCACCGTTCATCTCCTCTTGCAGCGGCACGAGGCCGTCAGGCCCAGGAGCGTTCAGGAGTTCGCTGAAGTACTCCTTCCATCTGGCAAGCACAGCAGCAGCGTCCGTGAGGAGGGACCCGTTGGCGGCGCGGAGCAAGGACCGGGCACCGCCACCGCCAGCACCTCTGCGACGCAGCAAATTGACGTCCTTGTAGTACGCACGAGAGTCCTTGGCCTCATAGCTCCGTTCGATGTTGTCGACGATGTCGTGAGTCCACTGTCGTTTCGCCCGACGAACGATCCTGCAGCATTCCCGCCGCATGCCGAGAAGGTCCTGGAAGAGGTCCTGGATGACGTCCTCAGGTGCACCCATATCCAGCGCGTCCATGAACACCTCGTGGGCGGCCTGGCGCTTCAGCAAGGCCTCTTCACAGTCATTACCAAACCAAGACAAGTAAGTGAAAGAGCCCCTAGACCGACCGAGGCACTCCTCCGCAGCCCCCTGGATGGCGGACTTGATGTGCGCCCACAACACGTCCGGACTGCTGTCTGGGGGCGGAGGGTCGCGGCCGAGAAGTTCCTCCACCTTGGCGCTGTATTCCGCGGCCTTCTCGGGGTCGGACAGCCGGCAGGTTTGGAAAGGCCGCTCCTGCGGGACGGCAGGCTGGGCTCGACGACGGCGCGGCCGGCAGGATACCAGCATCGAAAGCATGGCGTGGTCGGAGTGGTACGCCGCCCTGGGGATAGACTTCACGCAGCGCACGTCCTCCTTGTTGCGACTCCTGACCAGAACATGGTCGATCTGGTTCCGAGTGACGCCGTCATTAGAAAACCAGGTAATCTTCTCCACTGGGCGCCGGGACTCCATCGTGGACTTGACGACGAGACCATGAGCCACAGCGAAGTCCACAAGTCGACTACCATTGTTGTTGCAGACCGCGTGCAGGCTGTGAACCCCTGCCACATGGCCTGCCGCAGCACCACGGCCCACCTTCGCATTGAAGTCCCCTAGGACGATGACGGTGGCGCCCGCAGGGACAGAGAGCAGCAGGGCCTCCAGGTCCGCGTAGAAGGCTTCCTTGGCACCGTCCTCGCTGTCCTCCGTGGGGGCGTAAGCATTGATGATGGAGATGTTCTTTGGCCTCCCAGCGAGATCCAGGCGGGACACCCTCGCAGAAGGGGCCTCCCATCCGTAGACCGCCGAACAGAGCTCGGTGCGCACCATGAAACCAGTACCCATGGAGTACTGAGTGTCGTGGCCCCGAAAGTACAGCGTGTACTTAGGCGACGGCACCTCACACGTGTCGCGGCCCGGCCGCTTCACTTCCTGCAAGGCAGCGATGTGGACCCCGTGTTCATCAAGTTGCCTGGCCACCTGGAGCGCTGAGGCCGGTCTAACCAAAGAGAGCACATTCCAGGAGGCAATGCAAAGTTCCTTCCCCCGGTGAGCGCGAAGAGAGCGGCGCGGGACGGTGGCTGGCCGCTGTGCCCCGCCGTCCGGGGTGACGTCGACGGGGTCGTCCAGCAGATGCGGCGGGGGAGGGGGAATGAGGTGGAGCACTTCCTCGGAGACTCCATTGTCCACGCCGAACAAGGGAGGTGGGGGAATAAGCGGCCGCAAGGCGTCCAGGTCCACATCCGCTTCGCGAACATCCATGGCCGCGGCGCCAGGACAACAGGGATTCGCGCACGATACACTACCGGAACAGTGCCCTGCATTAACGCCGAGAAACCGCACACGCGCGCTACAGTCCGGCCGGCGGTAACAGCGCACGACGAGCACCGTAGGGAGGCTGGGACTGGACTGGAAGGCTCGTCACGACCGTGACACACGGGACGCACACTCCGACGAGCCGCATCAGTTCGCAGAAAAATTCCAATGTGCCCCCCTGTCCCCAGGGGCGGCGGTACCGCTTGAAACAGTAGCATGGTGATAAGGCCTGCAGCGGCTAAACAAAAGCAGCAAAGGGCTCGAGCGACGTCAGCCGGGCAACGCGACCGCCTGCAGTCCGGCAGTCCGTCAGGCCGTCCGCCGCTCCGCCGCTGCGACGCCTCCATCCGGCCGCTGCCTCAGCAGAGGCGCTTATCGCAACCGCGCCGCGACGCTACCGGGCCGCGAACCAAGGACGACACGGATGCTTCGGGCTGGGAATAAGAAAAACCAGACGAAGAAAAGCCTCGACAAATTGTGATGGGCGACGACCAATAGAGTTGTTAACAACCGACGAGGCTAAACGTAAAGTAAATGATGGGAATAAAAGCCTGGAAAGGAAAAGCTGAAAAGGAAAAGCTAAAAAGGAAAAGCTGAAAAGGAAAAGCTGTAAAAAATGGGGTGAAAACTGTCCGGCCTATGGCGCGCCAGCAGGGCAAGGCCGGGCGGCCGGCCAAAGCCAGAGGACAGGGGGGCAGGCCCTGTGACGAGCCGCCTCCACTTCACCCAGCCCAGGCAACACCAGCCCGTCTCACCACGCCGCGCGTCCCATTTCCTGGAGCAGTTTGACTAAAACTAGACAAGGAGAACACAATTGCAGCGGCCAAGGCAAGGCCCTGCACCTGCAGAAAACGGGCGAGGGGGACCCACGCCCCACTTGACCCCTCCAGCCCCCCCCCCCCCCCCCCTCGGACCGCAGGCCCCACCGGACGACGCAGAGTCACCTGGGATTCCGCCGAATGCCGGTTGCAGGTGAAGCAGGGGGGCAGGAGGATCCACGGCGACGACACCAGGGAAGGAGCTGGAGCGCCCCACGGTCCTTCGAGACGCATGCAGGCCGAGGGCCGCATAACCTCACTCCGCTGGGCACGCAGGCGCGTCGCAGCGTGCTTATCGCACGCGTAGCCCCATAGCGAACAAAGGGAGCACATGGCGGGACGAAAAATGCCCGTAACGGCCACAAAACGCCACCGATCGGCACACGAACACGCACACACAATCACTGAGACGACACGCGTCGGATGGTACCGAAATCAGCCGCCGGGACCGACTTTATACCACCTCAAATGACACATACGCGGGAGCGGCCCCGCCCGGCAGCCGGCAGCGCTCACGGCCGCCACGGGACTCCAGAAGACCGGTGGAGGCGGACAAAACTCCTGACGCGTTTTGAGCACCAGAGTCGCTCAGAAGGACTCGAACCGAACGTGTGACCCCACCAATGGATTCCTCGTTCGGAGAGCTGGGGTCACACGTTCGGTTCGAGTCCTGCTTGGCGGCTCTGAAGCTTAAAACGCGTTCGGGATTTTGACCGCCTCCGCCGGTCTTCTGGCCCACTGTGCGGTGTCCGCTCGAGAACAGCGAAGACAGAGACCCAAGTGAAACAGTTGTGGCAGCGGCCGGCTCTCGTCATGCGCCAGCGACTGCGGTCGCCAACAAGTGACTACCCCAGAGTGGCTCGGGTTCGAATCCCACCGGGGGGCGGCGCGCATTTTCTCCGAGGAGTGATTGTTGCCGCACTGGAAGGCGGCACACGCCCAGGAGGCACCCGTCGATAGGGCCTGCCAACCTCAGCCTGTCTATTCTATCTGGCAATTGGGTTTCGCAGGCTGAGGTTGGCAGCCCTTTGGACAGTGCGTTGCGGGAATTTTGGCGTACTTGTGTGGCGGCACTGCTGGGAGCTAGGCGCGCTAGGCCGGCATTATGTACGGGAGATGAAAGGGGATGAAGGCCGGTCTGTATTCACGGAGCCCGACGGCCCGACGGCCCGACGGCCGCACTCGGATCTCTGATTGGAAGAGACGGCGTCGTTGCCCTGTCTCTCTCGCACTCACGGCGGCGCGGCGGTCAGCACACTGCAAGCGCCTGCGGTCGGCGAGGTAGGCCACCACGCAGATGGCGGCCACCGCTGCGCTGCGGGACTGCCCACTCGCCAGGCGCTCCACAGTGGTGGAGGCGGCCAGAATCCCGGACGCGTTTTGAGCTCCAGAGTCGCTAAATGGGACTCGAACCGAACGTGTGACCCCACCAATGGATTGCTCTTCGGACGAGGAGTCCATTGGTGGGGTCACACGTTCGGTTCGAGTGCATCGCCATATCCCTGCGGGGTGGCTCGTCGCCCCTAATCCATCGCTTGCCGACATGGCCGAGGCCGAGGCAGTGAGGGGGTCTTGTCGGAGTGCCTGTTCGGGCTGTTCTTGCCGACACGCCACGAGTCCCGGGTGGTCCAAGCCGGCCGGGCCGAACGGGCTTCACTTTGGCGCAAAAAGCGATCGCCTGAAGTGCGGCTGGCTGGATCCAGTCGGGGAGTCGGACAGATCCCAATCACGCCGCCGTTTCTCCGTTTCTTTCCACAAACAGAGCGGCAAATAGAGCGGCCGGCCGGCCGACGCGCGCCCAGAATCCAGACGAGGACCGAGTAATCTAGCGTGGCAGCTCTGACGCGCGGCGCGCACTGCGACCGGGAGAGGGAGAGAAAAAAGTTGCTTTGTATCGAAAGCACTCATCGTAAGGCGAAGGCCGAACGGGGGTTGGGCCGGCTAGGCACCGCCGCAGTCACTCCACTGCTAAAAAAACATTAGAAATCCCCGACGGAGCTTTGGAACGCACTACCCGCGATTTTGCCACTAACTTCTAGCAGTGCCCACCGCGAGGACGAGGACGAGGACGGTCTCCGTGGCGACGGCGACGCTGAGCCGCGCCGCCTCCAGCAGGCCCATTCCGAACCGCGCTGAGCCGCCGCCTCTCTCTCTCGCACCCCTGCGGCACCGCGCCAGCCGGGCCAGCCCCGCGAGTGAGAGAGAGAGAGAGAGAGAGAGAGAGAGAGAGAGAGAGAGAGAGAGAGAGAGAGAGAGAGAGAGAGAGAGAGAGAGAGAGGGCGGCACTGCCGTCGGTAATTAATGGAGACTATCCCGGCCGCGTCGCTGAGTCATCCGTTCTTGTTCCGGGATGAAAAGTGGCAAGCGGCTCAGCCGCCCCACTGCATCCCACCTCGTCAACAGGAGAGGAAGAACCCTTCAGTCATTATTCGGACATTTCTTTCAGACGTTAATTTTTTGCCTCGAATTTCTGTTTACGGCACTCCGCGATCGGTCCTTGAAACCGAGGCCCCGAGTGGAGCGCATATCGAAGATGGCCGAGCCAACGAAGTTGGTGCTCAACTCGGATGGGCGTTTCAATCTCATTACCGGGTATGAATTTCAGTCTGGTGCCAAGATTCCATATGCCTCTTATCCATGCTGAAGGGCACACACCGCCCAGTCCCGGTCTGTGCTGCCCAGAAACAGGCCGGGTTCGTGAATCCAAAAAACAGAGCCAACAGCTGTTTGGCCTGCCGCCTGCCCCAGTCCAGTGTAGGGACTGTGCCCTGTGCCCCCGCGGCCTCGCCACGGACCCCGTGCTCCACGGCCGCCACCCAGCGCCATCTGCCGGCCTGCCGAGACTCCGGGGCGGCAAGGACCGAGCTCCGAGCGCGGGGCATGGACAGGACAGACCTCCCAAGTGCGGGACAGGGGGTATTCACACCCAACTCCACAGAGCTCAACGTTCACCAAGTATTTTGGCCAAAGGGGGGACAGAGTCGTGAGGAGCATTGAAACAAAATGTAAAGAAAAAAAATTCAATGTATTTGGCTTGATTTTAGTACAGTATCAGTTGGTTTAGCTCTACTTTAATATACAGTGCCAGCAGTGAATAAATTATTGATCTGAGGAAATAGAACAAGGCTCTTCACTTCGAATGTAGCTCTATACAAATTGTAACGACGTTTGGTTTAAGAGCCTAATCAATCATTAGTTTTAGAGCCCAACTTAAGAAGCACTTAAGTTTCCACAATGACGATATTTAAACTGGATTAGCAACATACACGAAAGGCACAAAATTAATAAGCCATAATTTACCACAAACTTATCACATACATTGAACATAACAAAAATAAAGATGCATGAAAAACCTAAGATGACAAATAAAGGGTCAAGCTACAGAGAGATCAGAGCTGCCCTTAAGTGATAAAATGACAAGCAACTTTTTTTAAAAGTTCACAACTACTAATCCAGCCAGCAGCACAAAGGGAAATTAATGCCAGTTTTGAGAAATAAATGTGAAAAGAATACTACTAAAATAATTTTTAAAAAAGAAAAGACTCACTCTTAACAATCTGCTAAAAGGAAATTGGGTCAACAATCAAAATGAAATCTCAGTTTCCTTGAAGCACTCACTTCCTACCCTGTACCATGCGTAAGTTTTCAGACCAGATTGTTTTTCAATGGGATCACATAACAGTAAGTGTTCACAAACAGACCAAAATAATTCAATCTTAGTATAGGAACTATTCTACACAAAATGCAGATCGACTTGATTGCCTTGAAATTACCTTCTCTTAGGTGGTATAAAAAGATAACACAAGATAATACATTCAGGTTACAAACTATAAACGTACCAGGACAAATTAGTGTAAGTGCTTTCTTCAAAAAAAGAACAGAATGACAAGAGTGGAGTGCAAACCATTCAAGATTGCGCAAGAAAACTAGCAGTCATTTTGCAGTTTGACTGCAAAATACGGAATCACACGTCTTCCTTTACACCTTTCTAAAACACTAGTCACATACATGCCAACACATTCACTCACATATGCACAGTTGAATTCATTTAAATTAAACAATAAGTGGTCCTCATTCCACATCCATTTTCTCCTCCTGCGAATTCTTCTGGGAACTATGATCACCAGTTCCTGCTGTGGGTCCGTTGTCGGTGGCGTCCTTGCTGTCCGCTGTTGGAGGGGGCTCCACCTTAGGCTTTGGTTTGGCCAGGATAGGCGTCACCGCGCTCGTGAAAGACTGCACAAAATGAAAACCAAACATTCTGTGAGGAAAATGGGCGCAAAATTGCTGCCCAGAATTGGTCTTGCACAGGAAGGGGTGAGGATGGGAATAAGGTAAAAAGGACCAGGCATTTGGCATGGGAAGCTTGACCAATTCTAGAAAGCAGATAAAAATTGCATAGAAGCCTCAAACTAAAAGAGTAAAAGGGCACTTACGTGTTTCTGTTCCCTGACTGCTGATACTTTGATGGTGGGGTCCAGAGTCTTGTTAGAGGGGTTCAGTGCTGAGGCATTGTCATCTAACCATCGCTGGGCAGTATCAAATGAGGTTTGAACTCGCTGCATTTCATCGTCTGTTAAGTGGCTGTACTTCTCATCACCAGCACGCCATTGTTCTACTGCTTTCCTTGTTAATTGCAAAGCAGCCCTCAATTCCTCAACAGCAGACGGCCGCAGTTCGTGTTCCAGGCGTCTTTCCTTGATGGGTTCTCCAAGTTTCTGATGAGAAATAAACAAAAATAACAGTTTATGACAATCACAAAAACAAACTTGAGGCAAGGCGAGGCGATTCGACACTTAACATCAGTTGCGGAGGGGGAGAGAGCAAATAAAAAACAGTGGTAGTGGGTGCAGTCTTCAGTTAGTACCCACCCAGTTTCAACAAAAAATTAATATGCAAATGAGACCAGGGACACTATGGATGAATGTTTTTATTTGTTTAAGGGTACATAAGGTCAGACATGAACATCTGACACAAGAGGGGTGTAGCCAGATCAAGAAGAGGTTGTGTTCTCCCCAGTTTCCTCCAGCAAGAAAGGACTCATTTCAAATAACTCAAAGTCAGCCTATTCAGGGAAAACAGGAATAAAATGAAGAGGCCATGGTCAAGGAATGAAAGGTCAAGGAGTAGGAACCAGGAAGGTCAAGTTCAACAAGACTGTTGAATAGTTTAGGTTTCATGTACCAGGTAGACTGATAGACAGGTAGACTTAAAAAGAGCCATTACGAGGGACACTTACCTTGAGGGTAGACAGCTGATCCACATAAACTTGCCGGTTGCAGTCCTCTCCCTCTTCATAAAGCCAGTTCTCCATAGAGTCAAGCTTCTGCAAGAGTTCTGTCCTGTCTGCTTCTGTCACATACATTCCTAGTTCGTCATCAGCGCCCAATTTGCCTCTCAGCTCATACACATACTCCTCCAAGGCATTCCTAGCATCAGCTCTCTCCTTCTCCTGCTTATCGTTCGCAATCATTTTGCACTGATTCAAACAAAAAGACAAAATTAGTATAGTACATCAGAAAAAAATAATTTTGCAAAACACGGGCAGAGCGAAAGCTTACCTCTTCTTCGATGTGAAGGTTCAGCTCCTGCTGAGTATAGCCAGTTGCTGTGCTTTCCACAGGTAACTCTATAACTTTCACAATTTGTTTTGTTTTCTTTTTGTCCTTCTTATCGCTGTCTTCTTCCATGGGCTCATCTTTGTGATTGAGCTCTGAACCATCAGTTGACTCTGTGTCCATTGGTTCTTGTTTGTCGTTGGCATCCTTAGATTGAGCCTCTTGTTTGGCTTCCGCTTCCTTCTGCTCTGCCTCAGCCTGCTCTTGTTCTGTCGCGTCTCTCTTCTCCGTTAACTGTGCCCCACTTACAGAAAACATGCCGTGAAGGTTCACCCTTACTTTCACTTTCACCTTATGGCTGGTGCCTTGGGCAGTTGGTTTCACATCCTTTACCACATAGCGGGCTGCAAAAGGATAACACACAATTAACTCCTAAACGATTATCCCATTTCCAGATGAACCACTGGAGACACCTTCTACTTACCGATTAAAGGATCAGGGAATGGAATGTTTCCAGTATATACAGCTTTCATTGAGAAGGGCTCCTTGCGGTAGAAGGAGAGCATCTTGGTGTATGGGACAGCGTCCTTAGGGGTGAAAAGTTCCATTTCACTAGAAAAGAGAAAAAAGAAAAAGTTCAGCCACAAGCACATCACAACATGTCCATTTGAACATAGACCCTGATAAGTGCTTCAAACATAACAAACATTAGGGAAATAACAGTAGAGATCTACGCCAAGGGGAACATTAGTAATAACTCCAAGCTGTTTGGTTAGGCAAAATAAGCAGAGTGTGATTTCTGAAACCACACTCATAACCAACAGCATGAATTACGTGTAGCATATTAATCTAACCATAGCATCTAGAAGTGCATTTATCCTGACAAATGAACACCACATGGAAGCAAAAAGAAATTTCTCTGATATATAAATGTGGAGAGGCTAGGGTACCACAAGAGGTTCTGCCATGCAATACATCTTATATGATGTGATCATAATCTTGCAAGCAGAGTAACCAGACTGGTGCACAAAAATCACACTCTTACCGGTACCCCCTTACATGCTTTCGATGCCACTTTGGGAATAGTTTGTCAATAAAATGAGCCCCCCTAAAAGTACTTGTCTTCTTTCTGGAAATATTGACAAAATCATGGAAGTTACTCTACACATTTTTCAAAGTCAGTATGTAGTATCCCCATATGACATTTAAGTTACTTATTTCCAGGTGGCGGTTTCAGCTTTAAGGTACGCAGAGCACTGCACACAAAAGCTCAAGAGCTCCATTCCAGTAGGACTTACCCCTCATCTCCCTTTGAGGCGTCCCAGATGAGCTTGATGGGGAAGTTCTGGATGTCAGTGACACTGAAGTCACGGACACGGACGGCAGGTGACAGCATAGCACACTGAAGAGCACAACCACGCGACACAGCTTCATCTTGGTTGAGGGTTGTGGATGGGGACTTCAGGAAAATCTGCTCAATGAGCTGTTTGATAGCAGGTACTCTTGAAGAGCCACCAATGATCTCCACAGCATAAATTTCATCCACCTTCAGCTCTGAAATATACATAAGATTGTTACAACATTCGTAAGTGAAAGAGAAAACATAAGGAGGAATTCAAATGCTTACTGCAGTCAGCAAGGCACTGCTTTAAGACGTTCTCCACCCTCTGGAACAAGTGCCCTGAAAGAGCCTCCATGTCTTCACGCTTCATGTCTCCATGGACATCAATGTCATTCATAAAGCATTCAATGTTGATTGGAAGCTTAGTTGAGTTTGATGACATCTGTTTCTTCAGCTTCTCAACTTCACCTAACAAGCGCACATAAGCACGTGGGTTTGACTTTGCATCAATTTTGTACTTCGCTTTGAATTCTTCAGCGAAGTGGTCAGCGAGGATGACATCAAAGTCCCTGCCACCAAGGTTGGGGTCTGACACACATGCCAGCATCTATTTATTAAAAAATTAAAAAAATTATCAGTTAAAAACAAATTTAATTTTTTTTCAGCCATGATTGGCTGCAAACCATAGCTTGCACACATAACAGGAGTAATTTGGAACTCACCTTTAGTTTACCCTTGTTAAAGGCACAGACAGATACTTGAAGAGAACTGTATCCACAATCAACAAACACAACATTGCGCGGTTTCTCTTCTGGGTTGGGAAGATCTTGTTTGTAGATACCATACGCCAGAGCTGTTGCCGTTGATTCATTGAACAAACGCAAAACATTTAAGCCAGAAATGGCAGCTGCATCCAACAAAGCTTTGCGCTCTGCATTGGTGAAGAATGATGGAACCTAATCATACAACACCATAAATTAGAGACATGAGACAAAACAATAGTGTTAATATATAGAAAGTACACTAGGAAAGTAACGTACAGATATCACACAATCATTGACTTTCGCCTTCAGTGCCACCTCTGAGATTTCTTTCAGCTTTGTAAATAACATAGCGGTGATTTGCTCTGGAGTAAAGGTGTGCACTTCATCAAGGTAATTGGCTACCATTCCTATGTTACCGTTAGCTGTTTCAACTACTTTGAATGGTAATGTTTTCAGCTCTTGTTGTACAAACGGATCCTTGAACTTTCTTCCCAACAGCCTCTTGAAACCGAAAAAGGTATTTTTCGTGTTGGAAACCAACTGGTTCTTGGCTGCAACACCAATGACCCTGTTTTTTCCGCTGAACGCCACACATGATCTGAAAGAAAAGATTCAGAAATTACACTGAGCTCCAATGGATAAGTTAAAACAAAATCAAAAGGTTCACATGCATGACAGCACAGAGCAACCATCAATAACCGGAACCCCTCAGCAAGTGTAAGACGCGAGCAAAATAATTCCTGCTATTCATTGAGTAATGCCCGTGATTACCGTCAAATGAGAATTGAGATAGCCATAACAATAGAAAGATCAACAACATGAACACTTAACTTGATAATAAATTATGATAAATTAGAGAAAAAGAATGCTGAAGTATAAAATGCGCACATTGACTTAGAAGGTATAGCCTTATAAGGAATGGGTGGGAAGTGAGCTAACTGGCCCATATGAGTTCTACATGAGAAAAAAGAGAACTAAGCAGCCTGCATATCGAGTCAGTCAAAACACCACAGTGGGAGTACACAGGGAAACATGTTAATGACCAGCGAGAGAGAATGAACGAAGAAATATTATCACATTCCTCTCAAGGTCTCAGAAGCGAGGTAAAAGGCCCGCTTAACCTAAAATGGGCAAGGAAACTGAAAATTCCCGCAGGAGGACTGTTACTTGGTTCAGCATTCAGGCATGAAAGACAAACTATTCGAGACTGCCAAGGTGAGCAGTCCTTGAATCTAAACATCAAAAGAGATCAATACTTACGGTGTCTGTCGTAAGCTGTAGTCATTCGCGATGGTTTCAATACCACCAGCTCTTGCTACGGCTACGTAGCAAAGATCGCTGCCAAAATCAATGCCAATCACAGACATTGCTGCTTTTCTTTCTTCTCAACACGGTGGAGCACTGCGAAAAGGCGTTAAACTGTCCGTGTGGCGCACACTGCGATGATTAGGATGATTTGCTCGAATTGGTTTCGTTCACCGGCAAGCGAGACCGTCTGGTCGCACCGAGCACATGGAATCGAAAGCGAACCGAACCGAACCGTCTGGAACAGCGCTAGCGGTTAGCTCGCTTGTCGTCTGCAATCGATATATATCGAAACGTACCGGAAGACCGCCTCTAGAAAATTCTAGAAAACTCTCGTGAGGCGGATAGACGCAAGATTGACCGCTTTTTCATGTTGATGCGTGTCTTTTTGGCCTCTTCGCGTTTTTTCGGGAGCTTTAGAGCGCCTTGGAGGCTCTAATAAAATATGAAAGCCTCGGAGGGAAATTTTCTCCGGTCACCGCGAACTGATGCACGGTCTAAGCGCGCCATTTTTGAATCGGGCGCGCGTCGTGACAAGACTCAAACCACAGAGAAAAATGTCTTTACAAAAATAACACAATGTTAAACACATGTAAAACGCCTTGTCACAAAATTAAAAAGTCTCTCTTATACGCAAACGCGAAATTTTTCTTCGGGTTTGAGGAACTGAAACAGAAATGGCGGATTGTGCCAACAAGTGGAACAAGTAGCTGGGACCCGGGCCCGGGCGGCCACTACTGTTGAAATTTCCATAGTAATTTCAAAGTGTTGTTTTTGTTTCTTTTTTCTTTTTTTCTTTTAAAATTTATTTGATAGGAGCAATATGTTTATCACTGTGTAATAAATTGAGTAGTTTAAAATAAGATCGCGGAGAAAGTGCAGATCGGGGAAGATGTCGTACGAAGGTGAGTGATCACAAAATAATTAATTAATAGAAAACACGCTGTGGGCATGCTATGCCATTATTTTTTTTGTGAGACACGCACTTTAATTTTAATTAATCGCAAGGGTCGAAAAGCATTAAGCGGCCGCAGTCACCTACAATTGTCCTCGATACCCTCGAAGAAAAGCTTACGGCTTAATCGATTTTGCAAGATAATGTCCTAATGTTGATCGAAGGTGGGTACAAGATGCCGTTGAAAGGCGTGGGGCCACCGAAAGTGCATAAGGGCGAAGGGGACTCGCTTCCAGGGGCCCTGGCAAGTCGTTGAGTGGGACAGAGACGGCGAAGGCCACCATGCAGCCGGCAGGGGCCTGCGAGGCCAGCGCTGCGGTGCGGCCCAGCCAGGGCGTCATCATCCAGTCCGTCCCCGAGATCCCCATCGACGCCTACCTCGTGGCCCTCTCCCGGGTGCTGGACCCTCGCAGCGTCACGCACATCGCCAGGTGGGTGATGCCTCTGACACACCCTTGGGGACTTGAGGCGTCGCGCAGGGCCGCGAGACGACGACCCTTCCCCCAGGACCGGCGAGGGCGTGTGCGTGTTCCTGGACAGCGTGTCCGAGGCCGAGGACCTCGCGGAGGACGGCGTCGTCGAGGTGGACGGCGTGGCGCTGGCGTGCCGACCCTACCGGGCGGACAGTCGCCGAGTGCGCCTGTCCGAGTGCCCGCCCTTCTTGAGGGACTGCGACATCGTGGCGGAGCTGCGCAAGTTCGGCCAGGTCTCGCCCCGCCTCGCCCGGCCCGGCGTCACCGAAACGCCCCGCTGGAGCCGGTACTCGAACCCGCGGTCCGCAGGTGTTCCCGCCGCTCGTCGCCGAGCCGGTGTCCACGGCCGTGCCGGACTTCGCGCACGTGCTGTCGTTCACCAAGACCGTCGCCATGGTGCTCAAGGGCGACCTCCCCGACGTCCTGAGCGTGCCGTATGAAGGCCTGCAGGTGCCCGTGCGCCTCACAGTGGAGGCCAAGACGGCCTGGCTGGAGTCCAGCTGGCCGCCCCAGGTAACTCCACTGCCACACCATTTTCGTTCCAACTTCGCGGTTCGAGGTTCGCCGCCCTGACGTGCCGCACTTTGTCCGCAGCGAGCCGCGGACGCTTCTCCGCGGGACTCGCTGGCGGCCGCGGCCACGACAACCGGCAAGGTCAGCTCGCGGGGCCCGCGTCAAAGAGGCCTCCGGTCCTTCCGGTCGCCCGTCGACGCCTTCATGGCCCGGCACCCCACGCTGGCGCTGATGGCGCGCGCCTCGCCGGCCGCCTCGCCGAGTGCCTCGAGAAGCAGTCTGCAGCGGGGCGCCTCGCCGGCCTCGCCCGCCTCGCCCTCCAGCAGGAAGCGGAGGGCCTCTCCGACCTCGGTGAGGGTCGTCCGCAAAGCCCCTCCCTTCCCCCGGCCAACCTGTTGCCAGCCAGCGACAGCGGAGGGCCGTGCCTCTCTGTCTCTCTCGCACCCACGGGCCGCCCGCTAGAGTGCGAGAGAGACGGAGCGACGAAAGGACCCTCTGGCCGTGCCCGCAGATGGCCGCGTCGGACAGTGCTTCCACGACGAGCTGCGCGGTCGCGGCGCGCACCGCGGGCACGGCAAGCACACCGCGAGGCCTGCGCGGCGTCTCCAGTGTCCTCTCCGCCGGCACCGCCAGCACCGCCAGGCCGTGCGCCGCGCTCCCCGCGCCCTTCATGCAGCACCGCAGCCCCTACGACCCGGGCGGCGGCCGACGCGCTGCCACTGTGACGCCCCGCGCCGCCGTCAACGCCGTCAAGCGCTTCATCGCCTAGGCGGCCTAGGCGGCCGAGACCGCAGCGGGTACGTCCCGCAGCTCTGCCTTCCCTCCCAGGGTAAAGGGTGAAGACGCGACAGCATGTACTTGGCACAGTTCCGAAAGTAAAGTGTGATGCCCGTTTTTCGCATGGTGTTCTCATTCGCGGTGTAGGCGCACTGTTCTGCGCTGTGTCCTGCTGGCCGGATAAAGGATGTCATGAGGACACCGGGGCCTTTCTTCCTGTCCCTGTGTCGCTGTCTCCCTCGCACTCCTGGGGCGCCTTGCAGGGGTGCGAGGAGGACTAGCTAGTCTCCGTGCTCGCGGTGACAAAGACCACAAGGACTCGCATGCGTGTCGCAGTGTGCGAGGCAGTGTGCCGCCCTCGACGGCGCAGGAGTGCCCTCGCTCCCCACACGACCGCGGGCTGCTTCCGAACAGGGCGTCGTCGCCCCGTCCCTCTCGCACTCGAGGGGCGCGGCGGCGAGTGCGAGAGAGACAGAGAAGCTCTGTTCGGAATCGGTCTAAGCGGTGATTGGTTGTTCGCTACTCGTGCGTGTGGGGAAGCCATGTGGCCATCGGCTGGAGAGGGGGGGGGGGCAGAGGAAGCCGCCGCGATAGGCAGAGAGCGAGTGAGAGACAGAGAGACAGCGCGGCGGAGGGCGGAGCGATACAGGTATGGATCCGGACGAGGACGAGATAACCCCGACGACAGATGGGCCGCGTTCCCAAAGCCATAAAAACAAAAAGCAAGAGTTACAACTGTGACAGTGCGGGGCAGGCGGGGCACGCCGGCACGCCGAAGGGGCCTCGTCTCTCTCTCTCGCACTCGCGGTTCGCCTCGCTGGGGTGCGAGAGAGAGAGAGAGAGAGAGAGAGAGAGAGAGAGAGAGAGAGAGAGAGAGAGAGAGAGAGAGAGAGAGAGAGAGAGACGAAGCTTTCTGTTCTAGCCGGCTGCAATCTGGGCTGGGGGTTGGGCCGTAGACTGACTCGGAGCAGCAGGCTTCTCTCTCGCTCTCGCGGAGCGTCCCGCTTGGTCGTGAGGGAGACAGGGCGACGGTGTAATGGGCCTTGCTGGTCGGGGTGATCGGAAATTGGTGGTTCGGCCTGGCTGGGCCTGGCTGGGCCCGGGGCACGTTAGCAAGGCCCTCGATGAAGGGGGCCGACGGGCCGACTGGGGCTTCGGACAGCCAGTCGCTGCCGATCGCCCGATCAACCCGGGCTGTGGGCTTGGGGCTCCGGACGACGCCGAGGCAGGCACGCCAGGCGGCGCCATGACGGCCCTGACCATGAAGGTCCTGGTGGCGGAGGCCATGGCGCGGCGGGCGGCGTTCGGGGAGCTCCGCGCGTGGGGCGGCCGCAACACGCCGCCGTGGGTGTCGTCCTCGCGGTGCGCCGTGGGGTCCTCGGCCACGGACGCGGCCCTGCGCGCGCTGCTGCGGCTGCCCGACCCGCCGCGGCCCAAGCGCAAGCGCCGCCAACGGCCGCGCCTCGCCGCCGTCGACGACCCCCGCAAGCGCTACGGCAGGCTCCTCCGGCGCACCAGCCCGCCGCCGGAGCACACCGGTAGGTAGGGCGTGTAGCAGTCCACAAGGTCGCCGGTTCGATACCCGCCGCACTCAGTTTTTTCGTGCTGTTTTTGACGGGCTGTTTGTTAAAAATGCAAAAAAGTGGGTGTCCTCGCTGCCGCCCCACGCCTCCATAAAGCAACGCGCCCCCAGTGGGGCCCCCCCAGACGGCGTGCCCACCACCACCCTGGGCCCCACACCGTCAGACGGCGGCGCCTGCGGCTCACGCCCTGCGCGCCGACGCGATGACAGGACGACAGCCCAATATCTCGGCCTTTTTATTCGGACGGCTCAGCCGGCTGGGATGCATTGTCGACAGTCGCCTGTTCCCAAAGCCTTCCGAACCCCAATCCCCAAGCCCGGCGAGGTGCAGCCAAAAGCCAACAGTCGGCGTCGGCGGCCACACCTCGCACTCGCCCCTCGCCCTCGCCGCCGTCGGCGCCGTCCTCGTTGCCCCGCGCGCGCTGACCCGGCCTCCGCATGGCCTCCGCCATGTGGTCGCGGGCCGCCGAGGAGTCCGTCGACAGGGTCTGGGAGTACTACCTGCCAGGTACCGGTGTCCGGCGCCGACCAACCGCACGGCGGCGTTGGCGGCGCGCGGCACGGCGCGCGGCACGGAGCGCCTGACGGGGACGGGGTAGGCCGCACCGCGACACGCGCCCGCAGCAGGTGGCCTACGCTGGACCGTTCCTGGCCGGCGCGCCGCCTCGCCGCCCGGGCCGCTTGCTCTCCCTCCCCGTTGCTCCTCGGCTTGGTGCATGTTGCAGACTTCGCGTACGTAGTGCGGGCGCAGGAGCAGGCCAGGGTGGCGTTCGGCTCGGCGCAGAGCCGCGCCGTGCTGCCGCTGGCCGGCCCCGGCGGCGGCGCGTCCCGCCTCGCGCTGCTCGCCGTCAAGGCCACCGACGACCTGGACCACCTCGGCCCGGCCAAGTACACCACGCCCACGCTGGGCGCGCTGCACGACGTCCTCACGAGGGTACGACGCTTCCCCGCCGCCCGCCGTGGCCGCGTGGGCTAACGCACCCGTTTCCAACTTTCAGTACCCGGTTCAAATCCACATCCTTTGAAATTTCCCGTTCGCTCGCAGCACGTGCTGGTAATCAGCCGCGCGGCGACGCCACGCGCTTATCGCTGAGCTGCTCTGCCGCGCTGCGGAGCGGCAAACAGGCGCAGTCGCGGGTTCGAATACCGCCGTCGTCCGTTTTGTTGCAGGTGACGACCAAGCGGCCCGACGTCGGCCCCGGCGGCAGCACCGCGCCGCGCTTCAGGGAGGTGGACCAGCACCTCCCGGCGCCCAACACGTACCAGCTGCCGAGCCGGCGGCCAGCCACGCCCAGCAAGGCGCCCTTCAACACCACCACCACCAGGAGGCCGCTGGTCACGTCCAACACCCCCGGGTAAGCAGCGCAGTGGGCCAGAAGACCGGTGGAGGCGGACAAGACTCTGGACGCGTTTTGAGCTCCAGAGTCGCTGAATGGGACTCGAATTGAACGTGTGACCCCACCAATGGATTGCTCGTTCGGTTGCCAATTGAAACTTGCGCAGGCCCGGCTCCTACAACCCCGGGGCCTTCAGCCAGCCCGGCGTGGCCGTGGTGGTGCGGTGCGGCCAGGGCGACGGCCCGGGGCGCTGCGAGGCGTGCCAGGAGGAACTGGCCGCCGAGTTCTGGTCGCTGGACGGCCACGTGGTGCAGGGGCTCCCCCGGGACGCGCTCATGTGCCAGGCCTGCATGCAGTCGGCGCGCGCGCTGCTGCGGGCGGCCGGCGCCAGAAGCAAGACGCGCTTCACGCGCTGGCAGCTGGACGCCTTCAAGGTGAGCACTCGCTGTCTCTCTCGCACCCACAGGGAACGCCCCAAGAGTGCGAGAGAGACAGAGCGACGAAAACGAGCCTCGGCGTTAGCTTCAATTAACAGTGGCGCCGCGACAAAATTATCACCACACCGCCACCAAGCCAAAGTAAAAATATGGACCGACACAAGTTTGGAGCAGACGAGTGTGACGAGTAGTCGGGAGCCAGGGCTCCAAGTGCCGTGCCCCCTCGCAGTGTGCCAGACGGGCTGGCCCGGGTACCGGGTAGCGCCCGACGGGTGGGCAGACCCCAGCGCGGGGCTGCCGCTTGGGTTGCGGTTGGCAGGATCGGGCGTGTGAGAGAGAGAGAGGGCGACGGAGCTCGCAGGAGACAACACAGTAGCCGTGCCCCATGTCGCTGAGGCACCCACTTTACATTTCAAAGAAACAAAGTTTAAATTTTACTTTTTAAAAACTTGCTTGGTCGTTCCAGAAAACCCGTGACTGCTCGGACATCCACCGGCACGAGGGCACGAAGTCCAAGATCAGTCTGGTGGACCCCAAGACGGTGGCGAAGCGGCGCCGGAAGGAGGCCTACCTGGCCAAGTACTTCCGGGACCAGGCCGTCGTGAACCCCAACCTGATGGCCGGCACCGAGCCCGCCAAGCTGAGTAAGGCCTAGCCCATGCGCCCATCGCGCCCTGCGCCCGCAACAAACAACAACAACAACAGAAAAGCGCGGGAAAGAGAACCAGCAACAACAACAACATAGATTTTAGTGCGCTGACGAGCGGCATTCTAGCGATCGCCGTGCACACTGTATTCCTTTGACAGCAGCCGTCGCGGCCGGCCAAGTCTCTCTACCGAGGCATCCCTGTCTTGCAGATACCCTGTAAAAATACCTGTGACTGGAATTATTTTTCTACAAATTGACATTGACAATAAAAGGCGGTGCTTCGGTGGTAACTCGGAGCCGTTTGGTTTTTTCCAACCACCACTTTTCCCAGAAACCACAGCTATTTTCAAAAAGTCTTTAATTTAGTAATTAAGATTCGTATTTTGCTTTAAAAATATGCTAAAAAAAACGAGATTTTTTAGTTTTTAAGGCTTTTTTAGAAACAAAAAAAAAATTCTAGTTTCCCTGGTTGCAAGGACGTCCTAACGCGATGCGCGGCGTGCCCCACAGCCGAGGCGGAGGTGGACGCGGGCCGCGGTCCCCGGCCGGACGCCTTCTGCTGCCTCCACGAGGCGTTCAACAGCTTCAACAAGGACAACATGTCGTTCGGACTGCGGTCGCTGCGGGTGCCCTCCGACGTGCTGTACAACACCATGAGGCGGTGCGCCCTGGACTTCCACCCGTCGCGGTCCTCGTCCACGCGGACCTCCGTCAGGGAGTCCGTCAGGGGGTCCGTCAGGGAGTCCACGACCCGCCGCCCCTCGCGCACCAACTAGAAGCACTGCCCGTCGACGCACAGTGCGCCACAAGACCGGTGGAGGTGACTCTAGACGCGTTTTGAGCTCCAGAGTCGCTGAATGGGACTCGAACCGAACGTGTGACCTCACCAATGGATTTCTCTTAGAACGGGGAATCCATTGGTGGGGTCACCCGTCCGCTTCGAGTCCTGTTCAGCGACTCTGGAGCTCAAAACGCGTCCAGAGTTTGGGCCGTCACCACCGGTCTTCTGGCCCACTGTGCGACGCTCGGCAGGCGCAGAGAAAACGGACTGCCGAGTGAATTTGCCACACTCGCGTTTTATGCTAATCGCCGCCCTGCACTGGCAGGGCGCGCCTTGGTGGTCGTGTCCACAAGTCCCACCATTTTAGTTTCGATTCTTTTGCCCGCCCTCGCGCTGTTTCGCGAGGGCGCACCCGCTGTCCGGCATTACGCCCACAGTCGTATTGCTCCCGTACCTGTTCAAGTATTCCCCAGACTCTTGTTCCCCTGGTGGCGTCCGATATGTCTGGACGGCCGCAATAAAAGTTGAGCCCGATAGACTCGAGAGAAGATCTCCCCTCCCCTTTCTCGCTTCCCAAAAAATTCCTCGCCATGGAGAGACTCGCGGTGCCAACAGTGGCAGCCCTGCATGCTGTGAGTCGTTTTCGTCGCTCTGTCTCTCTCGCACTCACGGGCGTCCCGTGAGGGTGCGTGAGAGACAGAGCGACGAAAAGACTCTGGCGGCGAGACGCTGCAAAGCGGGTCAAGCCGCGCACCGCAGGCCTGCCACCTGTCAAACTTGGAGGGCCTCGCTGCCGCCGCGCCGCCTCGCGTGTTGCGGCATTGTAAGCACGACGCATCGGCTGGCCGGCGGGTTGCCAGCCCTGCAGGGGAAGGGCGCCGCCAACCTGACAAAAAAAGCCAAAGCTCTCGTGTTTTAAAAAAAAGCTCTGGTGTTGCCAATTAAGTTAGCAGAAATTCCCACGATGCACCGGGGCCGAGAGGGTTGCCAACCTCAGCCTCCAGCTCTCGAAGTAGGTGACCCGAGGGTGGCCACCCTGTCGACGCCGGTGCGTGGTATGCGAATTTTGGAAGGCGTGTGGCAACTCTGGACGCTGGGCGGCGCTAGGCGGGCAGCCTCGCCAAACCCTGACCCGCACACTGTGATGAGGGGCCACCCAGGGCACAGCCCACTCGGCCTACTCGTTGATGACGGGGAAGGCGTGGCCGGGGAGGCGGCACAGCCCAGGCGGGGCCCAAGGCCACCCTTTGAGAGGGGCCCTTCATCTGGCCCATTGACGGCGGCGCGTGCTGCACCGGGCGCTGCACGTCCCCGTCGACCGCCAGTCTCCCTCCGTCTCTCTCGCACTCACGGGGCGTCCCGCACAGGTGCGAGAGAGACAGAGCGAGTCTGCAGAGGCGGCGGCAGCGACGGCGCGGCTAACACAGACATCGATGTGCAGTAGAGCGGCAGACGGGCAATGACGGCGACCTCGCGGCGCCCCGCGCTTCCAGTGTGCCTCCGGCGTGCTTCCACCCTGTGCGGAGTGCGGACCGCCGAAAGACGCGAGACGCAGAGACGCGTCTGCAGTCTTGGGTCTCCGCGCCCCGCCACGCCGCGCCACGCCACGCCGCGCCCCGCCACGCCACGCCCTGAGTCGTGCTCCCGGGCTGTCACCGCGTCGCCGGGTTTCCGCGGCGGGGCGCCTCACGGGGGGCGCTTCCGAACGCCGCTCTGTCTCCGTCGCACTCACGGGGCGCGCCCGCCGGGTGCGAGAGAGACAGAGAGGCGGCGCCTGGAAGCCTGGAAGCGGTACGCCTTGCCTCGCCGAGCCTCGCCGAGCCCCACTTTGTCGGCCCATTACCCGCCGAGCTGCAAGGAGCGCGAGCGGAGCACCTACAGTGTAGTCGCTACACACAAGGATAACGCCTCTAACGAGACGCCGGGCTCAGCCACACACTGCTTTACTTTTTCCCAAGCCTTTTTTTCAAATCCCGATCTTTTGTTGATCAGGCGCGAGCAGCCGCGCACAGTGGGCCAGAAGACCGGTGGAGGTGGTCGGAAATTCCAGACGCGTTTTGAGCTTCAGAGTCGCTGAGTGGGACTCGAATCGAACGTGTGACCCCACCAATGGATTGCTCTCCGGACGAGGAATCCATCGGTGGGGTCACACGCTCGGTTCGAGTTGGAATGAATGTGACAATGTTCTGCATGCAGCCTCGTCAGCCCCAGAGGCAAGCCTGGAGCCTCATTAAGCGTCACCGCCTCAACGGATAATAACACTCAGCAGGAAGAACCGCTTTCGCGTGTTCCTGCTTTTTTCGCGTGAAACTCGCAGTCGGCGTGAACCAGGGTCAGGATATGCTTTGCTGCAGCAAGTCGTTAAGCCCACAAAAATGGAGGAACCGTACGGCGTTGTGCGCGAGCTCGCTAGCGAGGAAGGCCTGGCAGGCGTTTAACCCTCCCAGATTTGACCTCGGCTAGGCGCTGCTCGGCGTCGCCCAGCGCGCACCGCGCACCGCGACCTCTACGGCGGCAGACAGTGGCGGCAGCAAGGAAATGGATGCCCCAATTGGGGCTCCGTAGGGCACAGGAGCCTGCTCGCTGTAAGGCCCTCGTCTAACCTAACCACAGTGGGCCACAAGACCGGTGGAGGCGGCCAAAACTCTAGACGCGGTTTGGGCTCCAGAGTCGCTATGGGACTGGAAGCGAACGTGTGATCCCACCAATGGATTCCTCGTTCGGAGAGCAATCCATTGGTGGGGTCACACGTTCGGTTCGAGTCCTGCTTAGCGACTCTGAACCTCAAAACGCGTCCGTGATTTTGGCCGCCTCCACCTGTCTTCTGGCCCACTGTGCTATCCCGGCCGCTGCACTGTCAGCAGGGCAGCCTCGGTCTTGCAGACACCAGGTCCTGGAGTCATGAAGCCATCGGCACGTCCGCGTCGCCATTCGCGCCCCTCGAACGCGCTTGCTCGCTCCGCGGAGAGCCCGCTGCACCAAGTCCTCGCCCTGCCGATTTGCCGCGATCCACTTGCTCGGTCCGTCCGTCTCTCTCGCACTCGTAGGGCGGCCCCGAGGGGTGCGACAGAGTCATGCGCGGCAGCCCAGTGCAGCCCAGTGCAGCCCAGTGCCCCAGCCCTTCAGGCGACGCTGGCGGCGACAGGCGCCCCGCCATTGCACACTGGATTTGCCAGAAGACCGGTGCAGGACGCCAAAACTCCAGACGCGTTTTGAGCTCCAGAGTCGCTAAACAGGACTCGAACCCAACGTGTGACCCCACCAATGGATTCCTCGTTCGGAGAGCAATCCATTGGTGGGGTCACACGCTCGGTTCGAGTCCCATTTAGCGACTCTGGAGTTCAAAACGCGTCTGGGAGTTTTGCCGCCTCCGCCGGTCTCCTCTGGCAAATCCACTGTGCATTGGGCCGCCCGACCGCACAGGTCGGCTCTCTTCGCGCGTCGCGCCAAGGATCCAATTTTTGCCCGTTTTGGGGCGGCCGTCTGTGCACGGGGCGTGGCGTGCATGGCCACAGCGGACTGGTTCCGAACGGCACGCGTTCGGCGTCTCTGTCCCACTCACGGGACTCTCCGCGGCGGTGCGAGAGAGACAGGCGACGCTTCGGAGTCTGTCGGCAGAGTGCGGTCGGGGCACCACCATGGCACCGCCAGCACAGCGCCCTGGGTACCGCCTCGGCGACTGCGGTGGCCTGAAGTGTCAACGAGTGACTGTGAGTGACTGGAGCGCGAGGAGTGACTACGCTAGTGGTCTACAAGTGCGGCTCCAGAAAACAGGGAGTCTAGTATCCTGGAAGTGACTGGACAGGGAGTCCAGTACTAGGGTCCAGCCGTGGCTGCACTGCACTGCATCCAAGAGCGGGGACCACATCTTGTCCACTGGCAGAAGTCACGGCCCACGAAATAGTGGGAGTGCCGGCCGATTGATTTGGCCCAGGCGAAGCATACAGTGGCAGGGTCGGCAGGGTCGGCAGGGCCGGCAGGACACCCCCCCCCCCCCCGCGAGCCCCACCAGGCCGCCAGGCGTCACCCACTTGAGCTATTTGGCCATGCGGCGCCACGCAGCTTTTGCACTGCTCTACTGGAGCACTTTGGCCGCCCCCACCGCCCCCCACCGCCGCCAGGGCCGCCAGGGCCGCCAGGGCCGCCAGGGGCGCCAGGGAGTGCATCGCAGGGGAAGGGCGTCGCAGCCAGCACTCCGCGGATTCGCCTCGTATATAAGCAGCGCCGGGCCGCCGGGGAAGCATTCGGCTCCCATCTGCCGTCTCAGTCTCAGGTCCACTCGCACAATGGCGCACAAGCAGGTACGGCAGTGCGTTTGCCAGGCGGCCAAGGCGCGTTTTCAGCTCCAGTGTCGTCAAAAGGGACTCGAACTGATCGTGTGACCCCACCAATGGATTGCCCTTCCAACGACGAATCCATTGGTGGGGTCACACGTTCGATTCGAGTCCTGTTTAGCGACTCTGGAGCTCAAAACGCGTTTCGAGTTTTGGCCGCCGGCGCCGGCCTTCATAGGCCCACTGTGGCTTTATTTCTGACCCGCGCTCCGCTGCTCCGCCCCCAGCTGTCCCTGGTGTGCGTGGTGGTTCTGGCCGCCCTGGTCGCCCCACTGCAAGCGCGACCCGAGCCGCCCTCCAGCTACCTGCCCCCGGCCAGGGGCGGTGGCTTCGGCGGGGGCGGCTTCGGGGGCGGCGCCAACAGGCCGTCCTCCAGCTACGGGGCGCCCTCGTCGTCCTACGGGGCGCCCAGCGGCGGCGGCGGCGGCTACGACGACCAGTCGGTGAGTGGTGCCTGTGTGTGCTTTCGCTGCTCCAGTTGTGCGCTCTTTGGTGATCCTGACTGACCGCCTTGCAGGAGCCCGCGAAGTACGACTTCATGTACGAGGTGGACGCGCCCGAGTTCGGCACCAACTTCGGCCACCAGGAGAGCCGCGACGGCGACGTGGCGCAGGGCAGCTACCACGTGCTGCTGCCTGACGGGCGCATGCAGACCGTCAAGTACATCGCGGACGCCAACGGCTACCGCCCGCAGGTGTCCTACCAGGGCGGCGGCGGCGGCTACGGCGCGGGCGGCGGCGGCGGCTTCGGCGGCTACCCTGGCGGCAGGGGCGGCGGCAACGGCGGCTACCAGTACTAGGACGACGACGACGACCACCGACTGGCGACCACCACGCGGGCGTCCCGCACCCCGCACGGCCCCGGGGAGGAGTGTCCCGACCCTGCGGGGTCCAGGACGCCGCCGAACAACACCGACGGCCACCTCCTCCTCTGGCGGAGGACCACCGCGTTCCGACTGACCTCACCGACGAACACCAGACGACAAGACTAGATCACGCCCAAAGCGCCTTGCCTGTGAATAGCGTTTAAGTCAACCAATCGTATAATAATAAAGGAATGTGCAAGCCTGATGCCATGACATCCAAAAATCGATTTCGTTTTTCAAACCCCCCGTCCAGCTACGTGCTTTCAATCGCAAGGAAGTATGAGTTTTTTTAAAAAAATCTCATTCAACGAACGTTAATGAAAGCAGATGATCCGTCGCGTTTCACAACTGCTGTGACAGCCGAGAGGTTACAGACGTGGGATCGAGTTACCGCAGGCGGGCGTTCGAATACCAGCGTCACATACGTTTTTTCGACTGACTATCCTAAGGGTGGTGGTTCGAGGCCATCCGAGCGGAGCCGTGTGCAACAGACCCACATGCCGGAGGTTCGACTCCTAACAAATAATATTTCCATTTAATTTTACTGCCTCACCCAGTGCGGTTGAAACCCGTGAACGTGAGCCCACTCCGTGCATGGGACGTGGTGGTCCAGGGAGTAGAGGCGTCGGTTCCCAATGCTAGGATCGGCGGTTCGACTCCCCCAACTTCTTGCGAAATTTTGACCGGTTCGGTCGAGTCCTGTTGCGTCAAGAACCCACCTCACGCCGGTCCCCTCATCATGGGCCGTGGTGGCCGAGAGCGTAAAGTCGTGTGATCCCGGTGGCGGGGTCCGGGGATCGAATCTCATCATTTCGTTACATTTTTCGACTGCCTTCCTCCCACTGCAACTCAAACCCGTCGTCCAACACGCTGCCAGACGTACAAGCGTGATAGCGTAGTGGTCAGAGTCACATTCACCTGGCCACTCCGCTGTGGGTGTCTAAAAAGCAATCCGCTTCGGCGGGTTGGCCTCGGCACTGGAGCGATGGAGTATTTGATCCATCAATCCAGACCATCCGGTGTGTGGTTGCGGGTGGTGCCTCCTTGACTCGTCGGGGAGGCGATGATAAGTCCTTTGAAGCTGGCCTAAAACGCTGTATGTTCGGTACGGGAGCGCCGGACAGTGGGGGTACCATGGGGTACACAACCAACCCTACGAAAACAAGAAGCTCCCACCAAACCTCTTCTCTGTCTGAGTCTCTCTCTGTCTCTCTGTCGTCTCACTCTACGTCCCGCCCCTCTAAGAGCTTCGTACTGGGTGCTCTCACCCAGCTGCCTGAGCTTTGGGGTCCTACTGGGTCCCCCGGCGAACGCTTAGAGTCGCTGACGGGATTAACCCCAGGTACCTGATAGCACCGGTTCCCATCCCGAACACCGAAGTAAAGCAGGAGGCCTCCCCATTAAGACTGGGGAGGGGGTGTAGAGTTCAAATTTTTTTCTTTTCCCTTTCAAATTTCTCAGTCAATACTCGTTCGGTTTCCTTATACGGGGTAGTATGCGGGCTCATTCCAAATCATCAAAACACGTTCGCAGAACGCTACTGCCCCTATAAAGAACCCCATCAAAACTGTCAAAAAAACATAAACTTTTTGGCTTTGATTGACTGTTTTGGCCTCACGGTTCAAAACGTATTTTAACAGGAAAATAAATGCCAGGATGTGAAAAACAAAAACAATTTATTTCTTCAACAAGAAGTGTACACTTTGAGCACAATCAGGATCTACAGTAGCGGAGGGCAACGGGCAAAATACACAAAAAAATTAAAGAAGGAATACTGCTTAAATAATGACACTGGTTTCAGATTGCGAAAAGAAGCGTTAGCAACTTGATAAGATAAATAAGATAAAATCCCCCATCTTCCACTAACTCCCCTACCTAACTATCACAATTGGACATGCTCTGGACCAGGAGGTCCGCAAACTACATGACGGTCGAGGAACAACTCACGAGGGTCAAGGGTCCCCTCGCATTTATGGCATGATTGTCCCTGCGACCTGTGCAGCCATGCAGTCCAAGGCAAATAAAGAACTGTACATACCCTAACAAAATACAAGATAAAGGAAAACCGGATCAAACGCGAAACGCTCGCGTTGAAACGAATTGGCACAAAGGCTATAATGGTTGTACTCTGACTGTGTGTCCCCCGGGGCAAACATTGAAGCGGAATCCGGGCAGGAAGGCGTCGAGGGACAGCATCGCCCGACATGGCACACCACAAGTCCCGCCACAAGTTGGCAAAAACTTCCGACGGCGCCCCCGCATCGACAGGGTTGCCAACTAGCATGCCTACCAGGCAACTTCAGAGCTTTGCTCTTCGAGAAGTTGCCAGCAGGCAGACAGAGAACTTTTTCGACACAGGTGCATCTCCGGGGAAGTTTCGCATGGCAACCTGCCTTAGGGATTACTCCGGACGGCGCGGTATCGTCGGCTACTCGACGCGGCGCTACTCCTCGCTTGGGAGACTTCGGACGCGCGGGGTAGCGACAGGTCGTTCCGGCCGGCACACTGCTTGGTAACTAGACACTGCTGGACACACGTGGACGCGAGCTGCTTCTTCGTCGTGCCACTCGGCCTGCCGCTCGGTCTACTCGGCGTCGGCGGGCTGGCGCGCGCCCTCCGGGTCGGGCCGGCCCTGCGTCGCGTCGGCGGGGGACGGCGGCGACGGCGTGCTCGGCGACGTGGCGGCGGCGGCGCGCGCCGGCACCGCCGCGCTGGCGGCGATGTGGCGGAGACCCTCGCGGAACTCCCGCGACATGCTGCGCGCCGTCAAGCTGTGCACCTGGGGGAAGAAAAGAACTTTTAGCCCAGCGGTTCTCAGAGATGTCGCGACGCCAAAACATTTCTTTCGGTCCTTAAACGGACTCAGGTGGGCAGTGAAATGCGCCCCCGGTACAGAAGCAGTGGTGGAGTGGGCCGTGCGAGTGCGTGAGTGAGAGAGAACGACAGTGTGGGTGCAGGGGTGCGATGCGTGTGTCTTCTGCACTAGCTCTCTCACACTCACTCACCCTGCGCCCACTCGGCCCACTCCTACGTCGCCAGCAGGGTGAGGTACCTCCTGAGGAACCAGCCCCGCCCCCACTGGGGCCCCCACGCCCCGACACGCACCTGCCTGACGGCCTTCCTGGCGTGCTGCGCGAGCGGCGGCGCCGAGTCCGCGGCCTCCTTGCCCACGATCACCACCTTGGCCAGCGCGTCCGAGGACTTGGCGGCGCGGACCTGCGGGGACAACGAGCATGCTGTACGCCCCTCGTCGCAGCGAGTCGCACTGGCTGAAATTCCCACGATGCGCCAAAGCTTTACCAACTTCAGACCAACCTACTCAAGATTTTCACGTACACTGATTATATTTAAAGTATGATTACATGTGATTTCTTTTGATTATTTTATTTTTATCACTGATTATAGGAGGTTATTATGTTGATTATTGGGAAATATTGGGGATTATTTGAGCGCCGACCTCGGAAAGCTGTTAAAGTGTCGGAATTCAATATTGGTGACTTTGGGCGGCCACTGCGTCAAATTTAGTTGCGGTCATAGGCCTTCCTCGACGCCTTACTATTCTGAAGACCGTACTCTTTTATGCCCCGCCTCGGGAAGGCTTTGACCGCTGATAATTTGGGAGCGGTGGTCACGCAAAAATGGTCAAAAAGTGAATGAATTTCAGAAAATCACCGTTTTTGCTGACTTTGAGCGGTCACTGCATCCAATTTAGTTGCGGTCAAAGACCTTCCTCGACGCCTTACTATTCTGAAGACCCTAGTCTTTTATGCCCCGCCTCGGGAAGGCTTTGACCGCTGATAGTTTGGGAGCGGTGGTCTCGCAAAAATGGTCAAAAGTGATTGAATTCCCGAAAGTATGATAGTCATTTCATTGGATGATGTTTCTTATTTCACTGATTACCAACTAGACGTGCAATGATCATCTTGAGTTGGGTACCCCTGGCCTCAGACTGCCTGGACAAATATTTAGGCTAATTTTGTCAGTGGGCAGGCAGTGGCAGCCTGCACACTGGTGCATCGTGGGAGTTTCAGCCCAAATTTGTGGCAGTACTGCTCACCTGGCTGGGTTGTTCCTGCGGCTGGCTGAGGAACTGCTTGGCCAGCTCGCGGACCGAAGGACTCGCTGGACTGCACAGCGACGAGGACTCCTCGGAGCCGCCGTCCCCGGTGGTGCGCACGGCCGACGACCAGGGTGCGATCGGGGAGTCCTGCAAGGGCGCCAAGTTGCTTTTAGCAGGGCACAAACCTGTGTAGCACCACCTGCAAGTTTCCTGTTTGTCCCCTTGCTACTCACCAGGAGGCTGCTCCGGCGGTCCGCTACAGTCGTTGACTGCGACCGCCTGAGGCCGGTTCCGGACGACCCGGACCCAGCGTGGCCGTTGGAGTTGATGTAGAAGTCTCGGCCGTACCTGCAACAAAGCACCCGTGTTGGTCCTCACGCAAGTTGTGAACCCGACCTCAGCTGCTGTCCGCGGTGTCGACGTACTTCTTGGGGTCCGGGTCCACGCGCAGCGCGATGTGCAGCGTGGTGTCCGTGCCGGCGGGGGCAGCGCCGTTGGGGGGCAGCTCGGCGCCCACCCCCACGGCCCCCACGGCCCCCACGGCCTCCATGGCGCCGCGGAGGGACGCGCTGGAGGCGCGCTGCTGCAGCCGTCGCTGGATGTTCTCCGGGGAGTAGGGGTTGTTGGCCAGGGGCGTGGCCTGCTGCCACTTGCGGTGCTCCCGGTCCGCGATGGTGCCTGCCAGCCGACAAAGACGGTTAGCTTCACGTTGGGGGTCCGCGGGGTAGCGAGGGGACTGCAGCCGCACCAGGTCGCGGGGGCGTCGCCAGCACCGCGTCGTCCGCGTCGTCCGCGTCCCCGGGGCTGCCGTGGCCGTTGACCGCGGGCGCTTCGTCCGCTGCCGCGGGCTCGGCGTCAACGACCTCGGCCATGGCGTCGGCGACCACCGCAACTTCCTGGACCACCTCGACCGGCTCCTGGACGGGCTCAGGCCGAGGCGGTGCAGGCTGTGACTCCGGCGAGGTGGTCGAGGGCGTCGAGGCCGCGGCGCTGTCCTGGACGTGTTCTGGGTTTGCCGCCGCGACGGCGGCGTCCTCCACCTTCGCGGCAGTCTTGTGCTTGGCGGCAGCCTTGTGCTTGGCGGGCGCCTCCCGTCGCGTGGGCGTGTCGTACACCACCGTCTGCTCGGCGTCCTGGTCGCGCGCCCAGCGCCCCGCCAGGTCCACGGGGGAGCGCGTCGACGACCTGCCGCTCAACGTGGACGTCCTGGAGGGCGTCTTACCGACGGGCGACAGCCTGTCCGACGGGGAGCCCGGCTGGTCCAGGTTGGGTGCTGCGGAATCAAGTTTCTCGGTGAGCAAGGACTTTCAGACAGTCAAAGCGAGGCAGTGCGCGGTGCTTACAGCGGTCGGTGCGGTGCGCGCGCGGCACGGGGGCGGTGGACAGCGAGGGCGCCACTCTCCGGAGCAGCTCCAGGTTGCAGGTCTCCGCCAGGCCGCCCAGGTGCGCGCGGCTGGCCTCGGACAGGCCGAGGTCCTCGGTGAACTGGTCGCTCCTCGGCGCCATCCCGGCCAGCACCACCTCCTCCAGGGCGTCGTCGCTGCACTCCGACAGGTCCGACGTCTCCTCGGCGTCCACGTCGCCGATGAGCGCGCGGAAGTCCTCGCTGGGGTTGGGCACCAGCATGGGCACGGGCACGGGGTGGTGGGCGTACTGCGCGGCGGGCTTGCGGATCCGCTTGCTCTGGAACAGCCAGTTGTCCTCCCAGGACTGCAGCGGCGTCACCAGCTCCAGGCAGCTGGCGGGCCTGTCTTCGTCGCCGCCGTCGCCGTCGGCCGCCTTGATGACGTCATCCTCGGCGCCGTCCGGCTTCTCGGGGCGCGGCGCGGGGCGCCAGCCCTCCGCGTCGGAGTCGCCGTCCGACCCGTTGCGCAGCCGCACGGACGCCTCGGAGAGCTCCGAGTCGGCGGAGGACCAGTCGGCTGCACAAGCACATTCGTGATCGCCGTCGCGTTCAAAACCAAGCTGCGGGGATTTTATGCCAAGCCTCTTACCGTCCACGATGTCGACGCCGAGCTCGGGGAAGGGCACCCGCTGCTTCATGAAGGACAGCCCCGCGATGAGCGAGGGCGGCCCGGACGGCGGCAGCGGGGGCAGGGCGGCCGCCGTGGCGCTCCCTCGCCGCCGACTGCTCCGCCGCCGTCGACGGCGACGTACGACGGGCACCTCGCGCACGGCCTCGTCGCCCTCGGAGCGCTCGTCCGAGGAGGAGGCCGAGGACGACGAGGTGGCCGTGATGGTGGTCACCTCCTCGATGCACTCCTCGATCTGCAAAGGGACCAAGGTCGTTAAAAGGCCGAAACCTGGAGGTTACGGTTCTCTGGGAAAGGGCCGGTCCGTCCGAGGGTCCGAAGCAGCGGGCAGCGCGGTGCTGATGGCGCCGGCCACCGTCCATTAGGCCCTAACGGTGCAGCGGCTGGAGTGAAACAAACGGCGGACCGGGAATCGAACCGCGGCCAAACGCCACCGCCCAAGCCAACTCGCGAGTTACGGAAGCAGTCGCGCAAATCTACCAAGCTAGGCTAGCCCTTAATGGTAATGGCATGGTGGGCCGGCGGAGGTTGGCAACCCACCATGAGTGACAGGGGGTCCGAGTCCACGTCCTCCAGGGAGTGGTCCAGGTGGCTGCCGGAGCCCGTCCAGGACTCGGTGTAGGACGACGTGCAGCTCTCGGGCGAGTCCTCCAGCGAGCCCACGCGAACCTCCAGGGAACCTGCAAGGTTTTCGCGGTTTTACGAGGACGAAACAAAGGGGCAGAGTCGGCATTTGAACCCGAGCCGCGTACGTATACTCACTGACAAAATTGTTGTTAGTTGTTGTTGTTGTTGATCTTCTTATTGTTCTTGGTGGAGGAGCGCTCCATCACCTGCAACACGTCCAACAGCACCTCATAATGGCGTGCCGGGCCGTGCCGCCTCGTCACTGTCAGCCAGGGCAGTGCACGCCAGACGGCTTGGCTGTGCCCGGCTCTGCCCCGCCGCCAGGCAGGCCAGGCAGGCCACCAGGCAGGCCACCAGGCAGGCCCAGCCAACAGCCACCGCAACGGCTGCAGCAGATAACCTATAAGGCTTCCCCCTCCCCTCGGCCTTCCGTTCAGCCGACGGCAAGCCGACGGTGGCCTCAAATCGTCACGCCGAAACGGCGGCCTTCGTGATGGGGAGCGGGATCAAGGTCATTAGAGGTGGTCGACGACCTCGCCGACGGCCCTTCAAGTAACTTCGTCAAGTTGCCGACAAAGAAATGGTTTTTCGTCGTGTTTTCTGTGATGGAAATCGCAGCCATACCGAGGAGCCCCTCGCGGGGCTTCTATCCACGGTGCATTCGGCGAAGCTCATCCCCACCTACAGTGCATGACGCGCTAAATCCGATGGCCAGCAGCCTGAGCCGCGGATAGAGGCACAGAGAGGAAAGATCGAGTTTTCCAAGTCCAGGACCCCAGAGTGTCGCCTCCCTCCTGCTCCCCACCTTGTTGACGATGGCGGTGGCCAGGATGTCCTCGTAGGCGCGCGCCGTGAAGTCCTCCTCCAGGGCGTCCACCACGCCGTTCGCCTCGACGCCGTCCTTGTCCAGGTTGGCGACGTCGCGGGCCAGGTCCAGGATGACGGCGCGGAGCTGGGCGTGCGCGCGCCCCGGCGTCTCGGACTCGGCCAGCGGTTTCTCTGCGGCGGACAACGAGGGCTCGGTGATGGAGGAGGGCCTTCCCACCAAAACTCTAGACGCGTTTTGAGCTCCAGAGTCGCTAAACAGGACTCGAACCGAACGTGTGACCCCACCAATGGATTCCTCGTTCGGAGAGCAATCCATTGGTGGGGGTCACACGTTCGGTTCGAGTCCCATTCAGCGACTCTGGAGCTCAAAAGGCGTCTTTCCATACTTACGCGCCATGGCCATCTGCAGGGAGTAGGCGAGCGACGTGAGCGCGGACCTCAGCCGCGGCTGGTGGCGCTTGTAGATGCGCCCATCTGTGGATCCCAAAAGTATTATTATCTTTTTTGAATCGGCTGGCGGGCACTTCGGCCCTGCGGCCGGTGCACTGTAGTGTTGCAGGACCTGGCAGGACCTGGCGGGCTCGGGATAATGGCGGCAATTAGCACCCCCAACGCAAGCCGGCAAGGCGGCATGGTGGCGGAAGCACCGCTGCCTCGCTGACCCCACCGCGAACCGCCGGCCGGCACGGCTGTCCAGCGCACAGTGCAGGCGGCCCAAACTCTGGACGCGTTGTGAGCGCCAGAGTCGCTAAATGGGTCTCGAACCGAACGCGTGACCCCACCAATGGATTGCTCTCCGAATGAGGAATCCATTGGTGGGGTCACACGTTCGGTTCGAGTCCCATTTAGCGACTCTGGAGCTCTGCACGCGTCCGGGGTTTCGGCCGCATCCAATCGACATTGACTCACACTGGGGGTGGGGGTTGGCGGGCCTCAGCGCCACGTCGTCCAGGCCGCCGGACACCAGGGACTCGACGAGTCGCTCCATGAGCTGCCGGACGCCGAGCACCTCGGGGACGTCGTCGGCCTCCCCCATGTCGCACTGCGACTCGCCATCGCCCGCTGGAAAACAACGACAACAAAACTGAGGACTGTGTGTACACCCCGCTGAAAAAACAACAACAAGAAAAGTGAGGACTGTGTACTGCCTTGTATGCGCCGTCAGTCGGACGCGCTGGCGGCACCCGCCGCGGCATAAGTTACAGAGGGAAACAATTGCACGCGACAAATGCTTTTTAGCGGTGTGCTTGGCGGCGCCCCCTGCCGGGCCCAACGGGAAATGCCTCCGTTGACAAGGAAGGATCGCCGGGATGGAAGAATGGCCAATCAGGGGGCAAGCCGTGGGCAAGCCGAGCCAATGAGAAAGTAGCAAGCGGATCTTTTTAATAATCTCCGGCCTTCTCTCTCGCTCACACTCATACTGACTCATACACACACAGACACACACACACGAATGCACACACCCAGGTGGTGGGGGAAAGGGGGAGGGGGGCTGATCCCAGCGGATACACCACACTGTAGAGCATCTCGACTAACAACAGGTTTCACTCCGCTCTCGGTTGTCATACGATTCTTTGTGGAACTCTAGTCACTGGGGTACGTACAGTAGTGGTCGCACCGGGGTTCCGGAGCGGCCCCCCCCCCCTTTCTCTCTTCCTCTTCTCTCTCTTCGAACAATAGGTCCGTAATTGCTTTTGAGGACGTTTCGAGCCGTTTTTTGCCATTCAAGAGCAAATTGCTTTGACGCTGCCCGTCCCGCGTCCCGTCTCGGTCCTCTCGCCGGCGATTGGTTTCGAGACTCGCTTCGAGACTCTCTTCGAGACTCGCCTCGAGACTCGGTGCGAGTCCGGAAGGAGCGAGTGCGAGAGGTGTCGTGCGTCGCTGTCTCTCTAATTGATGCGGCAATAGTGCCTCTTTCTCGTTGCGAGACACACTGCACAGTGGGCCGGAAGACCGGCGGAGGCGGCCAAAATTCTAGACGCGTTTTGAGCTCAAGAGTCGCTAAACGGGTCTCGAATCGAACGTGTGACCCCACCAATGGACTTCTCTCCGAACGACGAATCCATTGGTGGGGTCACACGGTCGGTTCGAGTCCTGTTTAGCGGCTCTGAAGCTCAAAACGCGTCTAGAATTTCGGCCGCCTACACCGGTCTTCTGGCCCACTGTGCACTGTTACGTGGTTGGCGAACGGGCCCCAGATTAGCGATGCAAAATCAAGCTGCGCGTCCCCGCGGCTAGGCGGGGACGGCTAGGAGATAGGGGCCTGACGGTGAGCGAGGACAGACAGCTGCGGAGATAACCCCGCGAGGCGTCCCTCCGAAGCGCGCCCCGGAAGATACGCCCTGTCGCTACAGCCGCGAGCACTGCACGTCTGAACCACTCCACTCTCGTCACCCGTTCAACTTTTCGGCGGCAAGTTCGCAGCGTAGCGAGAGTGTGTACACCTTTACAGGCCCGACAAGGCCACAGGCAACGTGCGCGTGGAGGGTGACTGCGGAGCGATGCCGCCGTAGGCTGCCGCGCAGGACGGCTACTCTTGTACCTGGACGGCGAGGCACGGGCTGCACGGGCTGCGCGCGTCGCTGTGCTCGCTGACGGCCACCATGGCCCTGGCCGCCCTGGCCGCGACGTCGGCGTCGGCGCTGGTGGCGGCGCCACAGCCACAGCAGCCTCTCGGCGGCCAGGAAGGCGACGGCGAGGAGGGTCTCGGTGCGGAAGAGGGGGCCGCTGGCCCACGGCGAGCCCCACGGCGAGGCCCAGGGCGCGGCGGGGACCGCCAGCGCCGCGCCCCGCGCCAGGTGCACGCTGACCCACTTGTCCGCGTCCATCTCGCGCTGCACCTCCACTAGTGCATGCTGCTGGCGGGGCGGGGCGGGGCCGCGCGAGGTGCCGCGGTCACGAGAGCGTCGCGGCGTCGCGGCGGCGACACTGAGGCGACGTCTGGCAGGCCCAGCCCGGCCAGGCCCCGGCCCGCCCGCCTTGCGCCAGCCCCTCCCAGGCTCATTATCAGTACACACCGGCGATACCCCGCGCCGCAGTGCACCTACCTGCCGCGCTACCCCACGCTTCGGGCAGGCCCTGCACCCCTCAGCGACGCCCACGGGAGCGACGCCCAAGCGACTCCCGGAATGAGTGCCTGGCCTGCTGGGCGGGTCCTGGGAGCCCCGATTTCGGCACCGCCTTGGCACCGCCGCAGCTTCCAGGCCCTCCAGGTCCCAGCGGCACGAGCGACGCGCCGCCTTCCGTGACTTTCCCGCGCCGACCCAGCGCCACGACGGAGTGCGGAGGGACCGGGAGGGACACGAAAAATGAAACGACAAGGCTGTGCGACACACCGAACGAACGGGCGTAGAACGAGTGTAGAAAGCGGTGTAATCCACCGCGACTTAATGACAGTGCCAGATGAATGGCGAAGCGTGGCGAAGCGGGCCGCCCTCGGGTGTCGGGAGGGAAGGGGAGGGGGAAGGGCCAAACATGACCGCCCAAAGTGCCGCCGCGCGGCAACGCCGTGGCAACGCAGTCACGAAGGCGCGCCGCGCGCGGCACGCCACTGGTAAACGTTACACCATGATACAGTGCGGCAGCGCGGCCAAGAATCGTTACCCAACGGATAAAACCGCGAACTGACTGACCAAAGGGAAACGGGGAACGCGCGGAAGGCATCACTTCGCCGATGTATTCATGCCTACAGCAGGCAGACAGTGGGACGAACAGACAGACGGACAGACGGACAGACAGACAGACAGACAGACAGACAGACCGGCGAAAGACGCACGGCTACCCGCACTTGGCGCCTTCACTGCAAAGCCCTCTCGCTTTCCCTCCTCCTGCAGGGATCAGCGCTGCAGGGCAGGGAAGTCCAGCGCGTCCTTTTTATCGAGGCTGTCTCTCTCGCACGCGTGCCCCATTGGTGCGAGAGAGACGGAGCGACTTCACTGGCCAGACGGGCGGGACTGACCTCCGGAGCGCGGCCGGCGTACGGACGTCAGCTTCGCGTCGTCCCTGGGGAAGTCCTCCAGGCTCTGCAGGCTCTGCAGCGGCACCCGGATGAGTGCGGGCGCGTCGGCGGCCTGCTGGAACCACACGTCGGGCACCTCCCTCCTGCGGCACACAGTGCAGTGGCAGATCAGAAGTAAAGCTAAAGACATACACACCGAACGCCTGCAGCGTAGGCAATGCACACTCCCGTGTCGTGCGGTTGCCTACCCCGGGCTTGGCAGGCGCCAAAGACTCACCCTATTCCAGTGTGGTGCCGGGAAGTGCCGTTGACAGCGCTGTGAAGGACGCCGTTGACCACGCCGTTGACAAGTCCGTTGACGGCACCGTTGGCAAGTCCGTTTACGGCGCCGTTGGCTGTTCCGTTGGCAGCGCGGTGTACCACGCCGTTGGCAGTTCCGTTGACAGCACAGTGCACCACGCCGTTGGCAGTTCCGTTGGCAGTGCCGATGGCAACGTCGTTGGCAGCACTATACACAGTCGTCTTCGTTGTCGTGTCGGCCCACGGCTCCAGGGAAGTCCTCTGTGAGCTGCCAACACAACGAACACAAACACGTCAGACAGTGAGATCGCGCCTGATCCTTCATTTCTGAGGAGTGAGGCGCTGTCACGATTCGGCAAAAACTATCGGACCTGGGTTTGAACTTCGTATTTTTCCTCGCTACATGACATCTGCGTGCAAATCTCCTCGCAAGAAAGCGCCCTCCGCAAGCCACTCCATCCCTTTCCCGATTTGGGTGTTGGGCGCCGCCGCGTGCCGCCGCGCTGGGCAGGCCGTCGTGACCGTCCGGCCGTCCGGGCGACCCGTTCGGCCCGTTGTGGGATGCAAAACTCACTTGCATCTGCATTCAAAAGGCGACCATTTTTCACGCGAGCTCCGCGTTGGGTCCGCGTTGGCGCCGAGCGTGGTCCGGCGGGCCGATTCCGCGAGTCGCTCCGTCTCTCTCGCGCTCGCGGCGCGCCCGGCGCCCGGCGCAGGTGCGAGAGAGACGGAGCGACAGGGGAAAGCGATGCTGCACCCCGAGTGCAGGGCGTGCAGGGCCGGCCCAGCGAGGCCGGGCCGTGGCGAGCAGTGGCGCGAACGGCATCGCACGGCATCGCACGCAGCCACTACAAACCCGGCCACGGACAGGACACGCCGCGCGCCACGCTCGCGCCAAGGACTCGGCTGCGACTCGCTGAAAGTGTACCCGCCCCGCCCAGTCAGGCGGGGGTGTGCACGGCAAACTTGGTTACGGGACTCGAACCGAACGTGTGACCCCACCAATGGATTGCTCTCCGAACGAGGAATCCATTGGTGGGGTCACACGTTCGGTTCGAGTCCCGCTTAGCGACTCTGGAGCTCAAAACGCGTCTAGAGTTTTGGCGAGTGAATGAGGTTCGCGAGGTGGGGCCGTGGCCGCGAGGTGCCGCGCGCTGCCGCATGCCGCGTGCCGGTGAAAGGGACCAGACCGATAGGCCTCCGACCGCACTCGGCTCGGCAGGCTCGGCACCACAGGGCAAGGCTGCGAGGCTGCCGCACGTTTCAGGGACCCCGCTCGGCTCCAGACTCAGGCTCCACCGGGAGGTGGAGAAACACAAGCCAAACTCTTGGGTAAAAGCAAGAGCATTGTCGTTATCACAGTGCGCCGCCTTGTCTTATCGAGGTGGCCGTGACTTTGACTGAGGTTTCCAGGACTTTGAGGACTCTGCCGCCCTTCCGGGAAGCGCGGCGGCTTCCTCGGTGCCTTTGGCGCCCTTTGGCGGCTTTGGCGGCGGGGCCTTCTTGGAGGCGGCCAGCGTCAACACAAACGCAAACACGCCGCGCGCCGTCTCTCTCGCCCCCCTGCAGTGTGAGAGCGACAGAGCCTGGGACAGAGCACTGCAGCGGCGCCAAAAAGAGCGGGCCGTGTGAGACTCGAACCCGCGACCCGGGGAGTGCTGGGCTGGGCGAGCGGACGGCAGATAGCCATAAGCGGGGTCCGTGCTGAGCGGGTAGCCTTCCGGCATGGGGTCCCACAGCAGGGAGCACTCGTGCGCCCCATGGTGGTCCCGGGGACTCGGGTTCGACACCCGCCGATGATCCCATCTTTTGGCTCAATGGAGGCCCTCTAGTGTAGTGGCGCCCACTGCCCGCTCGTGAGGCCAACAACAATTCAGTCACGTGCCGAGGCTGGCGGTGCGCTGTGCGTACGGGCGTACGGTGCTCCTGTCACCCGCTAGCCCACATTCGGGACTTCCGGTGGCGCTGCCGTGGCGGTGCACAGTGGGCCAGAAGACCGGTGAAGGCGGCCGAGATCCCGGACGCGTTTTGAGCTCCAGAGTCGCTAAATGGGACCCGAGCCGAACGTGTGACCCCACCAATGGATTGCTCTCCGAACGAGGAATCCATTGGTGGGGTCACACGCTCGGTTCGAGTCCTGTTAGCGACTCTGGAGCTCAAAACGCGTCTAGAGTTTTAGCCGCCGGCGTCGGTCCCCCGGCCCACTGTGTGGCGGTGCCCTGACGGTGCCGGCTCTGCCCGTCACCGCCGCCGCGCCGACCGGCGACCCCGGACCCCGCGCCGCCCTGCGCACCGCGCCATATTTCCGGTTCTCCGGTGCGTTCGGTTATTTGATTCGGAGCCGAACGGAAGCCGAGCGTCCTTCGGGTGCGAGGGAGATCGTCCGGCCCGCAGTACGCACTGCCTGCCTCGTCGCTCTGTCTTTCTCGCACCGCTACGCGCCGGCCCGCGAGTGCGAGAGAGACAGAGCGATGAGTGGGACTCCCGTGTCATGCTCCACCGGCCGAATGACACGGTCAGCACACTGATTCCGAGAGTCGACTTTGTCACTCTGTCTCTCTCGCACCTGTAGGGGATGGCCATGAGTGCGAGGGAGATGGGGCACCCAGACGCCTTTAGCTTCGGAGAGAGGGAGAGACAGAGAGAGACAGGAGCACAATGCCGATCACGACGAGAAACTGTTACAACTCATGGCGATGTATGACTGCGACTCATGTCTCCCGGCCGGCGAGGTGAGGCGCCATTATTGCTCTACTTTGGGTTTCGAGAATTGGAACCTTTGCGCGGCTCAGTGGGCCAGAAGACCGGTGGTGGCGGTCAAAATCTCGGACGCGTTTTGAGCTCCAGAGTCGCTAAATGGGACTCGAACCGAGCGAGTGACCCCACCAATGGATTCCTCGTTCGGAGAGCAATGCATTGGTGGGGTCGGACGTTCGGTTCGAGTCCCATTTAGCGACTCTGGAGCTCTGCACGCGTCTTGGCCGCCTCCACCGGTCTTGCAGAGCCGCTTTGTTTTGGCCCCTTCTTTCTGCCAGTGTGCATAATGCGGCGTAATGACTGACCTAGCCAGGGCCGCTCCAGCAAGGGCAGTGGGAAAGCGAGCCCAGATTGGCATCACTGCATCGCGGGGACGAGAACGGAGTGATTAAGGCAACAACAACAACAACCGGCGGCTTAATTCCAGTGAGCCTCGCGCCTCGCGAGTCTTAACAGTTGCCAACTCAACAAAAACAAAATCCACTTTCCAGTGCGTCTCGTAGAGAGTCATGCTCAAAAACATGGCGAAGTTTGGAAACGAGTTTTAGAATCAAGTTTTCTGAGCTCGGCAGTGCTACCACAAGTAGGCAAAAACTCCCCATGATGCTCCCATGCCGAAAGGGTCGCCAACTTCTCCACAGCGAAGCCCAGATAATTTCCAAGTGGGCAACCTGAGGTTGGCCGCAGCCCTTTAAGCACTGGTGCACCGTGAAAATGGTTTGCCCACTTACTTGGCAACACTGACGCTCACGTTTAAAGAGATACGGGCGTGGAATGTTTGTCCAGTTAGCGCTGCACGTCGCTCCACGCCAGTTTGCTGTCGGGGCGCGTCTCGTCGCTGTGGCTCTGTGCCCTTCCAGAAGTAAACAAAGCCCTTTTTATTTTACCGGTCGGCTTCCCCCATGCGACCCTAGCGGGCCCCGCGCGCCACGCCCCGCCCCGCCACACTGCCTTGCGGTACGCATACGGAATGTTTCCATGCGAGGGACTGCGTATCATCGATGAATACATCAACGCAGACACTCGAGAGCGGGAGAGAAAAAGCAAAGATTTTGAAGCGTTGCGTTGGTGTTAGAACTTCAAGCGCCCGAGTCCGGTCAGCGCGGCGGTTTTTGAATGGTGGCCAAACGAAAATCGAAAATCTGCAGAGGGCGCCTGGAAAATGGAAAAAGAATCTAGCGTTGTCTCTCTCTGTGAGGGGGGAGTGCGAGGGAATGCATTAGACCTGCATCTTCTCGAACGTGTGCCCCTTATGCCCTACGCCAGCATGGCGCCATACCACGGCACCACCGCCCGGGGCACCACTTTCCCGACACTAAAAACCCCGTAATGGTGGCGGCACTGCTAAGCCTGGAGTCGCCTAGAGTCGCCTGGAGTCCTACAGTGGAGGCCCAGAGGGACCGGCGGACCGGCACACCAGAAAAACAATCGGCGCGGCATTCCGTTAGCGGGCCAGCCATTTAAATGGAGATCTCCCAACCGATATTGGCGGCCGAAGTGGTGCGAACCGCCAGTGGGACTCGAACCGAACGTGTGACCCCACCAATGGATTGCTCTCCGAACGAGGAGTCCATTGGTGGGGTCACACGTTCGGTTCGAGTCCCATTTAGCGACTCTGGAGCTCAAAACGCGTTTCGAGCTTTGGCCGCGCCGGTATTCCGGCCCACTGTGCAGTGGTGGCGCCCCGAGCGCGGCCTTTCGTCACGACACTCTTCGCCCAGCCTGCACGTGCACCATTAGACAGCTGGCCCTGGCCGCCCTGCCTCCAGCGGCAGGTGGTCAACGAGGGAGTCCGACGGCGGTAGGCGGCGGGTCACAGGTGGAGGCTGGCCGGAGTGGCTGGAGAACGGAGGCTGGTGAGAGGAACCTCACCTAGGCGGCTGGAGCGGCTCGAGCGGCTGGCCGGTGCATATTCCGGTTCGGCACCGCGGCGCTGGCACCGCTGGCACTGCTGGCACCGCTGGCACCCCCTCCCATCCCGGCCGTCGCGGCGTCCAGCGCGGACCGGAGCAACGCACTCGCCTGGGGCCTGGCCTGGACCAGCGGGGACAGCGCGGCCCTCGGCGTGCTGCCTGGTACCTCACCGCGCGGACGGGTACCTCCTGCGCGACGCGGCCGCGGCGGAGCTGGCGGAGCACTGGCCGGGCCGGGCTGGCATTCCCGGGCGTCCAGGCCGTGCCGCCGCGGCGCCCTCACGCCCCCCTCACGCCCCCCTCCCTCGGCCCGGTGAGGCGGATCGCGGCGCCGCTACCCCGCGCTCGCGTCCTGCCAGGCCCAGCCAGGTCCTGCCACCGATACTCCAGGCGACAGCCCTCGCAGCGGCGCACAGTGGGCCGGAAGACCGGTGGAGGCGGTGGGAGCAGTTTCGCCGCAAAGTTGATCAAAACGGTCACACACGTCTTTTGAAAAAATCGTGTTTTAGGCCGACTTTAAGCAGCCACTGCGTCTGACCCGAGGCGGTATTTCGTCCTCCCTCAATGGGCAATTAGTCTTTGGACCTTCCTGAAGCATGCCTTTGTTACGGAGTGCGATTATCTGCCTTAGTTTGGGAGCAGTATTGCCGCAAAGTTAATCAAAACGGTCACAAACGTCTTTTGAAAAATCGTGTTTTGGGCCGACTTTAAGCAGCCACTGCGTCTGATCCGAGGCGGTATTTCGTTCTCCCTCGACGGGCAATTGGTCTTTGGACCTTCCTGAAGCATGCCTTTGTTACGGAGTGCGATTATCTGCCTTAGTTTGGGAGCAGTATTGCCGCAAAGTTGATCAAAACGGTCACAAACGTCTTTTGAAAAATCTTGTTTTGGGCCGACTTTAAGCAGCCACTGCGTCTGATCCGAGGCGGTATTTCGTTCTCCCTCGACGGGCAATTGGTCTTTGGACCTTCCTGAAGCATGCCTTTGTTACGGAGTGCGATTATCTGCCTTAGTTTGGGAGCAGTATTGCCGCAAAGTTGATCAAAACGGTCACAAACGTCTTTTGAAAAATCTTGTTTTGGGCCGACTTTAAGCAGCCACTGCGTCTGATCCTAGGCGGTATTTCGTTCTCCCTCAACGGGCAATTGGTCTTTGGACCTTCCTTAAGCATGCCTTTGTTACGGAGTGCGATTATGGTTCCTCGCGGATAGTTTTGCTTGTCCTGGCGGGTACGGGTACAGTGCTGTTACTCGCGTCCATAAGTTTTACGGGCCCGCTTGTCGCGACTGCAGCAGACGCCGGCGGCCGGCGCGCACGGACGCCGAGCCGGAAGGAAGTTCTTTGGAGCGAGGGGGAGTGGGAGGGGAGGGGGTCTGATCGGCGCACAGGGCACGCCAGGCACGCCGCGTCGGTGGCTTGTCCATACCGAGCGCCCGCCCCGCCCCGACGGTAGCGCACTCGGTAGCGCCCCATTGTACTCGGGACAAAGGTCGTCGCCGTCATGGTCGTCATCGTCGTCATCGTCGTCGGCGTGCTCCGCGCACCGCCACCACCACGACGACGGCGACGACGGCCTGGTGCTGCACCCACCTGCCCCACTGCAGCGCCGTGTCCACCAGGAAGATGATGCCCGAGACGACGCCGGCCAGCACGCCGACGGCACCCACCGAGGCCACCAGGTTGAGCACCGCGGTCAGCATGGCGCTGCAAACAGAAGACAGTTAGACATTTCTCGCGGCCGATCAATTTCAACGGGCGCTGAACGGGACCGATCGTGTGACCCCTCCAATGGATTCCTCGTTCCGAGAGCAATCCATTGGTGGGGTCACACGTTCGGTTCGAGTCCCATTTAGCGACTCTGGAGCTCAAAACGCGTTCGGGTTTTGGCCGCTCCACCCACTGAGTCGGTGAGCCGCAAGGTGGGTTGCCTGCCGCCGCGGCGCTCTCATCCTCGCCCGGCAACCCAACAACAACCGTTCAAAACAAAACACATTTTTTCCTAGCGTCCCTTGCGTGTTCTAGATCCTAGGCAATCTGGTTCGATGTAATCTGCAGCGACTCTCTAGAGGCGGTGCTCCTCAAAGAGATAAGGATGCGTTATCTCGTCCGAGGCGCGACAACATTTGCATTGGCTTGGCGGACGCAGAAATCCCCGCGGAGATGATGAACCCAGGCCCAACGCACTGCGGTAATCCATGCGTCGATCCGTCGGGGACACGCCCATCTTGGCGGGGATGCTCGATGGGTTGCCTACACTGTGTGGGGCAAGCCCTCGGTGGAGCAGGATGGGTTGCCTACACTGCGGGCGCGCTGGTGAGAGCGAGTGCTGGACGCCGGTGGAACAGCTCCGGACGTTGCCGCCTCTCCCAGTGTACTTACTTTTGATTATATTTTGTTGCACAAAAAGGCAACGTGAATTTTGAAAGAGAGAAAGGCGCCTCCTACACTGTCAAAATTTTGCTGGTAGGGCTTCCCCATTGATTGTGAGCCACGGTGTCCCAGAGACCCAAAAAGAAACGAGAACCAAACACTCGACAATGTCAAAATGTCAAAATGAAATGACGCGCTTGATAGATGTTCGCACGCTCGGGCGAAATTACTCTTCCGATAATGAATGCCATCACTCTGTGCACAAGCGTCCGGAACTTGTCCCGACTCGGTTTTTCGTTCGAAACTGGTTCCGGGGGCTGTCCGGGCCTCCGGGGCGACGCTCCGAGACGGCGCGGACGAACCTCGAAAACAGCTCCTCTCTCTGTCTCTCTCTTTCTGGACCGCCTGCCTGGCCTGCCCCCGGGCCCCGTCCTGCTGTTCAATGTCGAGGATGTGGTGTCGTTCTTCGAGCCCTGCCACGCCCTGCCACGCGCTGCCATGGCAACAGGAAACGGACTTGTCAACGAACTCTCCTCTGAAATACGGTTTCACCGACTGTCATGCCAGCGAACTAGCAGTGGGCCCGCGGCTCAAGTGGACCCCTGCTGACCCCCGCTTCATTTGCCCGGCCGGACCAAACCCTGCCCATTTTCAACTCTTTTTTTTTTTGGAGGTGAGGGGTTAAGCTCGCCGCCAGACTCGACGCACCTTGCGTGAACCCACCTGCGTCAAAGTTGATTTCCCGCCACACTACAAGACCGAAAAAGTGGTGGCTGGAGTGTGCCGGCTTGTCGACGCACTCTGCAGCCACAGTGTAGCGTCTACACTCCCGGCGGACTGTACCAACACTTGGCGTCTTGCGGTGTAGGAACGACCCGTCGGCCCATTTGGCGCCACTTCTTTCCGCCGTCCTCCCCGAACCATTCGAGCAATAAGAATACCACTAAAATCATAATTGAAGGTGATCCCGGCCCGGCGGCATCGGTGACGCACTGGCCGCCCGTCCGGCCCGGGATGACGAGGGCCATTCCGAGCAGGGTAGCACGTCTGGAGCCTTGACGCGGTGCCTTTGCCTACACGCGCGCACGCACGCACACGCACACACGCACACACACGCACACACACGCACGACGTACATGTAACAACTGGTCGGGTCCGGCAGTAAACGTCCACCAAGCTGTCGGTCGAGCTTTTGCGACGGTTTGCGGATGAGATAATGTCCACGCCATTACGACCCGACGGAGAGAGAGAGAGACAGAGAGGAGAAAAAAGTTCCGAACCGACTGCGGAAATAAACTTGGCGGAAGCACGACAACACTTCGCTGCTTCGGAAGGACTTTAGTATACGTTTTTTTTTTTGTTTTTTTTTTTTTCAGGATGGGTCAAAGACACAGATGAAAAATCCCGCGCGACTGGTATTCGAACCCAGGCCCGAAGGCCCGAAGGCCCGGCATCGTTTCCACGCCACTGCATTCACACGTTCTCGTGCGGCGACATTGACCGGCCCGCACCGCCGGGCTGCCGCGCTGCCTCCTCTTCCAGGCTTCTGCCCGGTGCAACTCTGCCCTCCCCCCTTCCCCTGACCCGTTTCTCATCCGCACGCATCTTCCACGGCCCGCGCCTCTAGACGCTAGACCTTCCAGACGCGAGCAATGTCTCTATTTTATTGTTTCGTTTTCCGAGCTAACGAAGCTAATTCGTGCTGCAGTGTGGGCTGCTGCGCCCCCGGAACTCGGAACCCCAACACGCGGGCCGCCTCCGCCGGTCTTCTGGTCCACTGTGGAGCGCCCGGTCGGTAGGCCGCGCGTCGACTCGACTGCGTCGCGGGGGTGCCTACCCCGGACTCCGCGGGCGCCGAGGACGCCGAGGACGACGTCGCTGCTCCTTTTTGCTGCACGCCGTGAGGAGGTCACGGCGTGACGTCACGCAGTCAAGGCCGCCAAAAGTCTGCTAGGGCGAGTACTGGCGGAGCGTGCTCGCTCTGTCGCCGACGCCGCTGCCACGCCGCTACCCGCGAGTGCGAGAGAGACAGAGCGACGCCTCCTCCTTCATTATGCAGTCGTCAAAGTCCCCGCGGCGAGCGCGCCACAAAAAGGACGAAAAAAAGCGTTCCGCGAACTCAAATCGCAGTGTTCCCAACCTCTGCGAGTGTGTGCGTGTTGTGTGTGTCCCACAGCACGCGACCCCCCCCCCCCCTCCTCTCTCAGGACGGGCGCGCGCTCGACATGAGGCGAAAGTGATTTGGCTGGAGCGTCCAATAATGACGTCACACTCGAGGGGGGGGGGGACAGCTTCCCTCATTCCCTACAAAATTTGACCACATTCCACATTCAGGTGGCAGAAACGCCCGTGGCAAAAATCATTGTTCATAAACTTTTGCAGTGGGTCACCCCCTCATGAGATGGACGCCCTCTCGAGTCTGGTCATCCCGCAGTGATGCCGTATGCCTGTGGCGTTGTTCCCGCCGGCTTCCTGTTGGAGCGGTGCGGCCGGGACAACCGCGCGGTACTGCACACGGTCCGCGTTGACAAGCGGATTGCCCTGGCCTCCTGCACTGCCCCTCCAGGACGGACTGTCCGGCACTCCAGTGGCGGAGCAGCCGAGCGGCCTGCAGCGTCTAGCCTGGAGGCTTGCCTGGAGGACCTCGACGTGCCGTGCCGCGGCAGGACGTTGGACCCGCGGCTTCTGGATTCGCCGGACAGGTCTGGGCCACTCCAGGTTACGCACACACACACACACACACACTCACACACACACACACAAACCAGCACATGGAAGAACCTCCAAATATTTTTTTTTAATTTTAAATTTTTAACAACAGCTGCACAGATGTTAAAATCTCGGTACAGAGGACGTGCCCCCCAACAAGGACCGCCGCCGCCGCAGTGGTTCGCGGCGCTATGATGTGGGGCAGGGCAGGGCAGGGCAGGGCCTAAATGATGTAACCGCCCACCTGTCCCGTCCGGGCCGTGCCGTCCCGCCGATCAGCCGTTCGTTCGATTGCATGTGCGCGACTTGCAGCTCCCGAATGCTCCTTTTATGCTGGGGCGCGACTGGGGCGCGACTGGAGCGCGACTATGGAGCGGAGCACGCCTCCATTCGCGCGCTGGAAGGCCTGGAAGGCCTGGAAGGTCGCAACCGGCGCCCTATTATCATTTTTTTTAACAAGGCAGTACTTTCATTTCTCTAAAAAAAAAATCCATTATTTTCTGGCAACAGCGGTTGGCTATTTTAAAATCTCAGAACAGATTTCAAATATCTCACCATTTTGGAAATACTATTTCTCACTAAATTGTTTACTGTGCAGATAATTTCGCTCCAAAAAAATGCCGTCAAGAAAACAAGCAGAGAACCCAGAACGCAGAGCAGCAGTGATCTCAGATCGTGCGCGATCTAAATTAGAGCCTCAAAAAACGGCTGTTTCCCCTCGAAACGCCCTGAAACGGCCGGCGGTACATTTCTCCTCTATTGTAACCCGCTCGCCGGTCGGCCGGTCTGCTCGCCCGTCGGTGAGGCGATGGAGGAAAGTGGAGATCACTCGGCCGAGAAGCCCTGGCCCTGCTACTCCGAGGAATACATCGCCGCCAAATCGACGCGCCGTGCCGCCGTCGCTGCACAGTGGCGCCGCCGGCCAAAGCTCCAGACGCGTTTTGAGCTCCAGAGTCGCTAAACAGGACTCGAACCGAACGTGTGACCCCACCAATGGATTCCTCGTTCGGAGAGCAATCCATTGGTGGGGTCACACGTTCGGTTCGAGTCCCATTCAGCGACTCTGGAGCTCTGCACGCGGACAGGCCGACAGGCGGCAGGGGTGAAGCCGGGCCGGGCCCAGACCCAGCCCCGCTACACACTCGGGACACTCGGGGCAGCATGGCAGCATTCCTCGCAAGGACCAGACCGGACCCGCAGCTCAAGCCCTTCACTGGAGTCGGAGTCATCTCCGCCGCCCGTCCGTCTGTCTCGTGCTTCGAGGCTCCAGGCTCCAGTCCGCCCGGCCGTCCGCCACCGCTTCGCCACCGCTTTGCGCTGCACCTCCCCGCCATCCACACCGAGTACGGAACGGTGTCCTCCCTACGGCGGACCCACCGAGCGCCACTCTACCCGATTCAAGTCTGGACCGCCAATTTTTGACCAGCGGCAGCTTGTTTGTCCATTCGTGCACTCTACGCCTTTCCCAAGGAGGCACTCCTTTTTCTTCTCCTTTTTTTTCTGGCCCGACTGTTGCATGACGCGTCGCATGCACATACACCTGTTCGACCGAACAACCCGAAGTGCCCCCCCCTCCCCCTCCCCTCCCCTCCCCAGATAAGATAGCAGCGCTGCGATGGGCGAGTCGTGCGAGAGAGACGGAGACAGACGCCACACATTTTCGCCGGCGAGGAGCGCGGTGCGGCGCGGGGGGTCGTCGTGCTTGGCGTCGCCCGGCGTCGCCCGGCGTGGTGTACGAGTACGTCGTGTGTCACACGCGATTCCCCTGTCGCTGCAGCCTCTGCACGGTGGGCCAGAAGACCGGCGGAGGCGCCCGAAGCTCCAGACGCGGTTTGAGCTCCAGAGTCGCTAAATGGGAGTCGAACCGAACGTGTGACCCCACCAATGGATTGCTCTCCGAACGAGGAATCAATTGGTGGGGTCACACGTTCGGTTCGAGTCCTGCTTAGCGACTCTGGAGCTCAAAACGCGTCTAGAGTTTCGGCCGCCTCCACCGGTCTTCTGGCGAATCCCCAGCGCGCCCTCACAGTGTCTCCCCGCTTAGCATACGTCTAATTGCCGTGAGTGAATCTGCGATACGAGTCGGACGGTGTAGTGCGCGTCGGATACGCCTCCATCCCGCTCGTTCAAAGTGGCCGCGCTGCCACGCTTCCCACGACACTGCCGAAACCAGTCCGCCGTCCCACCGCCTTGTCTAGCATTCATTATCACACGGAAGTGTGACACTGTCACGCACGTGCAGCAGCGTCACACGGCGTCACACGGCGGCGGCTCAGTGTGACAGGTGTGTGACAGGTGTGGCGGGCCGCTGCTTACCTGCCTGGGGCGGTGCGGGCGCGACTAGAAGGGAGGTAATCCTTGGGGGCCTCGGTGGGCCTTGGCGGGGCCTTGGCGGGGGCCTTGGCACCGGGGGGCTCGACGCCCCATTCAGTTGGCGAGGCGCGGTGGCGGCGTGAGGTCGAACGCCATGTGTGCGACGCTGTGCGTGAACCGCGTGAACCGCGTGTGCCGTGGTCGCGGCCCGGGCCGCCTCGCCTCAGACTGGGGCCGCTTCTGCTGCTCCGCGAAGCCGAGCCTGGCCAAGCCTCCCGTACAGCCCGCGGCGCGGCGGGGCGGGGCGGGGCGGGGCGCGGCGGGGCGGGGCGGGGCGGGCGCGGCGGGGCGCGGCGGGGCGGGGCGGGGGCGGCGGGGCGCGGGGGGCGGGGCGGGGCGCGGCGGCGGGCGGCGGGGCGGGGCGGGGCGCGGGGGGCGGCGGCGGGGCGCGGGCGCCAGGGCGGGGCGCAGGGCCGCGGGGGAGGGCCCGGGGCGGCCGGCGGGGGCCCGGAGGCAAGGGCCCCCACCGGCCGCGGGGGCACCGGGGAGGCGGGGCCCCACTCGGCCACCGGCCCCTGCAGGGCCCGGCCACGCCGAGAGAACACGGGGCCCCCCCGAGGACCGCCGTTTTCTCCATCAGGGGGGCGCACAAGAGCCCTTCCGACACCGCCGTGTGCCCCCACAAAGGTTTTGGCCCGGAAAAAATTCCCACGATGCACCAGGTCGAAAGGGTTGCCAACCTCAGCCTGCCTCCTCGGCAAAACCTTCAGCAGAGCGGGCAGGCTGAGGTTGGTTGGCAACCCTTTCGGCTTCGCTGGGTCGCGCCCAGTGTTTCCCTTTCCCCCAGGCGATTCGCGGACGGCCCCTCATCGAGGCGGATGGGACGGGACGGGACGGCAGGTTGCGGTTATGACAATCGCTCGGCGGAGAGGCTTCGCCGGCTTCGCAGTCAAACGACCGCGCCAAAACGGACGCCGAAATGGATGGTCTGGTCGGACGGGCCCTGCCTGGCCCTGCCTGGCCCTGCCTAGGCTCTGCCACGCTTTGGCGCTGATTGCTGGAGATCCCCGCGACCAGCAGACTGATTCCGAGCGCCGCACAGGGACTGAAGACCGGTGGAGGCGGCCAAAAAGCTAAGCGTGTTACCCCACCAATGGATTCCTCGTTCGGATAGCAATCCATTGGTGGGGTCACACGCTCGGTTCTTGTCCCATTTAGCGACTCTGGAGCTCAAAACTCGTCTAGGATTTTGGCCGCCTCCACCGGTCTTCTGGCCCACTGTGCGCCGGGTGGCTGTTCGACCACCCCGTCGCGGTCGCGTCCCAGAGCCCGGCTCCCCGTCGGCTGGACCAGCAACCGCAGGACTGAGTTTGCGGCGGGGGGGTCAATGTCAAGGTCGAGGTCAAGGTCGAGGTCGAGGTCAAAAGGGCCACCAAGCGGGCCGCGTGGCTGCCAGCAGCTGTCTCTTTCGCGCTCACAGGGCTAGAAAGAGCGACGAAAACGACTCTCGGAATCAGTGTGCTGGTGGCTCTGACTTTCCATTTCTTTGCCGCACGCCTCGATGCGCACGGGGAAGCCTAAGCGTGGCGCGACACGACACACTGCACGCACTGCACGCGCTGCACCGCTGCAACAGTGTTTCCATGTAAGTGGGGCGAAATTCCCCACGGTGCGCCAGTGTCGATAGGGTTGCCACCCCCAGCCTGCCTCGCTCTCGCGAAGCTCTCTAGTGGGCAAGCTGCGGACGGCAACCCTATCGACACTGGTGCACCGTCGGGTGGCCTCCTTACGCGGCGTCCTGCACTAGTGGGCGTTATCATCCGCGAGGCGGCAGCGTTGATACTGCCACTGCCGCGGTATCTGGAGTGCCTGGGACACTTTGCTCTTTACACCGGACAAGCGGCCCGTCTTCGGCATGCCCGGGTCCTTGGCTACCGTCGGCCAGGACCCGAGCGAATTGAACTGAGGCTGTCCGTTTCTAGAAGAGAACCCCAGGGAACAGGGAAACCGAGATAAGATAAGCGTATGCCAGAGAGCGCCTGGGTTGTGGACTCTGGGGATCACGTGGCTCACTGCACTCGTCCAGTCAGAAGGCAGGGGCAGGCAAGCGGCAGGTTCGAACCATGGCGGGGACCCGCCGCACACGCATGCCAACTGTGGCGCGCTACGTGCAACACTCCAGTCGGCTCTGCGCGAAGGAAAGGATGACCTGCAAATGCATTCCAAAGTCATTTCTATAATGTGTGGGACGTTACCGCTAAAAATTGTCATAAGAGCCTATCTCCACATCTAAGAACCAAAGAAAATGAACCACCTGTTGTAAAGCGCAATGCGCAGAATATCCTGCGTGTAGCCGCAGACAGCACTCACCATTATTCGCAGGTGCACCAAAACAAACCATGGCAGGCGTGCTTCTCAGTGAGGCCGAAAAAACCTTTATTCTGCACGGAGTTCAGGTAAAGTCGTATTTTAACCTTATTTATTTTGAAAAATTAGCCTTTTTTTACCACATTGAACCCTTGTCAGATGTCGATTAGTCATTTTTCACCCTGAATTCGGTACTTAAATGCACATAACCTGTTGTAAGAGGCCAAATAAACTAGCTTTATTTCGTCTTTAATAATCTAGTGTGTCCGTGGCCTCTTCAAAAACAACTAAAATTTCACTTTAATTAAAGTTACATCATTCCTAAACATCAAAATGCATTGGAACTCTTTTTCAGTCTGTCCGCTCTTGCCTGTCGAACCACAGCAATAAGTTTCGCTCTCTTTCTTCTTTCAGAGTGATCTCCGGAATGATGGTCGTTCCAGACAGGACTATCGTCCCATTGAGCTGGAGCTCGACATCGTCACTCACGCCAACGGATCTGCCAGAGTACGCCTTGCAAATACTGACGTCCTAGTCGGCGTAAAAACAGAAATCGACGTACCCAAGCCGGAGAAACCAGAGGAAGGAAAAGTAGAATTCTTTGTTGACTGGTAAGTTTGAATGCTCCAGTAAATAAATTGTAATTTTTCCTCAACTTTTTGTGATTTGTCCTTCAAATTTATTTCAGTTCAGCAAATGCTACTCCAGTATTTGAAGGTAAAGGAGGTGAGGAGTTGGCTACTGAAATAAGCAACTTTCTAGCCAGTTCATTTGCGTCCAGCATGTCATTTGACTTAAAGACCTTGTGTATTATCAAGGGAGTGCAGTGCTGGAAATTATATGTAGATATTTTGGTAAGTTTGCCTGTTGTGACTTCAGACTGCTCTGAACCCTCCCACAAACATCACCTTTGTAATGTCTTACTGTTTGCTTAGATTCTCGAGTGTGGGGGAAATCTGTTTGACGCGGTTTCACTGGCTGTCAAAGCAGCACTGCACAACACCATGGTCCCCAGGGTTGAAACTGTGGCCATGGATGGAGGCAACGTAGATTTACAACTCTCTGGCGATCCTTATGACTGCTGGAGGCTGGATACCAAAAATATGCCATGTTTGGTGACCTTATCTAAGGTAGATTATTTGCCTTATCTTCAAATTTAATCCAAATAGTCAGCATCTGCAAATTGTTTGTAACTTTTTTCTCTTGTTTCAGATTGGGGAACACTTTATTGTGGATTCAACAGCTGAGGAGGAAGAATGCAGCATGGCATCATTAGTTTTTTCTGTGACTGATGGAGGCAGACTAAATTCCCTATGTAAGACTAGTGTCGGTAGTTTACATCCTCATACCTTGGCAGAGGCACTGAAGGTACTGCATTTTCCTCATTTATTGATAATAATACCTATTAATAGTTTTATTTTTGAGCTACCATAATTTACTATTTTGTTGACTCTTCTAGGTGGGTGTTGATGTAGGTGTAAGACTCAACAAGGCACTGGACCAAGCACTTGCGAGAGAAGACCGGCGTCTAGAAGCAGACAAACCAGAAAGATTTGGATTTTTAAAGTGAGGTAGGATATGTGGGCTTCAAAAGTAGACCAGCAACAGTATACCTTCTGGTTCAGATTCGAATGTATTGATTCAAGCATCTGAATGAATTCTCTTTCTCATTCCAACAAGCTGATAATTATTTCGGCCCTATGTATGGCCTGCATCTCAGACTTGCGGACTGCCAAATCCTGTACATCCAAACCATTCTGTCTTCTAACTTCCCAAAGGATTTATTCAAAAGTAAAAGAACGAGTAAAAATGCATTTATTTCCAATATAAAACACACAATAAATTTGTAACTTGTAAAAAAAGACATTCTTCTTTGGTCCCATACTGACAGACAATCACACATATCTACCACTCAAGCACTCAATAATATTTTGAGCATTAAAGCAAAATATTTAAAACATACAATCTTATCAACAATACAAATGTTCAACTTTTCCTGGTGGCCTGGCACAGCAGTAACTCTAGCTTTAAGGACAAATTTAGAAAGTGCAATAGTGCTCGCATCACTGGGTTAACAAATGGCAACAATACATACACTACACATTCCTTTTGCTGTATTTTTGTCAAAAATCTCAAAGTTTTGTAAAAGTTCTTTAGTATACTTCATACACAGAATTACATGCTCATGTCTCCTCAGAAAATGGGGAGAAACTTCTAATGGCAATTGCTGTCTTTTAAACCAGGGAATGTTGGCAACATCTTATACTCAAAGGGCAAGATTGAGGTACTTTGTTATGATAATGAGGTAACAAAAGCAAGACCTTACTAAGACCTTTGCAGAGATTGTGACTAAATATAGCCCGCACAAATGCATGCATAGTTGAGCATTGATCAGCTAGCTCAACATTTAAAGTTCATTGACTCATACAACGCCTTCCTCCTTTACAAAATAATAGAGCATTCCTTATGGTTTAGGTAATCTAGAGGCACAGCTGCTTTCGAAATAAGTGCCAAAAATGAAGGATCTTATAAATAAAGAACAAAAAAGTTATGGCACATGCTAGAGGCAGAAGGGCTTTCTAACAGAAACAAAATAAGACAGAAATTTGAAAAGAAAAAGAAACCTAAGAACAAGCAAGAATAGTTTTAGATGAGGAAACTTAAAACAAGAAGGTGGCACCAAAATAGATGTTGTTACCCTGTCAGCATATGCCACAAGTAGCACGTACCCTAACAAATCTGACTAAAATTCTGCAACACAGTAACAAATTGTCCATTGTCAACTGTTTAACAAAGGAAGGGCTGGTTAAACTGATTAGAGATATTTGACAGCAGAACTTGTTGGGTAGTTAGAGGTCAGATTCAATTCCATCTCCTTTAGAGAGAATGCTGACAGCCGCAGTGTAGGCCCCCTGGAGGCTGGTGTGCTTTTCCCCTTACTGGTGCTCCTGGGACTGCGCACAGAAAGGGGAATAATGAAGACAGGTTCATCCCACGGGAAATGCTAGTCAGTGTCAAGGGATTTTGAAACACAGTTCCACCACCCATAAAACATGCTCCAATTATTAATTTTCCAGAGAGAATGGAAATTTCTGTCAAAGGAGACCTAATTTCCAAATAATGTGACAGGATTTTGGAGGAAATCTGGTAATAGAATAGCCATTAAAATTACTTTTATTCAAATGTAAAAGTTTTACAGTTAGTACTTAGTTTAATAATACTACTACTGTCTTTAAAAAACAAAACAATGTTTCATTTGACCAACAAGATAGCAATGATTACACTTTCAACTATATTTTCACAACTAAGAAATATATAAATGCAAGGCAAAAATAAACTGTGTACAAACATTGATCTAAAAAAAGACTAGTGCAAATTTCCAAAAAGATCCTTAATACTTGGTGAGTACAACCATAAGCATATTGATAAATTTTGTAAAATCAGTCAGTCACATTAAGTGAAAATAACAATGACAGTCAAGCTGGAACTACATAGGTTTAACGATGTCGTACCTTCTGAAGAGCACTAACACCCCACATCGCCAACATGCCCAGACCAAATACAGCACCATACTGTAGGAATGCAAGAGAGACGCCTCGTCGCTTCTTCATTAATGTACGAAGGAAGGCCAAGCCTTTCTCGGAGTAAGGTGGGTACCGTCCACTGGAAAGTCAAGTCCATTAGGATGGAGTATGTACAAAGACCAAAAAAGGAGAATGCATGAAAATGCTGACTACTCACGCAGCAAGGGATTCTCCAATGATGTTGTAGTCCTTGACGAGGGTTCCCTTGTGGTGAGTGAAGGTGTCGAAAGTGAATTTGCCGTGGTAGGCACCCATGCCACTGCAGCCGACGCCGCCGAATGGAAGGCCCTCAGCTGGTGGGCAACAAGATAACAACTTATGGAAAACCGAAACCAGACTTGTAAAGCAGGCACCATGCAGTGAGTTACTACATACAAAAGTTTGATAAGACGAAACTAGTTAAATAATTACAAAAGGTATCTTATAAAATACTTTAGTGTTCAAGCATTCATTAACTTCATATCTACAAACCTGCAGCATGGAAGATGGTATCATTGACACAAACGCCACCACTGGTAGTGTTCTTCAAGAAAAGGTCCTTTTCGGATCCCTTTTCGGAGAAAATGTACAAAGCCAAAGGTTTTTCCCTGCACCAGTAACATAAAAACCATCACCATCAGGCACATTCCAACATTTTTAAATTCCTCAAAATTTTAACAGTCCAACCACCAGGCTGCATAACTCCATCTATAGTTCAAAAATTTCCCCCACACAAAAGTTATTTGCAAAACTTGATGCATCAACAAATATACACAAGAGGATGAGCGTGCAGAGAGAATGTTGCGTGATGGGCAGTTCCACACTTTCACATGGAACATATTTATATTATCCACAGGAGAGCAAAAGGTAAGAATTACAACCAAATACGTACAAAGAATGATTAGCAAACCTATAGTACTAGGGGGAAAAGTGTGTGAAAGGTTTCTAGGTGATCCTAAAATATAAGCACTGCGAAATAAAGCTTACTTCATTGTTCTCAGAAAACCAGTTAGGCTATTCTACTCAGTGAAAGGAAATAAAGAAATCGCCAAAACCTGTGGGCTAGCTGGAATTCAATCAAGAGCCCCTTCATATCCCTCTATCTCTATGGCCATGTAGGGTACAGTAGGGAAGGAACAGGTTGTTAGGTGCACATGTCTCTTACTTTCTTTGTTTTAAAGCAAGAGTGGAAACAAGTTGAGATACAGCTTTCAACTCGGGTTAGCAGGGATGCAGGGTATATGTACATTAAACCTTCACCACAACCCCCAATACACCTGGAATAACATATGTGCACTACATACAGTGTGCCTCATAAAATCGGCCAGGCTAAGACACTCCTGTAAAACCAGAAATGTCACTCACCAGCAAAGTGCATCAGAGTATCATTAACAGCAACTCCTCCGCTTGATGTTTGCTTCAGCACCAAGTCTCTAATTTTCTTGTCAGAGGTGAATAAATAAAATGCCAGGGGCTTGTCTCTGTGAGTGAGATGGAGGGAGGGAGAGGAGGGAAAATCAATGAGTGAATTTTCAAAAATATGAAATTCAATGAAAATGATCCCCAATGAAACTAAAAGTACATTATTTTCAGCCACAACCTAGGGTCTAAAAAATTCAAAAATCTTTAAGTTTACAAAAGAAGTCACATAGAAAACTGGACCTGAAAGAAAACTCCATTAATGAATAATAGCCCTCACAGCAAAAACAAACACTCACCGGCTGTTGATGAATTTGATGGCTTCATATGCATTCTCAACATTGACAATCGGAAGAATGGGTCCAAAGATTTCCTCCTGCATCACCTTGTCAGTGGGCTTGACATCAACAAGAATAGTTGGTGCAATATAGCGGTCTGAGGCATCCACCTCACCACCAACCACTATTTTACCACAATTCAAATACTCCTTCAGCCGCCTGGTAGCAAATCACAGTAGTTGAAGAAACATATTGAAAATCTAAACAAAACTGGGGAAAAATTAATGAAAGCTGAAACAAACTTACTGGAATTGTTTGTCTGAAACAATGCGGCACAAGTCAGGAGAATTCTTTGGGTTGGCTCCGTAAAATTCCTTGAGTACCTCTTTTGCTTTCGCTACAAACTTTTCCTGAGTTTCCCGGGTGCACAACACATAGTCTGGAGCAATACAAGTCTGGCCCGCATTTACCAGCTTTCCCCACATGATACGCTTTACAGCAATGTTCATGTTGACTGTACCATCAAGGTACACAGGGCTGCACACAAGAAAGTAAAAAAAAGGATATCAATTTTGAAAAAATTACATTTGGCACAAAATTTAAGTAAAATAAATCATGTTAGGTACCTACCTCTTGCCACCAAGTTCAAGAGTAACTGGTGTCAGGTGCTCATTGGCTGCAGCTCGTACAATCTTTCCAACAGTTGTTGAACCAGTGTAGAAAATGTAATCAAACTTCTGTTTTAAGAGTTCTGTGGTTTCTGGGATTCCACCAAGGATAACTGGGAAGCACTCCTGAAAAGGGTGAATGAATTATAGAGTCAGATACAAGCTAAAAAAAACATAACTTTGTAATGGCAGAAAACAAAATTAGTGCAAACTCACCTGATCAAGGTACTTTGGGACTAGATCAGCAATTAGCTTAGCAGAGGCAGTTGCAATTTCTGATGGTTTGATCACGGCACAGTTACCAGCTGCCATGGCTCCAATGACGGGGCAAATTGTTAGCTGAACTGGGTAGTTCCATGCCCCCATGACAAGAACAACTCCATAGGGGTCTTTGTAAATTGCAACATCATCCAACATATTCACAAAAGTTTTTTCAGGCTGTGAATTAAATTTTGACATGAAATAAAGCAATGTGATTGGCTTCTTTAATGTGAACAACACAATTTACTTCTACATACCCTGTCTGGTTGCATCCAGTCTTTCAAATTAAGAAGTGTCTGTCGAATCTCATTCTTGCAAATCTCAATTTCCATAATGCAGGCCTCTTGTTTGCTCTGCATTAGCGGAGTGAAAGAATATTCATTAAAAAGAATTAGCTGGACATGGGCACATTAAATAAATTTGAGTAAACTTGCCTTCCTCAAATCTGATTCCAAGGCGCTGATGAGATCTGTATCATTTTCCTCAAACATGCGCAGTAAATTCTTGAGCTGCTTAACTCGGAACTCGTAAGACAAGGTCCGTCCAGTTCCAAAGGCATCACGTGCCTTTTGCACAATCTGGGAATGTACAAAAAGTGAATATTTATGTAAGGAAAATTTGAGAATATTAAATAGCAACTGATTCAATGTTCTGTCATTTGGCAGATGTTGCAACACAAATGCAGAACAAAAAGTATGCCACCACTCATTACGACATTTCTGCAGGGAATGGACTTTCTACTTACAGCAGCGTAGTTGGCCATATTGATGGATTCAAACTCCTCTCCGTCAAATCCTGCAATGAGAAAGCACTAGTGTTGACATTTCATCCACAATGAAAACATCCAACTAACAGTAGCAGCAGGACCCCTCCCCTCCCCTTCCTTCCCCTTCTCCTCTGCACCTCACACACACACACAGTTCAATAATGGACGGTGACACCAGAAGCCCTAGCACTGCCACTCGAAGAGCACCACAAGGGCACACTTTGACAGCGCGAGCTGCCGGGGAAAGCCCAGTCATTCGCAGTGCACCAGCGACAGGCTGCCTGGCCCGCCTGGCCCGCCACCGTTGAGGTTATGTTTACGTCCTGGGCTGGGGTCCTGCAGGACGGCAGGGGAGGGACGGCTGGCCGGTTACGCAACGCGACAGCTCTCGTCACCGTGCCGCGGGGCTACCGTTAACTCACACCGGCAAGAGGAAGGCGAGACGAGACGCAAGACACGGCGGTGCGACTCTTCGCCCCGATTGCTCCTGGCGACTGGCGCTTGGCTCGGCTCGCGCTCCGCTCGGCACAGACCCTAGACAGAGACAGACTGCTGCGTCAGAGCCAGAGCGGCAGTGAGTTCGACTTCGCGTTCGCGAGCCGCGGCACAGCAGGACTACCGCACCACCTCCCTGCCTGCCCCCTGGTCTCCCCCTCCAGGCACCCCCCGGCGCGCGAGAGAGAGAAAGAGAGAGACGGCGACACCGCAGACGAAGCAAGGACGACCTCAGGACAGGACCGCTGCCGGCACTTCACTTTTGCTGCCGGCTCTGGTCAAGCCAAGGGTGTCGTCCTGCTCCCTTCCGAGGGCCGTTTTCGTCGCTCTGTCTCTCTCGCGCCCAAGGGAATGCCCCGTCCGACGGCGACGGGGCGCGGAGCCGAGCGCGCCTGCAGTCCCGGGGGTAGGCAGTCCTGTCACGCAGGCGTGCCGGCGGGGTGCCTACCCTCGCGGCGGCCCGGTGTTACTATTGCTATTAAGGACTCGATGGATGTACTTCCACGATGAATGTACACCGGATGGCTGTACCCCTGGGTACACTTCTCCGAATGGCGCATTCTCATGCCACGACACCGGCCGGCGCGGTGGACAGCGCACCGACTCCGCACCACTTTTCGTCGCTGTTTCTCTCTCACCCAAACCGCACGGCCCATGAGTGCGAGAGAGACAGTAAAAGATGCGCAGAATCGCTTTGCGCCGGTTGACAGAGCGCTGCAGAGCAGTCGGTCTCGTAGCGCTTCTCACGGAAAGACACACACACGCACACAGAGTGCAGTCTTGCTTTCTTCGAGTTTGTTTGGCAGTGGCGGCCACCCGCGGTCCCACGACACGAGCAAAGGGGTCTGGCCGATACCGCTGGCGTCTCGACCGCCTTCGGCACTGATAAACATAATTATTGAGCACGGTCCAAAAGATTATGGTTCTTATGAGAGTGAAAGGAACGTTTTCGCGTCTAGTTTTAGGAATTAAGAACTGCGATGCATCTAAGATCTACGCTGCGGTTCGAAATTCGTCTAGGAGATAATGAGAGGGGGGGGGGGGTCGTCCGGTCAGATAAAGAGACGGACTGTGTCAGTTCCGAGAGGGGCGTTCCCGAGCCGCGGGTTCAAACACCAGGCATGCGCCTTTTTCTTTTTCTCTGACATTTTATCTCGGCATTCGGATGTGGCGCTGTACCGCCGCCATCCCAGTGCCCCAGCTGAGTCCTCATTGAGGTTCAAGCCGCGAGCCTCGCAACCGCAAAGTGGAAATCCGAAAGGCTGCAGCATCTCTGTTGCGTGACTCGGAGTGCGGCAAGCCAGTCTAAAAATGTCTCCCGCCCCGCTCCATTTTAAAGACATGTAAAGCAAATTCTTTTCCCTCTTTATTTCTTAGCAGTGTGCCCGCGTCAGCCGCCATTGTGTGCAAAGACGCGTCAGCCCGAGCGACAGAGACAGAGATAGACAAACACGGCTAAAACGGAGCCCCGATAGCATCGCCTCCTTTAAGCGCCTTCTGGTGCCTTCAGGCCTTCCTCGCCGCCAGCGGCCGCCAAATCGGAACTAACGACTCAGCGTCACCTCCAGGTCACCCCGCCGCCCTGGCTGTGCTGGCTGCTTGTGTTGTTGTTAGCTTGGCGGGGTGACATGGGGCAGGCCGTCTACCCATCTGTCTGGGCCGGTGGGTGTCTGGTCGGCAGGTAGGCAACAAGTTCCACAAGTTCCACTCCGTCGCTCCCCCAGCTGATGGCGACCCCGGCCGGCCCGGCCACAGGCCCGCGAGCCCGCGAACAGATCATGGCGGGCATGGCGGGCACGGAACTGCCAGTCACGGTACGGTACCCCTCCCCCCTTTTCCGTCCAATTCTCTCATGGGTCATCCGCCGCCAGAGTCACGCAAAGAGCGAACGAGCGAACGGCGCGGGGGAGGGGAGGGGGTTCATCCCATTACCAGTCAGCTTTTCATAACAAAGTTCCTCGGCACTGGAAATTTGATGCCTTCTGCAGGCAGCACTGACGCGGCCTGTACAAATTGCCTTCGGGAAATGGCTGCCGTCGTCGCCGTGGTCGTGAGGCTGCTTGGCGGTGCTTGGCGGTGCTTGGCGGCGCTTCGTCGAGTGCCGTGGAATTAGTGAGGTTGGGTATCACCGCGGCGTCCACCAGGCCGGGCCTAGAGGCCGGGCCGGGCCTCGCGCCGGGCGTCGTACACGTCGTGCAGGTCGGTACAGTCCGCCTTGCCGCGCCTCCGTCGCCGGTACAGTCAGCCACAGCACGCGAGCACCGCGCCGACGACGGACAAAAGAAACCTCGAGAGACGCCATCATTCTCTAATCACGCGCGAGTAAAAACGCGAGTCGTTTATGCTTTTCAGCCGGCGCTGGTTTGTCGGCGACCCCCTCCCCTCCCCCGCCAATGCCGCGGGCCGTGATGATACACTAAAAGCCACAGAGTCATCCTACGCTGGAGAAGTGGTACAGTGGGGCTTCCTAGTCGAGCAGCGCGGGGCGGTGGCGGTGTGTGGCGCGGTAGGTCGAGGCGGGTCAAGGCCTTGCAGCTGATATACGTGCCTCCAGGGCAGCGTCCTGGTGCACTGGCTGCACTGGCTGCCCCGCGGCCAACCACCCCCGTCGCCACACTGCGAGGTGAGCCAAGGCTCTAGCCAAGGCCGGCCGGGGTCGCCGTCGAGTCGCGGATGTCGCGGCGTGCCTCCGTTCGCGCGGTTATTTGACTTTGACATGGGTCGCTAAACGGTTCGCTCGCGCCTCATCGCCTCATCGCGTCGGGGACTTGGGACTTCCCTCGCTCGCCGCTGCGAGTCCCAGACGATCGGTTCGAGTTTCCAGCAGCCGAATCTATCAGCTCCACGCGGCTATTTCCGGCAAAGCCACAAGCCGCAGCCGGCAGGGGTCGCCACAGGTCAGCAGCACCATTTTCCTTCTTTTTTTTCACGCGCCGTTTTTCTTGAAAAAGTCGTCTTTCGCGGGACGGGACGACTCTGGCCGCTGAAAACTTCCAGCAGAAGCGGCGTTGCCGGACTCCTCGCGAGGAGCACGTACACTGTGCGAGACGAAGGCGAAGCGGCGAAGGCAAACCCCGCAATCAGGCCGCCACTTTTGGTCTCTTTTCACGTTTTTATTTTCATTGTTTACGTGTCCAGTTGGCAACATTGCCACGCCCGTCTCGCCGGCAGGATCAAGGTCGCTGTCTGCTGTCTGTCTGTCTGTCTGTCTGTCTGTCTGTCTGTCTGTCTGTCTGTCTGTCTGTCTGTCTGCCTGTCTGTCTGTTTGCCTGTTCGTCCGTCCGTCTGTCTGTCTGCAGTTTTCGATACCCGTCCTCACTGCCCCAGTCATGCCACAACAAAGCAAACTCCAGGCCTCATCCTCTCCGCCGCGCACACCTCGCTGCGTTTTCCTTGCGACCTTGCCGTCCACCAGGACCGCGTCTTTCATCGCCTGCTGTGGCATCGCCGGCGTCCGCGGCATCGGGGCGCCGAGGCCGGCCGCTGCAAACCGGAACCAGCCCCCCACCTCAACGCCCCTTTTTAGCATACGACTCCTGCAATATAATTTTTTTTTTGTTTTTGTATTTTTGTGGCTGTTGGGTTGGTGGCGGCCGGCGGCGGGTCTGTCCAGGGCGTCGCACCTAGTCGCCCCCCGCCGCCCTGCAGGGCTTTGCCGGGCATGCGGACTATGACCTGCCCGCGACACTTCACTCTCCACTCCACTTGTCGGGCAGGTGCTCGACTTGGCAGTGCCCGATCGCACCCGCGCGGGACGCACCGCGAGTGCGAGAGAGACGGCTCAGCCCCGGCAACTCGCTCGCATGAATTATCACGAACCTGGTCGTCGGAGAGAGAGGGGGGGGGCGCAAATCGCGGTCACTTTGGTGGCCTACCGGCTGTCCACCACACTGTCTCGTCAAGCCGTTCTGGAGCACGCCCAAGCAGCGCAGTTGCGAGATCCAGTACGGCCTAAACGCACGCAGCTGGCTGTCTCTCTCGCACACCCACGGGACGCACCTTGAGTGCGACAGAGACAGGAAGCCGGGCGTCCGCGCGCACCCAACCCAAACTCGCGATCCGCGGGAATACAATGCAATTTTCAGCGGCGGCGGTCGGGCAGAACTGCCCAGCTGACCACTACACTTGGTGGCTTGGTCATCGCAGTGTGGCGGCACTCGCGTGCTATGGAGGCACCACGCCATCGCTCGGAGACTCAACCACCAGCATGGCACCGCGGACCGGCAGTCCGACACAGTGGGCCAGAAGACCGGTGCAGGCGGCCAAAACACTACACGCGTTTTGAGCTCCAAAGTCGGTGAATGGGACTCGAACCGAACGTGTGACCCCACCAATGGATTCCTCGTTAGGAGAGCATTCCATAGGTGGGGTCACACGCTCGGTTCGAGTCCCATTTAGCGACTCTGGAGCTCAAAACGCGTCCGGGATTTTGGCCGCCTGCACCGGTCTTCTGGCCCACTGTGCGGCGGGCCGGCACGCCTGCCACGTAGGCAGCCCATCCGGCTCTTCGCCGCCCGGCCACGCCCGGCGAGCAGGCCGCCCAACCGGCGCGGGCGCTGGGCACGTCGCGAACCTCCGGGCGAGAGCCCCCCTGCAGACCCTTCCTAGACGCCGTCTCCTAGGCTCCCGTGACTTCCGTGACTTGGACGAAAAGGACGCTCTACGTTTCACCACCCACCCCCCGTCGCTGGCGTTTTGCAGTTCCAAAATAAGGCCAGGAAAAAGGACGCCAGCGTTGCGAATTTTTCATTTTCGAGACCGAGCGACGGACTGACCTGCACACTGGAACGACTACATGCCCGGTGAAAAGGCAGCGGGTTACGGCTGCAGCCCAGCCCACACCAGACATCCTGCGGCCAGGACCGCTCGTCGCGCCGTCTCTCTCGCACCCCCGCGAGGCGCGCCGTGAGCGCGACAGAGACGGAGCGCTGCGTAATGAGTCTGCAGACAGGCTGCCTGCAACGGGCTGCAGCTGCGGCTGGGCGGGCCGGCCGGGCCTCCTTGAAGGTTTCGCACACTGCCAAAACCGCTGTCTCCGGGGCGCTCCGTGCTCCGGGCTCCAGGGTGAGCGACGGCCACGGCGGCCCGAGCTGGCAGCCAAGCCGTCAAGAAATCGGCGCGAACGCAGCCCAAATCACTCTGGCGCAAATTAATATTCTGAATCACTACACTTTTACGGGTACAAGGCGAACAAGATGGCGTTTTAATGCGAGTACTGCGCTCGGCAAAAGTGTAGACGCTAATGCCTTTTCCCACAGAGTCCGACAGAGTAGCAGATGGAGGCCGATTCGCCGGAAAATCGGATCCCGGTCGATTGATCGCGAGCCGGTCATTTGGAACTCGTTCCCAGCAGACTCTCTGTCTCTCTCGCACTCACGGGGCGTCCCTCGGGGTGCGAGAGAGACAGCGCGAGTGTTCGGAATCTGCGCTGCGGCCCTGCGGGCGTGGCCTCGGGCGGGCGGGCACCACGACGAGGACGGGCTTGAGCTTGAGGAGCAGTCCGGTGGATCGGCCGCTCGGCCGGGCAGCCGACCAGGCCGGCCAGGCCGACCCCCGATCCGATCCACACACGGACAAGGCCACAGGGCCGCAAGGCCACCGCGAGAAAGTGGCATCAAAAATATCGGGAGGGAGAAACCTGCCCTCGCCAAAAGGCGGGCCGGGCAGCGCGCGGAAAACGCCCTCACGGTGCACAGTGGAACAGGCTCTCCGAACGAGGAATCCATTTGTGGGGTCACACGTTCGGTTCGAGTCCCATTTAGCGACTCTGAGCTCGAAACGCGTCCGGGATTTTGACCGCCTCCATCGGTCTCGGATCGGTCTTCTGGCAAATCCACTGTACGATGTTCTCGGCGGCCTTGTGTTTCTACGCGTCCAGAACGGGCCAAGCGGAACGACTATCAACGGCAGCGCGGGAAGACGGGCACAGCAATCAGAATGATTAAAAATATATTACTTCAAAAATACAGGTATTTGTGCACGTATATGGATGGAATGAAAAAAAACTAGTTACAAGGACAAGGTCTATCGAGGATGCGTCCTTCGGCGGGTCCAGTTCCAGATCGATTATGTAGCCAGCCAGCCGGCCGCACTCGAGGAAGGCGAAACGGAACGGGCACACGCCCAAAAAAGTTAAACTCTCTTTTTCTCTCAAAAATTTTGAGACGCCTTATTTTGAGGCCTGGCAACAAGCACTTTTCAAAATCGGCATGGCCGCGAAACTGCCAGCAATTTCTCGGGCAGCTCTAGGTGAGCTCAGCCGAGTACAGCACTGTACGCGGAGGCGTGATCAAACCTCAGCTGTTTGTGAGTGTATGCTGCGGTCATAGCGCGCGCCGAGGCGAGCCTTGGTGGCGGCCTGTGCTTAGCGGCCTAGACCTTGCAGTGGCTGCGACGCTGCGATCGCGGAACAAGCCGGGCGAGCCAGGGCGTCGGGCAGCGGCTCGGTCTCGGCCAGAGATGCAGATGCCAAGCCACTGGAGGACGCGCTGGAGGCGCTCCAGGGCCGCACACTGGAAACGCCTGGAACGGAAGCGCGCCCGGCGCGCAGTCTGGAGGACTCCAGGCGAGACTCCAGGCGATCATACAGATGACTAGTCACCAGTACCAAAAATTTTTGCAAAAAAAAAATCAAAATTTTTTCAAAAAATGAAACTTTTTTAAATTATAAATTTAAAAAAAATAATTTGAAAAATGTAAAAAAATTACAAAAATTTAAATATTTCTTTTTTAATTATAAAATTTTTTAAAAAAATTTAAAAATTTAAAAAATATAAAATTTTTAAAATTTAACAAATTTTAAAAGCACTCGCGAAGTTTGGCAGGGTTGAAGTCGTGGCCTTCGGCGCGGACAGGCACCCCACAGTCGCGAATGATAGAGGAAATAAAGTCGCCTGCGAAATAATGGAGAGCGCGCCCAGACGGCACGCCTGACACCAGACGGCGGCTGGCTGGCTGGCTGGCCCGTCAGTTTCCCAGGCTGCCGGCTCGGCGCCTTGTTTTGCCAGTCGCTGAGTGGCGAGAACTGCGAGAACACCGCACCTCATCCCTGTACTCCACTTCGCCTACGTCAATGAACGCACGCTTAGCGCGCGCACACACACCAACACACACACACACACACACACACACACACACACACACACACGCGCGCGCGCGCGCGCGAGCCCCCGTGTCGTCGACTCTTCGTCGATCGCACTCAAACAGCGGAACGAAATCAGTACAATGTGACAGCTAAGCTAGGGTGCTAAAAATGTCTTCCTGCAAAACAATCTTTGGATTTGGACTTTTGACGGGACCCAGCAGGCTTGCAGGGGACTGGGTGACCCGACGGGCCGACGCACTGACCCCGGAGGCCTTCGGCTTTGCCTTCACGTAGCAGTGCAGTGGTTGCAGCGAGCGTGCCAAATGAGAAAATGACGCAGCGGCGGAAGAGACTGATCCCCTGTCTCTCTCGCACCCCTGTGGGACGCACCGCAAGAGCGAGAGAGACGGAGCGACTGCTATCGGGGCGGTGTCGCGAGGACCAATTGCAGCTGCTGCACGGCCTTGCAGCGCAGTGCAGCGTGAGCCGAGCGGATGCAACTTTTACCCGACAGCTCTCTCAACTCAACTCAGTACTGGCAGCCCCGGGGCGCAATGATGGCAAGCGGGAGACAACGCCCCCTAGTCCGTCTCTCGGTGGCGAGTGTCAGGGACTCTACCGGAAACCTTGGAGCGATGCACACGATAACCAAGGGAAATGTATTCATTTCGGAAAAAAAGTGCGAACGATTCGCAGTCTTGTGGCGAGCACGTGTGAACCCCCGGGTACAGTGTAGCGGCTGCCTCTCCAACTCGTGACTTTGAGTGACCATCAAGACGGCCTCTCAAAACTAGCCACCGAAAACGTGTCGAAAAAAAGTCGACAAGAGTAGCGAGTCGGTAAGAAAGACAAACCAGCTTACTGCGCACATCCCGGTTTGGACTTTGTTTTATGGTAAACACCAGCAGCCAACATGTTTCGTGAGCCAGTCCAGGGTACACTCCGACGGTCGATACCTCGATCCCCGATCTCGCGGATCATGAAAACGCCTCTAATCGGTCGAGAGAAAAAATAACTGCTCATTGCCAGCTTTCAGATCATGCATTTCAACTTTAAGCACCATATCCGAGTAATCACAGGCTCCTACACTCTTTACATGGCATTACTTATGGATGTTGGCACACATTCCCAGCCTGGTAACGCCCCTCTCATTTAAAAATTTTTTTTTCTGAAGTGTTATTGATTTTAATTTTTTTTTTGCCAGTGTTGCAGACTCACCGTTGACTCTGGTGATGCTCGGGTCCTCCTCGATGACAAGGCTCACGTGGTCGACGGCTGCGGCGTGCCCGTTGAGCCCGTTGAGACCGCTGTGCCCGTTGAGCCCGTTGGCGGCGTACACCTGTCCCGCGCCGACTTCAATTTGCAGGTGTCCGTGAGCGAGCTCGTCGCTCGGCACCAGTCCGTCCACCACACTGTAGCCGTCCACCGCGACGTGCACGTCGCCGACTGCGTCCACTGCGTCCACTGCGTCCCCGGCGTGCTCGGCCGCGTCCAGGTCCTTCATGCCGCCGGGACAACCTGCGGGTCGAGGAGGGCGTCATCGGCCGCGCAGCCATTGCCAAGTCAAATGGGCCTCGCCGCCACGCACAGTGGGCCAGAAGGCCGGTGGAGGCGGCCAAACTCCAAGACGCGTTTTGAGCTCCAGAGTCGCAAAATGGGGCCCGAACCGACCGTGTGACCCCACCAATGTATTGCTCTCCGAACGAGGAATCCATTGGTGGGGTCACACGTTCGGTTCGAGTCCTCTGTAGCGACTCAGCAGCTCAAAACGCGCCTGGAGCTTTGGCCGCCTCCACCGGTCTTCTGGCCCACTGTGCCCCGCCGCCCCGCCCACCGCGGCCGATTAGGAAGCGGCACGGCGCTAAGCAGGGCCGCCCTCTCTCTCGCACCCCTACGGCACGCCCCGTGAGTGCGACAGAGACGGGGCGGCGCAGCGGCCCTTCGGAGTCAGCCCGCGGGTCGCCCGTGAGTGCCTCAAGTCGGACAGCGCGCCGCCTACCTGAAGCTCGCTCGTCAAAACACTCGCGGCAACGGCACACTGCGCGGAGGGCGGGCTTGGCTTCGCACGGCCGGCAGTGCTCTGGTCCGCGAGGGCGAAACTACTGACCGCCGAACCGGCGGCGGGTGGCGAGGCGGCGAGACACGAGTGGTCCCCGCCCGCGATGCCCGTGACCGCCCGCGATCCCCGGGGCGGTTGTCGAGACCGTCAAGCAGACCGATGGCCGAGGTGGCCGAGGCCTCAACCTGGACCTGTCGTGCCCAAGGGTTGGATGCTGACGGGGCGCGGGCGGGGTCGCGACCCCAAGCGGGACTTCCCCGTCTCTCTCGCACTCATGGGGCGGCGCGTAGGGGTGCGACAGAGACGGAGCGTCGAAGCACCGTCTCGGCGGAATGTCCTGGCACGCCCGCGGCGCGGGTTCGCCTCCCGACGGCGGCGTCAAACCAGTCCCGGATGTCCACAGGTCTGCCGACGTCGACGTCACTCGCACAGTGTAGCTCCTCGGCGGCGCGCACAAATCACTCCAACCTTTCGATATTGTTGTTGTTGTCTTTGCTCGGGATTTGGAGGGCCCGTCCCGCGATACTCACAGCCATGCCCCGCGCTCCGAGTGCTGCACTAGCTGCGCTAGCCACTGTCTCTGACTGCCCGTGACTGCCGGTGACTGCCCGATCTGACACGCGCGACGAGCAGCGACGCGATGGCGCGGGGCGGCGCTCTAGGCGGCGGCCAACAGGGGAGATGCAGGACTGGCCGCCGCGCGACGGCGTCGTGGTCTCGACGGTCTCAACGGCAGCCCCGCCCCGCCGCGCCCCGCCCCGCCCCGCGGGCGCGCACGCGGACGAGCAGAGCACGCGGGCACGCCGGCCAGCCGGCCCGCCCCGCCCCTCCCCGCCCCGCCCTCGCCCTCGCCCTGCCCCGTTCCGGACTCGAAATCCCCGAAGTCGGGCGAACGCGGCGAACGGGCTGGCCGGCTCTCCCCCTTCGCCCAGTGGCCCAGTCATCAGGCTGGAACGGAAAGGGGAAGGGAGAAGGCGGGGCACAAGACCAAGAAGGCGGTGGTGATGGTGAAGACCGAGAAGGCGGTGGTGATCGTGGTGCTGATGGTAAAATTACTTCCGCGTGATGCAGTGTAGTCCCGATGCCGACAAAAAGCCCTCGTCCAACTTCTAGCACTGGTGTGAGAAGCAAAGGTGATCCTAGGAGTTGTCAAAAGGCGCGCTCGAAGAACTGGTTTTATTAATGTTTTTGTTTTCTGTTTGGGCGTGCCGGCGTGCCGGCGACGCGAGGGGGGCATTCGTAGGAACAAGTTTCCCTGCCAGCAGCCTACAGCAGCCGTTCGAGGTGCTCGTCGATCGCCACGGGGCAAGATTTCGGCCGCCATGTCCAGATCGCGGAGGGAAACCAGTGGACTACCCTCCGGCCGCAACCCTCGCCACACTAGCGGGAAGTTTTGCCTGTAAGTGGCAAAGCTGGGTGCGCGCTGCAAGCGAATGTAAGGCCCGGGTTCGACTCCTGGGACAGGCGCAGCTTCCAAGACAGCATGATTGCACCTGCAAGAAACGGCGCTCAAGCAATGCTCAAGCAATGCGCGCGCCGACTGGAGAATTTCGATGACTGTGCACACACGGCCACACGGCACGCCGCGCCGGGCTGCCCGACCAGACGCAAGGCCGAAGTGCCGACGCATTGTTTGTTTGTTGTGGCGCGTTCGGTGCGTACGGGAAGCGCGCGAGGCAGCACCGGCCAGAAATGAGAAGTAGGGTAGGTACATGCTCCGGAGGTGCTCCGGCAAACTGCGGCAGACCCGAAACGGAAACTCATCCCTATTGGTTGGCCGAGGCCGCGACGATTGTTGCCAGCTCGTGTGGCAGCACTGCTCGCGAGCTGGTCAGGCACTGGTCAGTCTTTTGGGAACACGCTGTGTGGGAGCAAGTCCTCCCCGGGCGGCACAGCCGGCACAGGAAGGAGACAGGCGAGGACCGCCAGACAACGCGTCTCCGCCAGGTAAAAAGAAAACCGAGTGGATGGGTTGAGTGCGTTTGTTCTGGTCCCGGCAGTCCCCTCCCCGCCGGGTCAAGGTCACTTTGCGAGGCTTGCTGGCCAGGCCGTGCCGGGCGGGCCGTGCTGGACGGGCCGTGCCGGGCGGGCCGTGCTGGACGGGCCGTGCCGGACGAGGGGGTGGCACCACTGCACCGTTCTTTTAGGTTATGTTAGGTTAGGTCTGCCCCTTCCCTTGGCGCCGCTGCACTGTGGATGAAGTCCGTTCCCGGCAGACTCGCGCCACTGCGTGCGGCGCCTCCACTCTGCGGGCACACCATAATTACGAGCAGCTCAAAATTGATTGCCATTTTCTCCGTTCCAAATGCAACGTGCCGTTTTTTTTCCTTTCCCGTCGGCACGGTGGCCTGGTTGGGCCTGGTTTGTTGGTTCTGTCCCTCCGGTGGCGTATGGACAGTTGGACAGTGCAGCCCCCGCAGGGTAGGCAGCCTTAGCCGTGCCTGTCGGGCCTGTCGGGCCTGGCGACTGGCGGTCAGCAGGGACGGCAGGTTGCTTCGGAACAGCGCTCTCGTCGCTCTGTCTCTCTCGCACCCCCACGGGACCTACGGGACGCCCCACGAGTGCGAGAGAGACAGCGCGACGCGAGCACTGTTGGGAAGCAGCCTCCAGGCCAGTCTAGCCGGCCTTCCAGTCGCGTCCAGCTTCCATACCGCTGGACCGCATCTGCAGCCAGAGCGGCAGCGAGTGGAAAAAAAAGCGCCAATCCAAAGTTCCACGATTCTTTATCTCGCTCCCATTTTATACTTCGAATGAGGCGGACATCAGAAGAGCATCATCTACCTCCGACGAAAGATATGCCGGGCGACGACAACACCGCGGCTATATATTCGTATTTTGTGCGAGGCGTTCTTTTGGTGGGCCGTAGACTAAAAAGAGACGACATGGGCAAACGCAAACGCGTCCAAAAAAAAAAAAACACAAACAGAGGAACGCGTCCAGAGCGAGACAGGAATAATTAGCCATGCTGACGCGCGCAGCCCACCACGCTGGAAAAAAAACGCGCAGGAACTCGCGGTCGCGGGGAGTCGAACCAGCGACCGGCCGCACTAACGAGTCTCGTCGTTGGTGGAAATGGGGCAAACGGCGAGCTTCGGGCTTTACCGTGGTTTTGCGGTCAGCGACGCGGCGCACACCAGGTGACCTCCCCGTGTGCGTGTGTGTGTGTGTGTGAGTGTGAGTGAGTGTGCGTGCGGTCGCGAACCGTAATAGGAGCCGGCGACCGGACGGGCGGACGAGCCGAGCGCGCTGTCCGAGTCCAAGTTCAAGTGAGCCGACACGCGGGGCATACGATCATGTGTGGTCTGGCCCTTAATGGCAATGGGCTTGAGGACTGCCGGGCAGCGCAGACCACCCCACTCGCATCACCGCGCGGTGGGCGGCCTGCCTCGCAGGCGCTCTTCTCCGTTTTCCTCCGATTTTAAAAGAAAACGGGTTTTCGTGACAGCGGCAGGAGGAGGAGAGGGACGTAATAAAACACAAAAGTGTACGACATCGTCATTATTTAAGAAACGTATACAGTCCTAACTAAAAGTAAAATATCACCGTGGAATATCACACTGAACATGAAATGGCGGATGGAACCGTTGGTTCACCCCCTTTTGTTTTAATCCCTCCAAGCTTCTTATTGTCTCCTCGCCGAGTGGCAAGAGTCTAGAATCACACAAAAGAGAGCAACAATCGAAGGAGAGTTAATTTCGAGCCTGCGAACCGGCGCGACACAATTAGACAATTATTCAATTTGTCGAATCGGTCCCCGAGTCACACGCAAAACGAGACCCGTGCCTCTCCTTGCTCGCAAGAGCGTACAAAAACAATAACAACAAAAACAACAACTAGTTTGGCCCACAACACCTCGAGGATGGATAATACAATCTAATGGAAGATAGCTGCAGTTACAAACAACCTGGTGGGCCGCAGCGAAGGCCCTTCACGGGGCGGGACTTGGGACCCACTCCAAAAAAAGTCTCAAAATCAGGAATATCGTCGTGTAGCGAGAGACCCTCCGCGTCGCCGGGTCATCGGCGGCAGGTCGTCCTTGGCGTCGAGCGGCGTCGGGTCACGAGGCGTCGCCGGCCCCCTTGCTGGCGGCGGAGGGCGTCCTGGAGGACGACCTGGAGGACGACCTGGAGGACGACGAGGGCGACGCGCCGGCCGCCTCGTCCACGGGGTACCAGTCCAGGAAGCGGCCCACCGCCCTCTCCCACAGCGCCATGGCCGCGCGGGCGTCGTCGCGGGCGTCGTCGCCGACGTCCAGGGCGCGCGGTTCGAAGACGCGCTCCACGCGGCGCAGGGCCGCCACCTCGGCCTGGTCGCGCCACACGCCCGCCGCCACGCCCGCCAAGTACGCCGCGCCCATGGCGGACATCTCGGCGCTGGTGGCGCGCTCCACGGGCAGCCGGGACAGGTCGGCCAGCAGCTGGCACACGAAGTCGTTGCGGGACACGCCGCCGTCCACCCTGCAGGCAGTTCAACTCGCTTTTAGCAGGAGCACAGGGCCTTCAGTCAGATGTAAGCGGTCGGCGAGGGCCTTCGGAAAAAGACATTCGCGAATCGGGCCAAGAAAAAAGAAGGAGCACATGACCCCGACGTGATTTGAACACGCAACCTTCTGATCTGGAGTCAGACGCGCTACCGTTGCGCCACGGAGTCCTGGTGAAGGAAGCCGGCTCGGCGCAGCAGTACATTCCTCCCGCGAGGTTGGGACGCCGTCGCGCCGCCGGCATCGACCGGAGGGGAGGGGGAAGGCGCCGCGCCGCGCCGTGGCGAGCCGCGGCCGCTCGGCTCCACTTCGGCTACCTTCGGCGAGCTTCGGCTCGGGCGGCGCGGCGCGTACATCCAAACCGCGGCGCGCGGCCAGCCAGCCGCCCAGCGCCCAGTCCAGCCAAGTGCTCCAAGTGCCGGTCCCCTGTCTTCTCCGCGTCGCGTGAGCGACATCGATAACCTATCGCCCTGCCGGCCCTGCCCACCGCGGCGCGCGGCCCGGACACGCAGTGCAAGTGCACGGCAGTGCGGTCAGCAGCACGAAAACCTAGCCGCCATCCCGACTGCGGTGAACCAAGTGACAGCAAAACGAGAAATTAGTCAGCTCTTGGCTGGCGCTAAGTGCCGAGTTTTTGCCCCGCTGGCGCCGTGCTGCCGCCAAGCTGCCGCCAAGCCGGCGCGCGGCCCACGTCGTGGAGGGTCACTCGCGGTCGAGGACGTTTAAATGACGCGGAGGACGCCGTCGCGCGTGCTGGCTGTGCTGGCTGTGCTGGCTTGTCGTACCTGATCCTAGTGTAGGTGCACGACGTCTCCTCGTCCACGGCGCGCAGCAGCTGCACCACGCGGTACGCCAGGCTCTCCAGCATTGCGCGAACCATGTGCTCCTTCCGCGCCGTCGGCTTGATGCCCAGGAAGCCGGCCGCCGCCTGCGAGAGGTTCACGTCAGCCGGGGTTCGAGTCCGCGCCGAGAGGGAGGGCGACGTGTTTGTACCTGGTAGTCGTTGACGGGGGCCTGCAGGCCGCTGAAGGCCGGCACGAAGCAGATGCCGTCCGAGTCCCCCGCGGCCTCGGCCATGCCGGACGACTCCGACGGGTCGGCGTACAGCCCCATGCTCTGGCCCCAGTTGACGATGTTGGCCGTGTCGCTGGACGCGCCCTCCACCAAGTACACCAGGTCGTCCTTGACGCGCCAGCCCACCACGGGGTACAGTCCTGTGTGAAGGCGCCGCGTTACACAGGCAGAGTACGGAAAGAAGGGACACTGCACAGTGGGCCAGGCAACCGGTGGAGGCGGCCAAAACGCGTTCTGAGCTCCAGAGTCGCTAAACAGGACTCTAACCGAACGAGTGACCCCACCAATGGATTGCTCTTCGAACGAGGAATCCATTGGTGGGGTCACACGTTCGGTTCGAGTCCCAGCGACTCTGGAGCTCAAAACGCGTCTAGAGTTTCGGCCGCCTCCTGGAGGGGCGTGCCTACCCTTGACGGACGCGTGCGTCTTGCCGGCGGTGTTGATGTTGACGAAGGTGCCGGTGCCCATGGTGACCTTGATGAGCTCGGGCTGGAAGCAGCAGGCGCCGTACACGGCGGCGGACTGGTCGGCCACCAGGCTGCGGATGGGGATGGCCGCGCCCCACACGCTGGGGTCGCTCTCCGCCAGCGGCCCCGCCGAGTCCCCCACGGCGGGCAGCGCGTGCTCCGGGATGCCGAAGATCCCCAGCGCCCACGACGCCCAGGACATGGTGAACGGGTCGTAGAAGCCCGTGGCGGACGCCGAGGACACGTCAGTCACGTGGCAGCGGCCCGCCGTCATCTGCAGGCCGAGCGCGTGGCGCAGTGGTCAGCGCCGAGGCACAGTGGATTTGCCAGAAGACCGGTGGAGGCGGCCAAAACCCTAGACGCGTTTTGAGCCCCAGAGACAGGACTCGAACCGAACGTGTGACCCCACCAATGGGTTGCTCTCCGAACGAGGAACCCATTGGTGGGGTCACACGTTCGGTTCTGAAATCCCATTCAGCGACTCTGGAGCTCAAAACGCGTCCGGGATTTTGACCGCCACCACCGGTCTTCTGGCCCACCGGTTCGAATCCCCGCGGCGGCAGGGTCTTACCTTGTACATGAGCCACGTGTCCACGGTGCCGAAGGCGGCCTGGCGGTTGGCGACGGCGTCCTTGAGCGCGGGGACGTTGGTGAGCGCCCAGCTGAAGCGGCAGGTCACCTGGGTGTTCATCAGCTTGAGCACACTGCCCGCCAGGAAGCGCTTGCTGCCCGTGACGGCGTACAGGCAGCGCGCGCCGAGCCGCATGCCCTGCAAACACACGTCGACACGTTGACACGCCACACTGCAAAAGGTAAGGTAAGGGCGCCTGAAGGCACGCCACCCATCGTGCACCGCAAGCCCGGCGCACAGTGGGGCAGCGGCCAAAACTCTAGACGCGTTTTGAGCTCCACCCTGGCTCACCCGCCACGTGAGGGAGTTGTTCCATTGGCGGACCAGCCCGTCGGCGCGGACGTCCTTCCAGGTGATGAAGTTGTGGAACGGCTTGCCCGTCCGCCGGTCCCACGTCACGAACGTGCTCCTCTGCGTCGACACGCCCAGCGCCGTCACCTGGTCCGGCCGCAGCCCGGCGCCTGAAAGCGACCGAGTCTTTAGCTCTGTATAGTGTGGTGGCTGCAGGGATGCCAGAACGAACAGCTGGACGAACAGGCAGCGCGCTATGCGATGCGCGTTACGTAACAGACAGGGGCGTTCCTACGCAGAGGCAGTTCGAAGCGGAGGGCAAAGCAGCGCTTGTTGCCCTCTAACCGTTTCCCTACCTTTCAGGCGGACGCCCCAAGAGTGGGAGAGAGACAGTGGAAGCTTCGGAACCAGGGAACCAGAAAACCGGCACCTACTCACGCTGAATAGCCTCCGCGACGACCTTCTTGGACGACTGCCACAGGACTTCCGGGTCGATCTCAACGTAGCCGCGCTTGGGGTACAGTAGCTTCACCTGGCGGGGCGAACGAAAAAGAGAAAAAAGGTCGTGAATCGACGAATCGCTAGTTAATCATATTCTCGCCACGTGTTCCAGGTTTCCGGTGCTGTATGTACTGAGGGTACGGATGGGCGTGGAGCATACCAGCAGCCGACGCACAGTGGGCCAGAAGAGCGGTGGAGGCGGCCAAAGCTCTTAACGCGTTTTGAGCTCCAGAGTCGCTAAACAGGACTCGAACCGAACTTCTGACCCCACCAATGGATTCCTCGTTCGGAGAGCAGTCCATTGGTGGGGTCACACGTTCGGTTCGAGTCCCATTTAGCGACGCTGGAGCTCAAAAAGCGTCCGGGATGTTGAACTCCTCCACCGGTCTTCTGGCCCACTGTGCGGCGGAGCGGGGCTCGGCGGGGGCGTCGGCCCTTGCACCGCGAGCTGATAACGAGGGTCAGCGAGGCGTATCGCACGCATATCGAATCCACTCAGCCACCTGACGGCTCCGCCACGGCTACGGCTGCCGTCGCCGCCATGCGGGCGAGCTTCCTTGACGGCGAGGGGCGCCGACGCCAACCCCGCGTTGAACCGAGAGAGAGAAGCCCGCCGCCGCGCTAAATCAATAAACATGCCGCCGGCCCTGCCGCCCTGCGCGGCCGGCGAGCCGCGCCAGCTTCGGCAGCGTTGGGACTTCCACGCGTTCAAAGCGGGCGCGCTGGGCGACTTCCGGCTGAGCAGCTGGAGGCGCGGACGCGCGGACCGGCCGCGGCGCGGCAGCACTGGAGCTGGAGCAGGGAGAGCAGGGAGAGCAGGGCATGCGCGCGCACCCCCAGCCCCAGCGGGCCCAGCGCCAAGGTTAGGTTGACGCGACTCCGCTCCGCTCCACTCACCGAGTCCGTGGCCGTCGCCACCACGCTGCCCGTCCTGTCGATGATGTGACACCGGATCGACGTGGTGCCCACGTCCAGCGAGGCGATGAACGGCGTCGCCGCCGGCGCGGCCATGGCGCGGAAGGGCTGGCTCTGTCGACGGGAAAGTCCGCCGACATCTAACTAGAACCAGCGGCCCCGGCCAGCATCGGGGACACAGCCACAATCAGCTCACGGAGGCGGGAAACGGGAGGGGGCGCGAGAGGGGGGCGGGAGGGGGAGGGAGGGGGCGCCCCCCGGGGGGGCCAAGCCTGGGCAAGCCCCCCGCCTCGTGCAGGGGACGCTCGCCGCAGATCGCGGAGCTAGGTGACGGCGCCGTGGACGCCCTAAAACGCGGTGCTCCACTGCCCGCGCCCCTCGACGACGCCCACGTCGACCGCGAGCTTTGCCTTCCAGTGCCGGCCCTTTCCGGTTAAGGCACAGTGTTGGCAGCAGCGGTCCTGCCGCCAAAAGTGCCAACACTTGAATGAGCAGACGTACTTCATCTTGGCAGGGCCGTCGCCTCGGCCTGGAGCCAAGACACCAGCCTTTAGGCGCAAAATAAATCAAAACTCAGTCAGCGCTGTGTTTGGGCCCTCGGGTCGCCCCGATCGAAATATATTCCGAAAGCAGTTCGATGCGAATATTGGTCCTCCTGTCAGCTGAGCAAAGATGGTCGCAAGATGGCGGCCGTCATGAAGCAGTCTTGTTTATTTCTCGCCAGAAATATTGTTCAAAGAAGTATTGCTGCCGCTTCCAGCGACTGCAGCACGCTTTTGCAAAATGGCATTCCGGTTCGCGGCCTCTCCAGTGCTATCACGTTCGAGAAGAAGCCGCGGTTGGGAAACGCCGTGCAACCTAACCTCCGCTTCGCCACCAAACCAGACGACACTCCGAGGAAGGAGCACGTAAATATAGGAACGATTGGCCATGTAGACCACGGCAAGACCACTCTGACAGCAGCTATCACCAAAATCCTTGCGAAAAACGGTTTGAGCCAGTTCCGCTCCTACGATGATATTGACAAGGCTGAAGAGGAAAGAGCAAGAGGAATCACCATCAACGCATCACATGTGGAGTATGAAACTGCGAAGAGGCATTATGCGCACACTGACTGTCCGGGACACAGAGACTTTTTGAAAAACATGATCTGTGGCGCCTCTCAAATGGATGGGGCCATCCTTGTCGTTGACTGCAATGACGGTCCAATGCCCCAAACTACGGAGCATTTGCTTCTTGCAAAGCAGTTAGGTGTAAATAATATTGTTGTGTTCATTAATAAAGTAGACATCGCCTCAGACGACCTCAAAGAGCTGGTTGAGTTGGAAGTGCGAGATTTACTCACAAACTTTGGTTGGAATGGTGAGGCTGTTCCTCTTGTCCACGGATCAGCCCTCCTTGCTCTGGAGGGGAACACATCAGACATCGGTGAACCTGCCATCATGAAGCTGCTAGACATCCTGGACAATCATGTCACTCCCCCTAAACGAGACTATAATTCGCCCTTTGTAATGCCCATCGACAGTGCAGTGAGTATCCGGGGCAGAGGGACTGTGGCCATTGGCACTGTCAAGGCAGGAACAATGAAGAAGGACGACAAAGCGGAATTGCTAGGATATGACAATGCCATATCAACCACCATCAGCACTATTCAGGTATTCAATTCTGCCGTCCCTTCTGCCAGGGCTGGAGACCATGTTGGTGTGCTTTTAAGGCAAATGAAGGCATCAAGTGTTAAAAGAGGAATGGTTCTGTGTGCTAGAGATGCCTGTAAACTAAGCAATCAGTACGTGGGCACAGTTTACTTCCTAACAAAGAGTGAGGGTGGACGTTCCAAGCCTGTCACTTCAGGTTTCATTCAAGTGCTATTTGCTGAAACATGGCAAGTAACTGCCAGGTTTGATTTTGAGGAAGAAATGGTGATGCCCGGTGAAAGTAGTCCTGCTGTTATAACTCTGCTGAAGCAAATGGTGATTTTGCCTGGGCAGAAATTTTCAGTTCGTGATGGAATGCACACAGTGGCTTCTGGTGTTATTAATAGTGCCAATGAATGCGTGTTTTTACCAAATAAACTGTTGTCCATGTATAAGCCTAATAAAGCTTCTGATGTCAAAAATGCAAAGAGCAAAAAATCCAATAAGTCATAATTAATATTTTACCAATTGTAAATGTGTGTTAAGTGAGCAACTTTGTTAATAAATGAGAACTTAATACAATAATCAACTTATTTCTGTTACAGTTTATTTATCAAAATAGTTACAGAGCCCAAGTTACAAGTTTCATAGAAAAAGAGAGCAAACACTCATGATTTGGCATTAGAAAAATGTATCATGTGACTGGAAATACAAAATCATAAGGGAATGGCTTTCCCTGGATACAGACTAAAACATTAACAACAAAGTTCAAAATACAATGTAAAAGGTTTCATAAAATAAACATACTTCATTCATCAAATTAGCTGTTCAATGGAGAACAGCCATTACTTTGGTTCTGATGGAGACTCAGAGCCGCTTTCTAGAAATTCTTGGAGGGGGATCCAAACTGAGACTTCCAGGTATTTTTGTTGGCCTTGAATGGAGACTAGAACAAAGAAAAGAATTTTTATGTCAAATAATAATAATAAAACTGGGTCATCTATCATAAAAGGCTAAATTGTTTACCTTCCTAGTTGCGGTTAAACTCTGTTTGACCTGAAACAAAAATTTACTAAAAACAGTAATAAAGAATTTTTTTGTAATCCTTAATGCTATGGTTGGTCAATAAATTTGCAAGTCCACAGGAAAGAGATCACATTCATTAATTCAGTATACCTCACTTGAGTTCAGATCACTGTCAGAAGAATGGACTTCAGCTGACGTTTGCCCCAACACCTTCCTTCTCCAGGTCTGTCAGGCATAATTTGAAATACATCAGTAAATTACAAAAAAACTGTTAGGAAAGAAGTACCGCAGTACTAATTTGAGACTTACAGTGTACGATGAAGATTCTTGCTTAGGAACAACTATGTTGGGAATGTCAGGTAAGGAATCATCAGATAAATAGTCATCTGCTTCCAGTACAACTTTGGCACATTCCTTTTTGCTCAGGTTGGGCTTAGAGACTTCTTTACTGATCTCTCTTTGCTTAGAGATGAGCGAAGTCACTCCAGTATTCGTTCTAGGGGTTGTGTTCTGAAACAGAACAATTAAAAGAAAATTAGAAAGCTCACAGAAAGAAGGATTGAAGAAGATAGACTTAACCATTACCTTCTGGAACAGCCAATGAGTGATTTTGCTTGGGTCACTTTTCCGTGCTGTGGAGGTACTGCTGGAACCCTTTCTCTCATCCTTGGGGCTAGCAGAAAAAAAATCTCTTTTGACAGAGCCACTGCTGGATGTTGTTGGAACAGACACAGACCACGGTGATCGAGGGGTGGAAGCCAGAGGGGACTTCACAGATGTCGACTGTCCTGACTTAGTGGGAGTCCTTAAAAGATCATTGTAGTCCATCTCTTCAAGCACCCATTTCTTCGAGGTTGCCTTGACAGGCGACGGCTCCCACTTGTTGGAATTCTTCTTGACAGGTGAGGGCTCCCATTTGTTAGAAGTTGACTTGACAGGGGAGAGCTCCCAGTTGTCAAAGGTCATCTTGGCAGGGGAGGGCTTCCATTTCTTAGAAGACACCTTGCCAGGAGAGGGCTTGGACTTCTTTGGACTGTTCTTCTTGGGCTGCTCAGAGAAATTATAGACTGAATTTTCCTTTCGATTCTTTTCTTCCATTTCAAATACTTTTAGTTTCCGCTTCAAAGCAACAGGTACAGAGAAGTATGGGATCTTCAAAGACTTAGGAATTCGTTCGATACATGTTTTCACAAATTTATCAACAACACGAAGTTGGTCCAGTCTCAAGCCTGAAGAAATTTTTAAAACTTATTATGCATAAAAACCAAATTTAACACACAAATATAAGGAAATTAACTCACGGTCACTGTGCAATCGGTCAAGCAGCAATCGAATGCTCTGGTCAAGGCTTTCTATGTGATATATTTTGTTCTTCTGCTTACACTTTTCATAGAGGGTCAGGAGATTTCCTTCTTGGCAGCAACATGAAAGATAGTCCAACATCAAAAGTAGAGCCATCAATTGCTCTTTACGGCTTTTGAACTTCTTAGGGATTTTTTTCTGTAAAATTAAAACGGAATTTTAGACAAGACCACACAGTGCCATAGTTCAGCAAAAGAAAAGAACTTACCACAGCATGAGAAACTGTATTTACGTTGTTGAAGTCCCTCATACAGTCAAAGATTGGCACATTGTAGTTTGCAACAAAATTTAATGCTACATCCTCAGCAAGCTTGCAATCTTCAAAGCTTGTGTCAACTTCTGGATAAGTCAAAATTTCATCACAATGTTTCTCCACTCCTCCGAAGAGAAGCCCATGCCAGTCTGGTAAAACAGTGGTTTTTGGCTTCACTTCCACATCTGCTTCTTCAAAGTGAAAATCTTCCTTTTCAATGGGGGAGTCAGGCTCACTTTGACACTCAGAATCCAGGATCCCCAAGTGGCTGCCAAGGCCACTGCTAGAACTCTGAGTATCCAAAAACTCTGACGCACTTGTTTTGGGAGTTGGCTTAGGAAAGCTAGGCACCAAAAGAGAAACAGCAGTTTTGGGAGTCTTCACAACAGAGGATGATTTGGGAAAACCAGAATTAGGCTTCTTCAGTAAAGACACAGAACCAGTCTGTAGCAAGGGAGAAGATTTGGGAGTCTTCGACTCGGAAACTGAGATCGCCCCTGCCAAAGGGGATTTGGACACGATTCTTTGTGGTGTTTTGGACACAGGAAAATTTCCTCTCTCATGCAAGGGCGAAGCTTTAGGCAGGATGGATTTAGGAGCCTTGGCTACAGAATCAGAAGCAGTCCCCATCGGAGTAGGTTTGGGCAGTATAGCCTTGGGGGCTTTGACCACAGGGGCAGGAGCTGGCTTCGAGCTGAAACAGTCCCTTCCAGCAAAGAAATAGTCTTCACGACTGCTGACACTGGGCACCTTTGATGATGAGGTCTGCTGTTGCTGTCCCTCTCTGGGAAATGCCTGCCGTTTTGGAATACTTCCAAAATAGTCATCTTGTCGGCTGCTGAAACCGATACTGGACAGCTTGGACGAAGCCCGCTGCCCCGCCCTGGGGCTCACAAGTCCGAAAGTAAAACTGTCGTCAGAAGACTCGGAATCCGTGTCCACGCGGTCCCTCAAACTGAAGTACGGCATGGCGGCAGAGAGAACGCCACACTGCAACAAAGCGACCCAACAGCCATCAGACAGTTCTGGGGTAGCTCCAGTCAAAGCCGGCAGCACACCACCACCTCGAACTCGAACGCCACTCACCCTCACAGAGAGTCCAAGTCGTCTGCGGAATCCTCGCAGGATTTCAGTTTCGCATGGAAACAGGTGGAGGAGACGCCAGAGCACGCAGGACCAAGGAGGCAGGACGCAGACGCAGCCCAGCAACAGCGAACGACGTGCACCGACTTGTCGCTCGGCGGGGCGGGCGGACAGTGGAGTGGGCGGGGGGCGGGGGAGGCAGGGCGCAGAGTAGCGCAGAGCGAGGGGGTGGGGGTGACTTTTGCTCCCGCTGCACTGCTACCAACCTTCCCATCGCGGTTTCTTTCTCCCCTGGCAAAAACCCTTGGCGAAGTAAAAGTGGTACCGGCGTCTAGTACCTAGAGTAAAATATGCCTGCAACTTTTGAAGCCATGAAACAATAGAACTGGGTGACAGAAAGCTTGTGCCTGCCGAAGCTGGAAGTGTGAGTGACAGGCCGCCGTGTAGGTAGGCAGCCCATCCGACCGGCCCACCGGGAGTCACAAAAACGACTCCGAATCGTGTTTATGTTTAGTCGTTTACTCTGGAGAACAAAGCGGTGAGTTCGACGCGGTTGTACGACATTGTGCCTTTGAGTCCGAGCCTCTTCCATTTCAAGACTCCCGGCTTGGCGTCCGCGGCGGGGCCGGGGGGCAGGAGGGTCACTTGGAGGGCCTTGAGCTGCTCGGGCACCTTGCCGTCCGCGACCAGGGCCATCTTGAGCACGCTGGCGAACATCACCGCCGCCTGCTCCACGTTGCTGGTGATCTGGAAAGTGGAGGGTTCGAGTCCCGCCGAGGCACGCCCGCCGAAAGCGAGAAGAGAGGCCGACGCACCGTGCAGTCCTCCAGCCTGCTGCCCGGGCACGCGTTGGCCAGGAGCTCCACGAGCTGCTTGCTGACGGGCGTGTCCAGGATGGTGACGGACTTGGGCGTGAAGGTGCCGCAGTGCAGCACGGGCCCGGGGCCGCGGCAACGCTCCAGCCGCACGACGCCGAGGCCGGGGCACCGCCGCAGCGCCTGCAACGCCATCCTGGAGGCCATCCTGGGGGCCGCGCCCAGCTTGCGAGCAAACCGGAACCAGCCGCGCACCCACCGTCTCCAGGATGAGGTTGACGTCGTCGCGGTCGCGGACGGCCAGCCTGCGCAGCGACGGCGCGAAGTCGAGGCGCCGGCAGAGGGAGCCGCGGGTGCCGCGGCCGTCGAAGTGCATGCCGCGCCACAGCTCGGCGCGGAGGCCGAGGTCCACCCACTGGCGGCTCACGGGCAGGGTGCGCTCGCGAGGCGCCAGCAAGGCGAACACCCGCATCAGCACGACCAGTGGCAGTTGCAGCAGCTGCAAGGGTGGCCCACTGGACCCAGGGCCGCGCGGTGGGTTGCCTGCCTCCGGGCCCGGGCGTCGGGCCGGACTCGCCGGGCCCACTCCCCGACACCGCGTCGACGGGGTCCTCGCGGCGGGCCGCGATCCCAGCCCCGCCCTCCCCGCCACGCGGCCCCGCGGCGTCGCGCAGCGTGGCGACGGTGGCGGCGGCGCCCCGCGCGCTCCGCGTGCGGCGGGGAGGGCGCGGCGCGCGGTGGCCTCGGCGGTGGCCTCGGTGGCGGTCCGCGCGGTCGCGCTGGCCGCCATCGCCGAGGTGCCGCCCCGCCGCCGCCGTCCCCGGGAGCTGATCGTGATGGTGCCGGACCGCTTGAGCTCAGGGAAGGCGGGGACCGGCCTGAGAGAATTCCAGCGTCGTCTTGGGTTCAAAACGCCAACAGGTGCGAACATTGGACTTCTCTCTCACCGATCGTCGACGTGGTCCCCGTGGGCCCGGTCATCCTTCGCGTCCAGGGCTGGCTCCACGAAGTCGACGGGGGCGTCGAGGACCGACTCCAGCGTCTCGTGGTCGTCGCCGCCCACGTCTGGCTGGTCTGGCACACAGGGCTGGGCTGCCGGCCAACAGACACTCATGCAGCAGACTGATGCCGAGAGTCGTTTTCGCTGGTCGGTCTCTCGCGCACTCATGGCCCTTCTCGTTTCGCACTGCCAGAGAGACGGCTACGAAAACGACTCTCGGAGTCTGCAGACTGCAGGCGCTAACACGCATGCATGCTTCAGACCTGTTGCAGTGCCGCCGTCCCCTCCGCTCCCTGTTGCTGCGTGTCGCGCTGCCCCCAGGACTTCGGCGTCCTGGTGGACGTCGTGGTCGTCGTCGCGTTGGACGCGCGCCGCGCCGTCCTGCTGCAGGAACATCCTGGACTGCCGGTCCATGTGGCGTCGGAGCTCCCCGATGGCGGCCATGAGGTGGTGCTGCGTCGTGGCGCTGTCGGGGTGCAGCATGGCGGCGTGCTGCTGGTTGTCGGGGACCTCGGCGACGTCGGAGACCTCTCACGAGGCACGCGGCGTGTAGGTTAGGAGGCGCGGCAGTTCGGTCTGGCCTGCGCCGCCCTCGCCGACACTCGGTGCCGTTCCTACAACACTACCCTCAGCCCAGCCCAGCCCGCCAGGACGGCCAGGACGCCCCGGCACGCCACAGAGTACAGAAGTCACCCCGCCTTTGCCCTCGCGCAGCAGAACCTGGAATAAGAGCTAACGCGCTACTGCAACGGCAAGTTGTTCTCAAAGCACTCAGCAGCAGGGCCAAGCGTCTTGGGAATTTTAGGTATTTTCAGATTAGTTCTTGGCTTGACTTTCGTCTAAAAGTGCTCCCGCCCCGCCCGGCGGGACGCCTGAAACGCCTCGGTTATGCAGTCCCGTTGGACAGCGACGCGCGCGGGACTGCCTACCCGCCAGGCGCTCCTTCAACTTGCCTGTGCGAGTGCGAGTCTTTTTCGCGCTGCTTCTGAATGCGCTAAATGCTCAATGTCCCTCTCAGGCGGCCATGTCGGGGTCGAGCCAGTACCCCAGCCACCAGCACAACGTCAACTCGCACGACCGCATCTTCGGCAGCTTCGACGGCGGAGCCGGGGGAGCTTGCCCCGCGCCACTGGGCACAAGTAAGCTTATGCTGCGCCCCTGTGTCCACAGGCCTGCCAACCTCCTCGGCCAGCTACTTCTCGAGTGTAGGAGTGGAGGTTGCCTGCCCTTTGTGATGGGCGCATCGTGATAGTTTAGTTTACTTACGTGCCGCAACACTGACTCGTCCATCCTGTGGCAGCTGCGAGTGAGGAGTCGGGTGGCGGCGCGTCGGCGCCTCGCCGCCGTCGCTGGGTGCGCACGCGCACGCAGCACCTCAGCAGCCTGAGCCTGGAGGACGACGAGAACGCCGAGTCCAGCAGCAGCATCGCCGCGACGCCCGGCGACGCCGGTGAGCGCGCCTCTCAGACAACCGCGCAGACGGAGGAAAGACAAGGCAAGGGTTCATCGCGGTTTATTCATGTTTGTCCCAGCGCTGCTGCCGCCCCCCGTGAAATCGGTCCCCGTAGAGAGCCCGCCGTCGGTGGGCGGGCGCTACGCGTTCAGGAGGCCAGGTACGTCCTCGCCGTCCAAGCCAACTGCTGCATGACGGGGCATGACGGATTCGTTTGGCACAGATGGCAACCCGGTGACCGGCGAGGGCTACGGCCGCGTGGACAGCTACGACCTGCAGGCCGCGGCCACCAGGAAGACGACTTCCCATTGATGGAATGTAAACACCGGAAGCAGAAATAAAGCCTCGCATTTGGAGTTGCGCGCGGCGCTCAGCATGGCGTCTCCTTGTACCGCTTGACCTTGTCCTCGAGCACGATCGAGAAGCAGCGCTTCTTGCCGGAGAAGCCGGCGGGGGCGGCGGGGGCGGCGTGGCCGGGCGACATCCTGCCGGGGGCGCCGCCGCCTTGGGCACCGCCCTGGGCGCTGCCGCCGCCCCTGCCGCCCACCTTCTTCTTGGGGTGCTGGTGCGCGTGCGGCACGAGGTGCACGGGCGACGCCGTCCTGTGGCCAGAGTGCGCCGACGGCTTGGCGTCGTCCACGTCGTGCAGGTCCGAGCCCAAGTACGTCTCCAGGTCGCTGGCGGCGAGTGGCTCCAGCGCGTCGGCCGCGTTCCCCGCCGTGGTGGTCGACGGCCTGGTCGTGGTGGCCACGGACGTGAGGTCCATGTGCACGGCGGGCGCGGTGGCCTCCGCGGGCGGCGGCACGTCGCCGCTCTGCTCCGGGCCGCCCTGCTGCGGTGGCTGGTCGTCGTCGCTGGCTGGCGGCTCGGTCGTCGCGGCCGCGTCGTCGCCCGTCGCGGCGTGCAGGCCAGCGTCGTGGACGGCCGGCGCGTGGTTCTGGTAGTAGTTGTTGATGACGATGTGCTTGCCGGGGTTCATGTCGTCCGCGGAGCGGCCTTCAATGGCGGGCAACTTGCTTCCTACCCCTTGCTTCCTACCCACACTGCGCTGCGGTGACTGCTGCGGTGGGGACGGTGGTAGTGTTGGTGGCGGCGAAGGTGGGGGTACTGGCGGCTGGCTGGCCTGCAGGACGCTGGGCACCAAGAGGGGCGTCTTCTCGTCGACGGACACCCACAAGTGCACGTTCAAGGGCTTGGCGGTCGTGTCCTCGGTGGTGGCATCCGGAGGCGGCCGTCGGCTTGGCCTCGGCTGCTCGGTCGCCGTCAACTCGACCGGACGTCGTCCCCGCCTGGGCAGGTCGTCGACGGGTAGGTCGGCCAGGTGCCTCGGCGGCTCCTTGCGGCGCTCCGGCCACGGCGGCGCGTCGTCGGCGTCGTCCTGATGGAGGTCCTGGTCCGCGTCCACCCGCACGGGCACCCACCGCACTGCGTATCGGCCGCCGTACGGCTCGCCCGGGTACCCGTCGTCGGCTTTGCGCGGCGCGGCGGCCGCGAACCGACGCCGGATGTAGTAGCCCTCCTCCGGGTACCGCGGGGCGCTAGCAGGACGCGGCGCGTCGTCGGCCAGGGTCCAGTACGTCCCGTACGGGCGGTACTCCCGGCGCATGCTCAGCGCGGCGGGTCGCGGGCCGTCCTCGTAGGACTCCCACACGTCGGCCAGGTCGCGGCGGCGGTACGTCGGCCCCAGGGCGGGCCCCAAAGCGGGCCCCAAGGGCCGCTGCGGCGCCGCGCCCTCATCCTCGTAGTAGCGGGCGCGCTTGGCGGGGGCGGGCACCGCCAGCAGCTGCGAGCAGGACGCACTAGTTGGTGCAGGCGGGAATCGGCCCCTGCTAAGGCACACTGCGGACGCTGTGCACGCTGCGCACGCTTACCAAGACCAGGAGCACTGTGCTGCTCCTCGCGCTGCGCCGCAGCATGTCGGGCCGGCCTCCCGGTGCCCTCCCGCCCAGCCGCGGCGCGGCGAGGGGGAGGGGGAGGGGCGCGAGGCAGAACTATCGCCGCGTTTTCGCTACCAGCCTCGCGGGGCCTCGCACACCGCAAAACAGAGGGCGGAAGTTTGAAGAGAATGAGAAGCCAGTCATCGCTTACACAAAATTTCTTTATTTAGAAGAAGTACAGCTCGTTGCGCCTGGTGTCGCAGTCCACACCGGTCCACAAGTACTTGCAGGCCCTGTCGGCGCGCGAGTACCTCTGCAGGTAGCCACACGAGCCGAGCGAGGCGTGGCCCTGGTCGCACGTCCAGAACTTGGAGCAGTCCGTCTCGGCGGCCAGCTTGGAGGAGCCGGTGGACGGGCAGCGCGCGATGGGCGGCACGGCGGAGCGTCCGCCCGCGCCGGGCTGCTCCACGCCCGCGCTGTTGGGCGGCACCGCGTCGCAGTCCACCTGGAAAAACGAATACAGTACACTCATTGCGAACGGAAGTCGGCGGCCCCACGCGACGACCGCTCACCTTGCTGGTGAAGTCGCAGGCCAGCTTGACGCGATCGAAGCGCTGCAGGGGCGGGCACTGCTGCACTGTGAGAGACCCTTCGTGGCAGTCGTAGAACTTCCAGCAGTCGTTGTGCGGATACAGCTTGGAGCCGGACGCGGCGCACCTCGGGGGGCGGTAGCCGAACGACGGAACCGGGGGCTCCGTGTGGGCAAGGCGTGGTAGCACCGACTTGGCGTGGCAGTCAACCTGCACGGAAGAGAATGTAAAGAAACAATACAAAGGCTTCAGGCGGAGTTGCCTAAGACCCACGCACCTTCCACGACCAGTTGCAGCGACCGGTCGTCTTGTCGAAGTTCTGCAGCGGGTAGCAAGACACGTCGGTGAGGACGCCGTCGAGGCACTCGTAGAACTTCCAGCAATCGGCGTGCGGGTACCGGTGCCAGCCCTTGCTGGGGCACCTGGGATGAGGCGGCAGCACTGTAGTGTTGGGAGCGACACTCGTGGACTCGTCCAGAGACGCCGACCTTGAGGACACGGTGGTGGATGACGACGAGGAAGGAGCCGCGGTAGAAGATGATTCGTATCCCGGAGCAGCAGAGGTAGTCTCGGCACCTGGCGAAGCCGTGGTTGAAGAGGTCTCAGAACCTGGACCAGCTGTAGTGGAGGTCTCTGTACCAGGAGCAGCAGTAGTTGTTGGCCATTCATTGCCACCGGCAGTAGAAGATTCAGGTGCCGGAGTCGAAGAGCTTTCATATCCTGGTGCGGCTGTGGTGGAAGAACTTTCAGATCCTGGCGCAGTGGTGGTAGAAGAGGTCTCTGTACCAGGAGCAGCAGTAGTTGTTGGCCATTCATTGCCACCGGCAGTAGAAGATTCAGGTGCCGGAGTCGAAGTGCTTCCATATCCTGGCGCAGTGGTGGTAGAAGAGGTGTCTCTACCAGGAGCAGCAGTAGTTGTTGGCCATTCATTGCCACCGGCAGTAGAAGATTCAGGTGCCGGGGTCGAAGAGCTTTCATATCCTGGTGCGGCTGTGGTGGAAGAACTTTCAGATCCTGGCGCAGTGGTGGTAGAAGAGGTCTTTGTACCAGGAGCAGCAGTACTTGTTGGCCATTCATTGCCACCGGCAGTAGAAGATTCAGGTGCCGGAGTCGAAGAGCTTTCATATCCTGGTGCGGCTGTGGTGGAAGAACTTTCAGATCCTGGCGCAGTGGTGGTAGAAGAGGTCTCTGTCCCAGGAGCAGCAGTAGTTGTTGGCCATTTATTGCCACCGGCAGTAGAAGATTCAGGTGCCGGAGTCGAAGTGCTTCTATATCCTGGCGCAGTGGTGGTAGAAGAGGTGTCTCTACCAGGAGCAGCAGTAGTTGTTGGCCATTCATTGCCACCGGCAGTAGAAGATTCAGGTGCCGGAGTCGAAGAGCTTCCATATCCTGGCGCAGTGGTAGTAGAAGAGGCCTCTGAACCAGGAGCCGCAGTAGATGTTGGCCATTCATTACTACCGGCAGTTGAAGTTTCAGGTGCAGGAGTCGAAGAGATTTCATGTCCCGGGGCTGCAGTTGTAGAATTCTCAGAACCTGGGGAAGCCGTGGTTGAGGTTGTCTCAGATGCTGGCGTAGCGGTGGTAGAGGTGGTTCCGATACCTGGAGTAGGAGTAGTGGTTGGCCATTCATTACCGCCAGCAGTTGAAGTTTCGGGTTGTGGGGTGGATGAGCCTTCGAATCCTGGGGCAGCAGTTGTAGTAGTCTCAGAACCTGGCGAGGCCGTGCTTGAGGACGTCTCTGAACCCGGAGCAGCTGTGGTAGACGAGGTTTCATAGCCTGGTTCAGGGGTGGTTGAGGTGGTCTCGGTACCAGGCGCAGCTGTCGTGCTTGTTGATCCTTCGTGATAAGAATGAGAGCGGCGACGGGCAGTTGAAGATTCGGGTTGTGGGGTGGATGAGCCTGTGTATCCTGGAGCAGCAGTTGTGGAAGTCTCGGAGCCTGGTGCAGCGGTGGTAGACAAGGGCTCTGAACCAGGAGCAGCAGTAGTTGTTTGCCATTCATTGCCACCGGCTGTTGACGATTCAGGTTTAGGGGTGGATGAGCCTTCGGATCCTGGAGAGGCAGTTGTGGTGGTCTCAGATCCTGGCGCAGCGGTGGTGGAAGAGTACTCTGTACCAGGAGCAGCAGTAGATGTTGGCCATTCATTACCGCCAGTAGTAGAAGATTCAGGTGCAGGGGTCGAAGGGCTTTCATGTCCCGGGGCTGCAGTTGTAGTCTCAGAGCCCGGCGAGACCGTGGTAGAGAAGCTGTATACTGGTACAGCGGTGGTTGTAGTGACCTCAGATTCTGGCGCAGTAGTTGTAGTCGTGGTTCCGATCCCAGGAGCGCCAGTAGTTGTGGGCCATTCATTGCCACCGGCAGTTGAAGATTCAGGCTGAGGAGTGGATGTGCTTTCGTGTCCAGGAGCTGCAGTTGTACTAGTCTGAGAGCCCGGCGAGACCGTGGTTGAGGACGCCCCAGATCCTGGCGCAGCGGTGGTGGAAGAGGTCTCTGTACCAGGAGCAGGAGTCGAAGAGATTTCATGTCCCGGGGCTGCAGTTGAAGATGTATCAGAACCTGGCCAAGCCGTGGTTGAGGTGCTCTCAGATGCTGGCGCAGCGGTGGTGGAGGTGGTTACGATTCCTGGAGCAGCAGTACTTGTTGGCCATTCATTGCCACCGGCAGTTGAAGTTTCAGGTTGTTGGGTGGACGATCCTTCGTATCCTGGGGCGGTTGTCGTAGTAGTCTCAGAACCTGGCGTGGCCGTGGTAGAGGATGTTTCTGTACCTGGCGCTGCCGTGGTAGTCGATGTTTCATAGCCTGGTTCATTGGTGGTGGAGGCCTCCGTACCAGGAGCAGCTGTCGTGCTTTTTGGTCCCTCGTGATAAGTATGAGAGCGGTGACGGGCGGTTGAAGATTCAGGTTGTGGGGTGGATGAGCCTCCGTATCCTGGAGAAGCGGAAGTGGAAGTCTCAGAGCTTGGTGATGCCGTAGTTGAGGTGACCTCATATTCTGGCGCAGCGGTGGTGGAGGTGGTTCCGATACTTGGAGCAACAGTGGTGGTGGGCCATTCATTGCCACTGGCAGTTGTAGCTTCAGGTTGAGGAGTGGATGAGCTCTCGTATCCTGGAGCTCCAGTTGTGGTTGTGTCAGAACCAGGCAAGGCCGTAGTAGACGACGTCTCGAATCCTGGCGCAGCGGTCGAAGAGGTCTCTGCACCAGGAGAAGCAGTAGTTGTTGGCCATTCATTGCCACCGGCAGTTGATGATTCAGGTTGTTGAGTAGACGATCCTTCGTGTTCTGGGGCAGCAGTTGTAGAATGCTCAGAACCTGGCGAGGTTGTGGTAGATGTTTCAGATCCTGGCGCAGCCGTGGTCGAAGTGGTTCCGATTTCAGGTGCAGCTGTAGTGGTTGGCCATTCATTTCCACCGGCAGTGGAAGTTTCGGGTTGTTGGGTGGACGATCCTTCGTATCCTGAGGCGGTTGTCGTAGTAGTCTCAGAACCTGGCGTGGCCGTGGTAGAGGATGTTTCTGTACCTGGTGCTGCCGTGGTAGTCGATGTTTCATAGCCTGGTTCAGTGGTAGTGGAAATCTCCGTACCAGGCGCAGCTGTCGTGCTTGTTGGTCCCTCGTGATAAGGATGAGAGCGGTGACGGGCAGTTGAAGATTCAGGTTGTGGGGTGGATGAGCCTTCGTATCCTGGAGACGCAGCAGTGGAAGTCTCAGAACCTGGTGAGGACGTAGTGGATGACGTCTCAGATCCTGGCGAAGCAGTGGTCGAGGTGGTTTCGATTCCAGGAGCAGCTGGAGTGATTGGCCATTCATTCCCACCGGCAGTTGAAGATTCAGGTTGAGGGGTGGACGAGTTTTCGTATCCGGGGGCAGCAGTTGTGGTAGTCTCAGAATCTGGTGAGGACGTAGTCGATGTCGTCTCAGATCCTGGCGCAGCAGTGGTCGAGGTGGTTCCGATTTCAGGAGCAGCTGTCGTGGTTGGCCATTCATTTCCACCGGCAGTTGATGATTCAGGATGTTGGGTGGACGATCCTTCGTGTTCTGGGGCAGGAGTTGTAGAAGACTCAGAACCTTGCGAGGCTGTGGTAGATGTCTCATATCCTGGCGCAGGCGTGGTCGAGGTGGTTCCGATTTCAGGTGCAGCTGTTGTGGTTGGCCATTCATTTCCGCCGGCAGTTGAAGATTCAGGTTGTTGGGTGGACGATCCTTCGTGTTCTGGGGCAGCAGTTGTAGTAGGCTCAGAACCTGGCGTTTCAGTCGTAGATGATGTTTCTGAACCTGGTGCTGCCGTCGTAGTCGATGTTTCATAGCCTGGTTCAGTGGTGGTGGAAGTCTCCGTAACGGGCGCAGCTGTCGTGCTTGTTGGTTCCTCGTGGGAAGGATGAGAGCGGTGACGGGCAGTTGAAGATTCAGGTTGAGGAGTGGATGAGCTCTCGTATCCTGGAGCTCCAGTTGTGGTTGTGTCAGTACCGGGCAAGGCCGTGGTAGACGACGTCTCGAATCCTGGCGCAGCGGTCGAAGAGGACTCTGTACCAGGAGAAGCAGTGGTTGTTGGCCATTCATTCCCACCGGCAGTTGATGATTCAGGTTGAGGGGTGGACGAGTTTTCGTATCCTGGGGCAGCAGTTGTGGTAGTCTCAGAACCTGGTGAGGACGTAGTAGATGCCTCAGATCCTGGCGCAGCAGTGGTCGAGGTGATTCCGATTTCTGGAGCTGCTGTTGTGGTTGGCCATTCATTGCCGCCGGCAGTTGAAGTTTCAGGTTGTTGGGTGGACGATCCTTCGTGTCCCGGGGCCGCAGTTGTGGTAGTCTCAGAACCTGGCGTGGCTGTGGTAGATGTGTCAGATCCTGGCGCAGCCGTGGTCGAGGTGGTTCCGATCTCTGGAGCTGCTGTTGTGGTTGGCCATTCATTGCCGCCGGCAGTTGAAGTTTCAGGTTGAGGGGTGGATGAGCCCTCGTATCCTGGGACTCCAGTTGTAGTAGCCTCTGTACCTGGTGCGGCGGTGGTAGAATGGGTATCTCCACCAGGAGCGTGAGGAGTTGTTGGCCATTCCTCGCCACTGGCAGTTGATGATTCAGGTTTGGGGGTGGATGATCCTTCGTTTCCTGGGGCCGCAGTTGTAGTTGTCTCAGATCCAGGTTCACCGGTGGTTGAAGTGGTCTCTGTACCAGGAGCACTAGTAGTTGTTGGCCATTCATTGCCACCAGCTGTTGAAGATTCAGGTTGAGGGGTGGACGAGCCTTCGTATCCTGGGGCAGCAGTTGTGGAGGTCTCAGAACCCGGTAAAGACGTAGTAGATGTCGTCTCATATCCTGGCTCAGCCGTGGTCGAGGTGGTTCCGATCTCTGGAGCTGCTGTAGTAGTAGTTGGCCATTCATTGCCACCGGTAGTTGAAGATTCAGGTTGAGGGGTGGATGAGCCTTCGTATCCTGGGGTAGCAGTTGTAGTTGTCTCAGAACCTGGCAAGGCCGTGGTAGAGGATGTCTCTGTACCTGGAGCTGCAGTTGTAGACGAAGTTTCATAGCCTGGTTCAGCGGTAGTGGTCCAAGTCCATGGACTTGTTGTGGTGGGTTGCACTGGTAATTCTGTGGATGTTGCGGGTGACGGTGTCGTTGTAGAGTGCACCGCAGGATGGATGTCCTTGCACTTTACTTCCCAAGTGTACTTGCATCTGAGGTGTTTCCGGTCGAACTTTTGGAGCATGGCGCAGATCTTCACTCGCACTTTGCCATTTCGACATTCGTAGAACCGTTTGCAAGAGTTGTGCGGCGCCAGCTTGAACTCGCCCTTCTTGCAGGCTGGTTTTTTGTAGCCGTCAACATGAGGATCGTAAGCATTCGCACTCAGCACCACGGCGAGTAGAAACGGCCATATTAAGACCGTACCTGCGTACAAATGGGAGACATGATAATGAATCAGTTGCCTTCCGTTTCTGAAAAGTGGCCCCAAGGGGTAACATTTTTTTGGGCGGTTTTGAATTGGATGACTTACAACTGGCCATAGTTGGGGTGGTGAGCGAACGCGTGGCACTAGTGAGCGGGCCGCGCGGCGGGCAGCACCTAAAATATACTCGGTGCACGAGGGCAGGGCGTGGCGGGCGTGGCGGGCGTCATCGTCAACATGGTCGTCACGACCCCCGTCTTCACCGACACTCCCAGATCTATTCTGTTTATTCATTATTTTACGTTTATTTCTCTCTAACGTGGATTTCTTTTTTTCTTTATCTCTTTTCTGTGTGCGGGAGAGGAGGAAATTTTTTTGCATAATTTGATTTTGGCAAGTTGAGGCGTTCTTGTCGTGATGGCAAGTGTTTGAAGAGGGACTAGTCGACCAGGGACCTGCTGAGCTTCATGACGAATTTATTTATTTTTCACAAGTAATCTAGAACAAAACTTTTATGAAAATTGCTGGAGTTTCAACAGCTTTTTTCATTGTTTTTTTTTGCAGTGTACGGCACGCTCGCTCTCACTCAACTGACGCGTCTACTGGCTATCCCGAACGTTCGTGCGCCAAACAGACCAAGTGCTTCGGCGCGGTAAGAGATCGTTGACACGTAAAATTGAAGTTCCATTGAAGACGGTTGCAGTAGACCAGCCTTCGTTCGAGTACGAAGAAAAAAAAACCGCCTCTTTTACGATGTTTGTGTTTGAAAAAAAAAGAAGGGAAACCTCAGTGGCGCTGCTGGGAGTTGAACCCGCTCTGCCATCGATCTTGGCCTCATCGCGTCCCGGCCGTCCCGCCCCAGAACGACCGGATAAGTCGGAAACGGCTGGAGAATGCTGGAGACAGTAAAGCAGTGCCGCGTCTGCTAATCCTCTTTACGACTGGAGTCCTGGCCGGCAGTCCCTGGAGCCCTGGACAATATCGCCTTCGACACTTCGGGGCGAAATGGGGTCCGGGCGGCGTGGCGTATTTGCCAAATCGTGAGCGTCCTTGTGACGCCAGCGTGACGTATCCGCCGTCGGGCTCGAGGACTGTTCACGGGCAAAGGCACGCGTGGAAAGCTAGGCACGCCAAAGGCAGCGTCAGCCAGTTGCCAACAGATAAATTAATTAACAAATGAATATTTAATTAGTTTGTAAATCCCGTCATAATGGAGGGAGGTCTTACCATATAAAAGCGAGACCAAATTTTCCCCGTCCTTTTTTTTGCGAGTGATATTTGTCTGGCCGGCTATCTGCGCGTGACGTCCACGGCGTGGCGCGTGAGAAACGCTGCACGACGGCGACGGTCACGCCCTTCTTGATCATGTTTGCCGAAACACGTCTTGCAGAGGTGAGGGAACGCAGAGGGCCGCGGCCCGCCCGGCCAAGTCGCGGCGACCCACAGTGGGCCAGAAGACCGGCGGAGGCGGCCAAAACTCTCCGCTGTCGCTTAATGGGACTCAAACCGAACGTGTGACCCCACCATTGGATTGCTCTCCGAACGAGGAATCCATTGGTGGGGTCACACGCTTAGTTTGAGTACCATTCAGCGACTCTGGAGCTCAAAACGCGTTTAGAATTTCGGCCGCCTCCACCGGTCTTCTGGCCCACTGTGCTACGTGGAGACAACGCGCTTATCCCTTGGAGGCCCTGGCGTAAAGCAGCCCTGTTTACAGCCTGACTTTTACGGTGGCGCGGCCGATCGGCCGGTCGGAAGTGGCGGTGGCTAAGCCTAATTCACTGAGCTAACTCTTACAAATGGGGAGGGAGCTGGAATGTGAGGGCACGGAAGGAAACACGGGCAGTGGGGTGGAACGTCATTATTGGCAAGTCACAGGGTAAAAACACAGACACTCTCTGGGGGGCTAGCGCTCGGCCTGGCGGCGCATCTTGTCCTCCAGCACGGCCCTGGCGACGCCGTGGGCCACGGCGTGGTCGCCGTGCGCCGCCACGGCCTCGTCGTCCAGGCCGTCCTCAGCCAGCCGCAGCGCCTGGTCCAGCAGGGCCTTGCACGGCCTCGGCACGCACGTGGGGAAGCGCACCGACAGCCGCAGCACCAGGTCGCCGCGGCCGCGGCCTCGGCCCCGCGGCAGCCCCTCGCCGCACAGCCGCTTCTCGTAGCCCGGCCTGCGCGACGGCAGCACGTCAGGGAAACGCATGGCGGGCCACAAGGAGGCGGCCAGACGCGTTTTGAGCTCCAGAGTCGCTAAGCAGGACTCGGACCGAGCGTCTGACCCCACCAATGGATTGCTCTCCGAACGAGGAATCCATTGGTGGGGTCACACGTTCAATTCGAGTGCCATTTGGCATTTAGCGACTCTGGAGCTCAAAACGCGTCCAGAGTTTTGGCCGCCACGTGCCCTCTGACCCACCTGACGACGTCCGTGATGGCCACCCGGATGAGGCGGCCGTCCAGGGTGTCGATCTCGATGGTGCAGCCCAGGAGCGCCTCGCGCAGGGACACGGCCTCCGCCAGCACCAGGTCCGCGGGGTTGGCGGCGTCGCGCGAGAACCGGGGGTGCGGCAGGACGGCCAGCACGAGCTCCACGCCGCCTGCGGGCATGACACCTACTGTACTGCGAACCGCCTGACGCGTGGGCAACAAGTCGCACAGCCTTCTGCGACATCGCCCCCGAACGCCGTCCCTGGATCCGCCCCTGACGGAACGGACTGTAAACGGCGTCTGGCACTCATCCCGGGCTTCTGACTTTTGTGGCCCCCTCGGCCCCCTGCTCACAACACTCATCGAGTGCGAGGATTAATATTGTTTGTGTACGCAGAGGGCGCGCGAGTTTCAAATAACGCGTGAAAAACATCCGGCGCTGACTGGGATTGAACCACCGACCTGGCGGCCGGCCCGGGTCCTGGTGTCCTTCCCCTGGGAAGAGGAAACGCGTCCCCGGCAGCGCTCCGGGCTCCACCTCGACGCTGAAGGTGCGCTCCACCAGGGCGGTGGCGTCGCCGCCGGGAGGGGCCGGCACTCGCAGTGCGGCGGTCACCGTCTTCGTCGCCCCGTCGTTGACCTGCGAGTCGGGGCGCGGGTTCAGACTGGTTTGCTCACGGGCAGGGCCGAATTTGAAGAACTCTTTGGCGGAGTTGAAGCGGCGCACCTCCTGCAGCGACGCGCTGACGGGGAGCACCACGACGGGGGAGGGCTTCGGCCGGCCCAGCTCGAAGTGCTGCCGCGCCGTGCCGGGGGCCAGCCCTCGGGGCAGGCCTTGGGGCAGCCCGGCGAAGGGGTTGTCCGTGATGAAGGACGTCCCGGACGTCCTGGGATGGCAGGCATTAGCGTCTAAGCCGCGTCCCGCGAGAGGCAGGATGAGTGCCCGTCGCGGCGTGCCTGACGGGGTGCCTGACGGGGTGCCTGACGGGGTGCCTGACGGCGAGCTTACTTGTCGGGGACGGGGATGTCGTAGCGCGCGCGGCGCTGGGGGTTGGCGCGCACCTCGCACGCGCGCGCGGCCAGTGCGCTCCGCACGGCGTCGTGCACGCGCTGCAGGGCGCGCCTGTCGCTCGCCGAGGTCGCCGACGACGAGAAGGCGGTGGCGGCTCGCTTCGGGGCACTACCCAGGAACTGGACGTCGTCCAGCACGCCGCGCAGGTCCGCGTCGTCCACGTGCAACATGACCGCGGCCAACAGGACCAGGGCGTTGCCGGGTAACCGCCACCGCCGTGGAGGCCGTGGAGGGGGAAGGTCCTGGCCAGCACCGCCAGCCCAGCACTGCCCAGGATCACGCCGAGGAGTCGCTCTGGCGTTTTGATCGAATTTGCGGCAACACTGCTCCCAAGCCACGCCGGGGAAACGCACTCCGCAGAAAAGGCGTGCTAAAGGAAGCCTCAAGGGACACTGCCCCGTTCAGGGAGCCGTTTTCTTGTCTTAGATCGGGCGCAGTGGCCGCCCAAGTTAGCCCAAACCACGATTTCTCGCGATTTCTACTCGTTTGTCAGCGTTTCGTATGGCCGCGCGGCCTCCAGCGGGTACCTCGCCTCCGCCAATGGGCTGTCGCGTGCTACGGCTTACGCCCTGCTTGCGCCCGGCGCCGCGTGGCGCCGCGCTCCCATTGGTCCGCGGTGCGTGCGACGGAGACGGAAGATGACTCACTGGACGACGCGGCCAGGAAGGCGCGGCGGTGGCGGTCGCGGCGGTGGGAGGGAAGCGTGGTGGGGGCAGGGTGGGGGCGGGGTGGGGGGTGCGGGCACTCGGGGAGGTTGCGGCTTGCTCCGTGCTCGCGCCGCTCTCGGCTCGCTCCAGGCGCAGAGCCTCCTTCCTCCTTCAGTCAGACTTCACTCGGGTTCAGACTGCATTTGGCAGCGGCCTGCGTTTGTTCGTGGGCGCGTCGTGCGTGCGTCCGCCAGTGTCGTGCCGCGTGCTGTGTCGGTGTGAGTGCGTGTGGTGTTGGAGGTGATTGAATGCAACCGATGGCAGCCCCGCCTGCCAGGATGGCTCCGCGACGTGCTGCTAGCGCTGCTGGCTCGCCGGACTGGCGGCGGAGTGTGGAGTGCTGAGTGCCGTCCGGGTTGAGTGTCGGGCCGTCGTCCGTCGGCCGGTCCTAGCCCAGGACGTCCCAGGACCATGGCGACGGCGCCGCGCCGCACGGCCTGGCCGCCGGTCTTCGCCCTGCTGCTGCTCATGGAGTCCACCGTCGCCAACTGGTGGTAAGTTGGAGGGAGGCGCCCCGTCTGTTTGCCGAACGCCGCCGAAGAACCGTTTGTCGACGCTCCCGTCTCCCTCGCACCCCTTGGGGACGCCCCGTGAGTGCGACAGAGACAGGGCGACGACTCTTCGGCATCAGTCTGCGGCGCACTTGTTCAAACCACCTGTCGAAGGGCCGCGGCCAGGGCGTCCTCCAGAACGGCAGCCCTTCAAAAAGAACCTTCTAGAACCCTGCCGTCCAGTCCCTTCAAAACCCGGCGAAAGGGTTCCGTAGGGTTCCACGGCATCACCGTGGTTCCGCCGTGGTTCCGCAGTGGTTCCACACGGCCGGCGGTCGCAGCGGGTCGCAGCGGGTCGCAGCGGGTCGCGCAGTACAAAGAACCCTTTGTGATGGCGTCCTGATACGCCCTGCCGCCGTCTCCCGGCGGCCTCCCTCAAGGTGGCCGGCATGCTTACAAGTCGTAAACCGGGGTGACATGTCTTATGCCCTCCCGGAGGGGCCCCACCTCGGCCACCGCCAGCACGGCCAGCACGGCGTGCCACGGCCACCCCTTTCTCGACGGCCTTCGCGCAGATGTGTGGAGATCGGTCGTCAACCCCCGCACCGCCCTGCACCGCCCTGCACCGTCCTGCACCGCCCCACCGATACCATCACACCGATCTAGGCAGCAGGGGCGGTGCGGCCGTCATGTCTCTCTCTCTCCCTCTCTCTCACTCGCACCACACAGGCCGAACACGCACACCACCGGCGGGGGCTGAACCGCGGCGACACAATTTACAGTGGCTCCCTTAATCCGGAAAAGCTAAAGGCTTTATTACCGCCCCCCTCGGCCCCTCGGCCAATAAAAATATCTCGGTGCCGTCTTCGTCGCACCAACGGCCGGGCCGGCGTGCGAGTGCGAGAGGGACAGAGCGGCTTTTGGCGGGGCGACGTCGCCGACCCCCTTTCCTTCCCCCGCGCCGCTACGCCGCTACGCCACTGCTAGGCCGCTCAGGTAGACAGGACAATCGTTTGTTGGCAAACGCGCGGCGAGTCGTGCCGTGTCGGTCGTCAGCAAAGACATGACAGCCCGCTGCACTGCCTGCAGTGTGCCTGCAGTGTGCCTGCACTGCTGCACTGTGATGACAGGACACCCTGACGAGTGTGATGCGTCCACGGTCCAAAGGGCACACAACAACACTCGCCGGAGAAGTTGCATTTTCAGGTAGAAAAACGACGCTCGTTTTACAAGTTTCAAAAACGACTTCCTTTTCCCGGCAAAGTATGTACAATGTTACACATTTGTAAGAAACACGTCGTGGACTTATTTTTGCGAGTGTGCCGGCCGCTCCACCCTTCGCGGCGCCGCGTGCGGTGCTAGCGCGGCACGCCGGCGGCACGCGGCTTCGGCTTCACTTTGGGCTCGACTCGTGATCCCGCAATTTCATGGCACGTTTGCATAGCCGGCTTTCGGCGTGCATCGCGACGCATTCCGCTGCATTGCGTCGTTTCCCGCCCCACCGGCCCCACCGGCCCCATCGGCCACGCGGTACACTGTCGGAAAGGAGGGATTTTGCAGTGTGTCGGCTCCTGGGCGGGCGGTTCACAGTGGGCCAGAAGACCGCTGGAGGCGGCCGAACCTCCAGACGCGTTTTGAGCTCCAGAGTCGCTGAGCAGGACCCGAACCGAACGTGTGACCCCACCAATGGATTGCTCTCCGAACGAGGAATCCATTGGTGGGGTCACACGTTCGGTTCGAGTCCCATTTAGCGACTCTGGAACTCAAAACGCGTCTGGAGTTTTGTCCGCGCCTCCCCTGTGCGGTTCTTGCGTCGCTATCTCTATCAAAGTCCGCCCTGCCCGGCAGGAGCTGTGGCCGTGAAAACGGCAAAGAAAGACCGTGCCGACTCTTTCCGTCTCCAAAATCATTGGCGTGGCGGCGTCCCGTCGGGGGTGGTCCACGTCGGGCTGACTCCGGACGGTCTCTCTCGCACTCCGACGGAAACCCCAGTCAGTGCGACAGAGACAGAGCCGAGCTCGCCTGCGGGGATACCGCTCAATTTGGCTGCTGTCTCCCTCACTCACGTTACATTGTGCACACCGCATGGCCCCGCGACGAACGCTAACGCATGGCCGACTCGACGCTACGCCCCGTCTCTCTCGCACCCTACGGGCCCACGGCACGCCCCGCGGGAGCGACAGAGACGATCCTTCGGAATCGCGCGCCTGGTTCAAATCGCTTGTTTAGTACCTGGGCCCTGTGGGCCCTGTGAGCTCTGGGTCGAGCAGCCGTCGGATTCCGAAACAACGCTTTCGTCCCTCTCGCTCTGCTGGTTCGTCCCGTCCAAGGCGAGAGTGCGAGAGGGACGGCGCGCTGTTGGGAAGCAGTCTGCAGGTGCACCCTGCCGCCCTCCTCTCCCTTTACGACTGCCTTCCATTAATTTATACGATTGGGCGGCGGCCCTTCTTCGGCCAGCCATCGGCCAGCCCGTCTAGTCCACTGGCAAGTCCGGCTATGCCGCGCGGACTTGCCAGTGGACTCGAAACATCTCTCAATTCCGACACCGGAACGGATCACGGCGTCACGGCGCGAGAGACGCGTTTTGAGCTCCAGAGTCGCTGTGCAGGACTCGAACCGAGCGTGTGACCCCACCAATGGATTCCTCGTTCGGAGAGCAGTCCATTGGTGGGGTCACACGTTCGGTTCGAGTCCCATTCAACGACTCTGGAGCTCAAAACGCGTCTAGAGCTTCGGCCGCCTCCACCAGTCTTCTGGCCCACTGTGGTCGCCCAGCTTCCGGACCGAGTCCTCCGATCGGCCCGCCGAGACACTGGCAGGACACCGGATCCATCGAGGCTGGCGCTGCTTGCGCGCACGGGGCGGACAGAGACAGGAATGTGTGATTATCGTCATTAAGCTGGTCCACCAAATGACGGGGTTGGCGCGTCCCCTCCCTCTCGGCCACGGCCTCGGCCCTCGCAGGCCCTCGGAGGGCCCGGCCACACCTCTGGACGCCCTCAGACGCCCTTCACGTTAATGACTGTGCACCAGACAACACTTAAACCTCGCCCCGAACGCCCCGAAAGGCGCGCGCCGGCGCCGGGACTCGAACCCCGAACCGGCGCGCAATCAAATCGAGTTGTAAACCGGCGAGACGGCCGACACGCCCTGGAGACCATCCCCTGCGACACTCTTTGATGTGTGGAGCAGTGTGGAGCCACGGCCTGTTTGTTGTTGTTGTTGTTGTTGTTGTTGTTGTTGTTGTTGTTGCGGCGGTGGATGTTGCTGCTGCCGGGCTGTACGGCAGGCAGGGGCGTCTTGAGCTGCGCGCGCTGCGCTAAGCCCTCCTTTACCGTCTTTACGATCGGTGCATGTGCTGCCCTCCCCGCCTAGTCTCGCAGTCTCCCCGCCCGACGGGCCTGGGGCCGCGACGCCCCGACGCCGCGACGCCGCGACCCCCCGCGAAGGCCTCCGCGTCGTCCACCGCCGGTTGCCATGGCGACGGAGGGCTGGTCCGAAAGGATGCACCCGGAAGGGAAGGGCCGCCGAGGTTTCCAGAGTCTTCACTGCTTTCGGGGCGAGAGCGCTGTCTCTCTCGCACTCGCACCCGCGAGAGAGAATCGGAGTCGGTCTGCGGGGCTGGAGGCTGCTGGAGGCTGCCCCTGAAAGCGTGGCAACGCGGCAACCTCAACGCACGAAGGGAAGTTCACCTCGCGGACCGACGACGGGTCATTTTCCGCAGATGTTTCAACCTACCTTAATTTTGCTGGAGCTTTTTTTTTTCGCGTGGAGATAGGTTGCGGTGATAAACGCAGAGGAAGTCTCGCTAAACTAGGGGTGTCACAGTGTATGCTGCCTCGTTGTCTCGCTGACGGTGTGCGTGCCGTGGCGTGCCAACGATCCTTTTCACCGGCTAGTTATCTCTTTACGGCGTGCCGCCCCGCAGTCCGATTCCGAACGGCGTGCATTCGTCGCTCCGTCTCTCTCGCGCTCACGGGGCGCCCCGGCCGAGTGCGAGAGAGACGGCGAGCTCTCTTCGGCTCCAGCCGGGCCGGGGCCGACCGGCTGTCAACAGGGCGGGGGTGTGGCAGTGTGGCAGCACCGTGCAGCCCGGGCGCTGCTTTGTACCTGGGCAAGCCGGGCAGGTGGCCCAAAGCCCAAAGAGGTGGCCGCCGACTCTACCCTGTGCGCCGACACACAGTGGGCCAGAAGGCCAGTGGAGCCGGAGAGCCGGCCAAAACTCTAGACGCGTTTTGAGCTCCAGAAGCAGGACTCGAACCGAGCGTGTGACCCCACCAATGGATTCCTCGTTCGGAGAGCAATCCATTGGTGGGGTCACACGTTCGGCTCGAGTCCGCTCGAGTCCCCTTTAGCGACTCTGGAGCTCAAAGCGCGTCCGGGATTTTGGCCACCTCCACCGGTTGGACCAGTGTGGGACGGAGCCGTGGAGCCGCGCGGAAGTACACTGGAAGTACGCCGCCACTGCGCTGCGTGCGCTGCACCCTTTGTCTGTCCTTGTCCCACTCGCTGTTCTCGCTACCCACTTCGCCGCCCCCTTTGTGCGTACACCGTAATCCTTCGTGTTGCCTTACCTGTGCCAAAAAAGAAGGAACGGGCAGCAAAGCGAAAAAAAAAATTGTAAGTAAAAACTGAATGCCGCGAGAAAATCGTTGTTTTTAGAAGTGCGCTACCATCCGCACCTGCCGCGCGGGTGAGTGAGACGAGACGGTAGTCGGAGCGATTCGATTTCTCGACGTGTCTCGACTAGTCTCGACGCCTCGACTTCCTCGAGAGTCGCCGCAGGTCTGCCAGCGAGACTGCAGGAGCGACTGCTGTGGCCGCTTCTTCCATTGTCTTCCTGAAGCACAATTAGAGCCATGGCGGCTTGCCGTGGCTTGCCGCCCGCGCTCCGTGCTTAGCGCTTGTAGAGCCGCGGCAGCCACGGCTACGGTGTACCCACCTGTCTAACTCAGAGAAACATGATATGACCGCCTCCGGGGTTACACCATTACAATGCCGAG